ACTGGGAGAGAAAGGCGCCTCAAGCATCTTTCCTCCACACCTTTCCAACCTCCCCCACCACCACCACCACCAAGCTTCACCATGAGCAGGGCCAGGCCCAGCTGGGAGAGGTCATACAGTAACCCAGTAATCTCATGGATGGCCCCCAGGCTACTGTTTTAAAGCAGAGTCAGCCGTTGGCTTTGTTACATAGATCCTTTCACCAGCCAGAGTGGGGGTGTGTATTAGTCAGGGTTTGGATGCATAAACACAGCCTCAGGATCCCAGTGGCTTGCAGCTATAGACATTTCCTCTCTCTGTGAGTGCTGGCAGCTGTTCTTGGCTCCAGATTGTGAGTCAGATTCAGGTAGTTCTGCATGCCTCTCACAGTCCTTAGCCAGCGGCCTCTTGTGACACGGCCTTCTCAGGGTGAGTGACGAAAGAGCAGGAGAATGAGTGGAAACATGCCACCACCTCGCAAGTCCTCTGCTCACAGTTGTGCAAGCACCCTTCCACCAACATGCTGTTAGCCAAACAAGGCAGGGACCAAGCCCAGCATAAGCGGAACCAGGGAATAAGCACTGCCCATTTTAGGGAGTCAGCTAGCCACGGGCAGCAGGGGAAGCCTGGCCCGGGGCGGGAGAGAAGAGTAGGGAGTGGTAGTCAAGTCTTCATCAGACTCGCTGTATTAATCCCCAGCTCCAGCCAGACCAATGTTCACTGGTGGTCCACAGAGACCCAATATTTAACCAAGCCTGGACCTTTGAACATGCTTTTCTTCCTGCTTCAAATGCTCTCCTTATTCCTTTCTTCCTATCTGAATATTGGACATCTTTCAAGATCTAGTCAGACTTTGGACTCCTCTGTGAGGTCTTCCTTGATTATCTTGGCTCACAGTTATGTCTTCCTCTCTGAAAACGTATAGAATTTCACTCTTTTAATTTATGAAGTATCTGCTGTAGCTCCCCCACCTACAGGTACATGCAAGGGTGGGCAAAAGTAGATTAATAATAATATCAATACATAATACAATAATTAACAAATATATAATAATATAAGAAAACTGTTTTTGCATACACACTCTGTAAGCCTACTTTTGCCAATCCCTGTTCATAATCATCTGTCCATCAATCTATATCTATTTCTATTTATCTTCTCAATGTGATAGGAAGCTTCTTAAAACAGATATTTTACATGTAAAGGGTACTCACAAATATTTATTTTTGGACTAATAACTGTTTTCTTGATTTACTCTTTTTAATTAATTTCTTTATTGATTAAGGTATCACATATTTGTCCTCAACCCCCCATTGCAATCCCCCACCCCCACCCCACTTTCATGCCCCCATCCCCTGTTGTCCTTGACCACTGGTTAGGCTCATATGTGTGTGCACATAAGTCCTTTGGTTGATCTCTCCCTTTTATCCCCACCCTCCCTTTGAGGTCCAACAGTCTGACCCACGGCTCCTTATCTCTGGGTCTGTTCTTGTTCATCAGTTATTCATCATTCCCCCTATATGAGTGAGATCATGTCCTACTAGAAATATACTTATAAGAATAAAAAATGAGACAAGCAATAATCGTTATGCTGAAAAGCATATGAATCAGTCTGTAATGAGCTTCTTTCTGGGCCACCAGTTCTTTTGATTGATTTACTCTTTATTCCAAGAAGGTTCTATTTAAGTAAGTAATGTATTTGCTGTTTCTTTCCTGTCCAGCTGTCCCAAATCATGCATTTTCATAATCTATATGAAAGGAATTCAATTGATTGTCCACTTTCTTTTGGAACAGATAATGAATTAACTTCTGAGTTCTGCTGCTTGCTACAGAGCAGCTCTCAGTGAGTCAGCTGACCAGGTGACAGGTGGAAGTCCTAGCCAAAGACAATCAGTCCCTTCTAAGAACCACCCTCCTATTCGCCAGCTCAGATTTACTTTGTGGTTTTGCATTTTCATCAGAACAAAAGCACAGTGTAGCATCGTCACTTGGAAAGGGAAAAGAGGTCATTCAGAAGTTGAAAAAGAAAGGGATCTCAGAGGGAGAAAAAAAAAAGTCTCAGAGAAAGACACAGCTCAGATCCTGACCCTAGTAAATGGGGCCCTTCACAGTTTAGAAAGACTCTTATCTGTCCCTGCAGAGGGTGACACACACTCTCCTGTTCCCAGATGAGGATGAAAAGCACCTGCCATGTAGTGTTCTCGTTTCATTCTTTCAACGTTTCCAGGGCCCTCACGCAAGATGTGCTTGCTGGCGGCCCTCTCTGCATTCACTAGCATGACTAGGTCATTCCGTGTTTTTTTATTGTGGTAAAATAATATAGAACTTACCATTTTAGCCATTTTTAAGTTACAGTCAGTGGCATTAAGTACATCCACACTGCTGCACTGGCTTCTCTCCTGTGGGATTTAGAGCTGAAAAAACTTAAGAAAAACTCAAAGCTCTGGCAATGACTGGCCTTGGGCAAATCACTTAATCCTCTGCTTCCTGATCTTTATCATAACAATGACTCCCACGTTATGCGGTTGTTCTTGGATGGCTGAAATGAAAAGCATACCCCTAAGGCCTGAGTGTAGAGTCCTGGCTGGTAGAATATGTTATCAATTATAGCTAGTCATAGTCTTCAAGCCAAGCATGTAAAATTAAGATTGTTTCTGAACACTATATGAAATCACATTAATTCACAATCTACTATCCATCCAAATGACAAGTAAAAGTTAAAAGCCTTGAAAACATACTACAAGATAATTCAATAAAAATTATCAACGGAATTGTACTTGACTTTTTCCCTCAGTTTAAGTCACTATTTTTATGCCTGCTACTTTTGGGAGATATCCTAATTTTGCAAATTTTATTTGCCTACAGTTTGCTTCCTAACTTGTGTCCAGTATACTCTGTTCTCAAACTTCAATAGGAATAAAATTTATCCAGGAAGAATGTCAGAATTCAGATTCCAGGCCTTGCACCAGAAATGTTGGGAGGCTGGGACCATGAATTTTATTGAGCAACAAGGTGGCCTGGTGATCGTACTTGCAGAAATACTCCTCTGGTACAAATAAACTTCTGTGTCTACATTTAGGAGGGTCCTTAATTTATTCACTATCCTCCAGAGGTATATGTTCTAGTTTTAATACATTTTTATGTATTATTTTATAAAATAATCCGTTCCCAACATGGGGCACAAATTGCTCCCACAAAGGAGCAATTTGATTTTTAAGGGGGGGGGGCGGGGGCAAGGGGGCAATTGGAGAATGAGTTATTAACTGCCAGACATTGGGGCGTCATTTAACGACTTTGGGTCTTGATCTGGTATCTAGAAGGGTTCTGGAATCTGGAGAAGGCTGGGCATGCATTAAGTAAGAGTCCAGAGATGAAACATATTTTGAAAGGCATTGCGGGTCAGAGGAGCCTGGCTGAAGAAGCCAAGTTCTCCTTGTCTCAAGACCCCTTGCTTTTTATTAACACAAATTGTCCTAAGGCAAGATGGAGATAGACATTTCAAAGGGTAAAGTTTCCTACTGAAGCATTGTCAGATCAGATTGGGGAATAGCCTACGGCTGTTACTGTTCAGGTGTTTAGCCAACAGGGAGGCAATAAATGTAGATTAAGATGCCCTGAGCTGTCTGGCACAATCATCCTTTTCAGGTTTGGGAGAAATGCCTGTAGCCATTCCCAACAGGTGATAGCATATGTGACTCAACCCTTGTTGAGTCCCCAAGTTCAATCAACCTTTTGATGAAACTCTTGCAATTGTGACATGCTGAACTGGCTTCCGGCATTAACAGTGATTTTTTTTTTTTGTATTTCTTATGGTTCTGGGTTGCTCATATACAGTATATAAATATATATTGTGATATATTTATGCATTTTGATTATCTATTATATGTTTTGAAACTTTGCTATTTTTTCATATCACTTCATATTATTATTTTTTAACAATTTCTTAGTGATTTCTTCCTTAGTACTTCAGCTGTCCTTTCATTCTTTTATTTTTCTCTTTCATGGGTGCCATGTTCTTTGGAAGCTTGTTTAGATGGAGTTAATGGCCTTTTAGGCTTCCTCCATATGAATAGTAGTTCGCTTTTGGAATAGTAAGAATTATATGCCACAAAGGGGCGGGCATCGGGATTTAGAGATGCTTAGGGGGGGCATGGCCAAAAAAAGGTTGGGAACCACTGGTCTACATTTTCACATAAAAGTCCTCAACTATGGCAATGATTGCTCATACTAATCACTTTGACTTTGACACTTCAGCTGCACTGGTGATGTAAAATGTAACACTTGTATGATTACAATTTTTTTTTAATGTGCCCATTTAACATTTAGTTTCAACCACCTTATTGGCATTCAGTATTATCAAGTTATACCTAGATTTATACAAACTCTGCTTAGAGAACATGTTCCCATTTGTGAGTGCCATGGTCTTCCCTGTCTTGGTTAGGCTGGCTCTCTTTCAAGAAATGCCTTCTCTACTTTTGTCTGTTCTGAGGAGTTGCCTAGCAGTACCCCCTGCATTGTGGTTGACCCACAGTTTTTAAAATTAAAATTAGTTTCCAGCATTTATAAAAATCCAGACTCAGACTTCTCTTGCTCAGCCAGAGCCTCTAGCACACGGGGCCTTGGAATCGTGCACGGCATCCCCCAGCCGAGCGGCTCCCTCTGGATGTGGAACATGCGTTGCACCTTCAGTCCAGCCCAGGCCTCCCTGCGTCCAGCTTCCCACATGTTCCAAATCTAGACCACGGAATTTAACAAGTAAATGAGGTCATATCCTCTGCTAGCGCTTTCAATCTTATGTTTGTTTCCTCCTTGATGGTGTGCTATGGGAAAGAGAGGTGTACTTCTGCCCAGTGGTGCAGCCGCCAGCTCTCAGGAGGCCTGGGTGAGCATGTGGTTGACGGAGAGCACGCTGTGCTTCCCAGGTTATTTCCTACAGGTGCATCCCTCTCCAGCGAGGTGTGAGTCCCTCTGTGGCTGGCACGGTGATGAAGACTAACTATCTGGTCTTTTAATATTTTATTTAGAATTTTTACTTGGATAACAAAGGAAAAAAAGAAAGCAAGGAAACAAATGAGAAGATGAATGCCAAGAACAAGGAATGCTTACTGGAGGTAAGTTAATTTTGCACTATAGAAGAAAAGAGGAGGATGTTCACTGATCTATTTTTTAAATTATTTGCTTCCCAAAACAATAGGTGATTCTGAGACACACTGAAATGTTAACTTGAGGTTTGAAAATCACATTATTACTAAATTATAGCTATTTATGTAATTAAATTATTTGAGTGATTTGTTTAAAAGTAAGGTTTTAGCCCAGCCAATGTGGCACAGTGACTGAGTGTCAGCCCAGGAACCAGGTTCGATTCCCAGCCAGGGCACATGCCTGGATGGCAAGCTCGATCCCCAGTAGGAGGTGTGCAGGATATTTCTACCTCTCTGTCCCTCTCCTTGCCTCTTTCTATAAATTCAATAAAAACATATTTTTTGATAGTATGGCTTTAGACAGTATATTTTACTCTTTGTGCAGTTGGATTAGTAATACTTGACTAAAAGACTTAAAATCTGCATAAAACTCATCTCCTAACATTCTTTGACTCATCACTTAAGTGCTCCATAGAAGTCAGATGTAAGGATTTCTAAATCTGCTTTAGAGTGAATTCTCAGGTGTTCTTCCAACAGCCAGGTGTGGCAGGAAATCGGAGATTTGTGGTTAGAGACCTGATACAAGGTTGGCTCTGCCTGCTGAGGTTACTGTGTTATTGGACAAGTCCAAGCACCTTGGTTTCTGGAGTCTCACTGAATTATTACACTATAGAAATCAATGGAAAAAATATCCTCAGGTGAGGATTTAAAATAAGTTATTCTACCTTTATGAGATTGAATGAAAGGAGACAAAGTTATAAAATAGAAAGAAAAAAAATTGAGTATTTGAACTGAAAGATGATAATATGCAATTTTACTACATTGCTTTTTAGAAGAAATTTACTAAGATCTATAAATCTATACAAGTTTTGACATTTGAAAATTCACACCTAGAAAATGTACTTAGACACTATCCTTTCAGATGGTATAGTATTATACCTTCTTCATTTTTTGATAAGAAAACCATCCCAAGAATAAGTTATTAACATACATATATTTTATGTATAGAATTATATTATACATTGCAATTTTTTTTTATTTCCTAGCAGTAAAATAGTAATCTTTTTTGCTTATAGGAAAAGTAATAATTTTTTAATTTACCAACTTATAAGACCCTTTAGATACTCACAAATTTCCTAATGAAGCTGGGGCTATTATTGCTCCATTTTGCAAGGAAAGAAACTGAGGTTTAGTTACTTTCCCACTGTCACAGCGCTAAGTGGTCAAGAAGCTTTGAAGTCTAATTCAGCAACCATGGAGTTCCTGCTCTCTTTAGTCAAACAGCATGCAATATAAATATACTAGAAGCCTCATGCACAAATTCACGATCAGGGCTGATCAGGCTGTCTCTCACAGTCCCTATCAGGCAGAACCGATCAGGGCCTGCCAGCTGGGGAGAGGGACAGGTGAAGGACCGCAGGAGGTTGGCCAGTGGTGGGGGTTGGCTGTTAGCAGGAGATTGACTATGGGAGTACATTGACCACCAGGAGGCAGTTCCTGCATTGAGCGTCTGCCCCCTGGTGGTCAATGAGCATCATAGTGATTGATCAACCAGTCATTCCAGTCATTTGGTCATAACAGTTGCTTAGGCTTTTATATATATACCTTGAATCAGAGCTGTAGACAAAAATTACTACGGTATTAACTTAAAGGCTAGTTTGCCACAGTTTGTTTAAATGTGAACAAAAAGTATTTTACCTTTCATGTGTTTATATAATTGGAATCTCGATTTCAGGAAAGTTTCTGTGGAACATCTGTCATTGTGCCAGAACTTGAAGGAGCTCTTTATTTGAAAGAAGATGGAAAGAAATCCTGGAAAAGGCGCTATTTCCTTTTACGAGCTTCTGGAATTTATTACGTACCCAAAGGGAAGACTAAGGTTAGAAAGGAAAAAATCTAGTAAAAAAAAAAAAAAAAAAAAAAAGTGTCATGGAAGTGAAACTAAAGAAATCTTCAGGTTGCAATTTAAATATATTTACTTTTTCATGGAAGTGATGTTATTACAATATTTATACTAATATTTACCCTATTGGGATAGATTACAGAAATCCTCTTGTAATATTTCCAATAGTTCTCTCTTGAAGGTGAAGAATTTTATCTGTTTAAAGTCAGGTTTCAAAAATTATGACCAAGACCTAGCCTTTGACTCAATGGATAGAGTTAACTCACGGACTGAAGAGTTCTGGGTTTGATTCTTATCAAACGTGCGTACCTCGGTTGTAGGCCTGATCCCCTGTCCCAGTCATAGCGGGTACAGAAGGCAACTTTCTCACTCGATGTTTATCTCTGTCTCTCCCCCTCCCTTCCACTCTCTCTAAAAAATAAATAAATAATAAATAAAAAATCCTTGGATGAGGATTAACAACCACAACAAAAAAATTATGCCCAAAGTATTTTTCTAGAGATTAATTTGTTACTTTGTATACTTGCTCCTGAGAAGTTTCCCCCTGTATTGACTATTTGTTCTATAGTCATAGTAAAATTTCTTTTATCTGAAATTATATATGTATTAGAAGTCTTGATGGATCTTCATTTAGATTTTAGCCCCTAACCTCTGAATATTGAGTTGTCTTCTGAGGTGTACTATATGCATTTTCCTAATTTAGCAGCATTCCTCAGACGTCATTTAACTTTTGCTTGGTGATTCAGAGTTAGTGCCTCAAATCTACAAGCATAAAGTAAATTCTCCTTTGAAATATAATATTAACTATTATCTTTTTCAAAGACCCTTCTTAGAGGCTCAGGGCTTTTCCACCTTTTGTTTAACTTTTAAAATTTTAGAATGGCCGAAACCGGTTTGGCTCAGTGGTAGAACGTCAGTCTGCGGACTGGGGGGTCCCAGGTTCGATTCCGGTCAGGAGCATGTATGTTGGTTGTGGGCACATCCCCAGTAGGGGATGTGCAAGAGGCAGCTGGTCGATGTTTCTCTCTCATTGACGTTTCTAGCTCTCTATCTCTCTCCCTTCCTCTCTGTGAAAAATCAATAAAGTGTATTTAAAAAAAAAAAAAAAAAAAAACTTTAGAATGTCTCTCATCTTTATCTGGGGTGAACCAGAACATTTTGCCTGCATTGCCCAATGCAGGACACCACCAAATGGCATATTTACAAATTGCAGGTTTCTTCTGATTTGCTTGACCCACAACCCCATGCAGGTGAAATCCTGGTGAATATGCAGGTCTGCTCCCAGAATCTGTAAGACAATGTTATCTCTGTTGGAATTCAGGAGAGGAATTATGGGTAGTGCTTGGTCCAATGCAGCTAGTGCTCCTACTGACACAGTCCCAGCTGTGTCATCTTCAGTCCAGTCCTACTCGGGGACGTCACAGTTGACCCACTAATGACTTGTTTTATTTTAGAAATGCTATGTCTTTGGCATTCACATATAAATGAAACATAGATAAACCTACTACAAACAACTCCCTTAGTGGTGTTACAATAGGACAACATACTTTTTCTCACAGCTGCTACTAACAGTGGAGTGGAGGGATTAGACAGTAAGTCAAGAAAAATAGTAAAAATGTAATTATTGGGAAAGAAGAGGCAAAAATTATTTTTATGCACAAATGACACAATTATCTATCTAACTTTATAAGACAATTGTTTATTCAGTTATTTCACTTCTTCATTAAATTTTACATTTTATGCCATATAAGAGAGGAAGAGAGAGGGATACTATCAGGACCAAAAAAACTTAACAAATAAGAAATTGTTTTCCTTTACACAAATAATATGCAAATTAAAATGTAATGCAAAAGGTTTTATGTATAGCAGAAATAAAAAATATAAAATACCTAACAACCAACAAGAAATGTTGAAGGCTTATATGGCATAAAATGTAAAATTTAATGAAGGAAGTGAAATAACTAAATAAACAGAAATGTAACATGTAATTAGATGGGAAGATTAATTCTTCCCCCCAAATTTTCTATATATTCAATCCCCAACAAAAATTTCAGTTGAATTCATTTTACGTGAAGTTCACAAACTGTTTCTAAAATTTATCAGAAAAATTAAACCCCAAAAATTGTGAAGAACATTAAGGTACAATTCCCCCTCAAAAAAAAAATTAGATAAAAGTAGGACAGGTAGAAACAAGCAGATGAACAGATAGCCATGTAATAGAAAGAAAATTAAAGTAAGCATTTTACAGCAATGGGGGAAGGGGAATATAGTATTCAATAAATAATATTGAAAAAAATGTACACCCACTTGGAAAAATAGATTTGACCCTTATACTGTGTTCTAAATTAAATTCTAGATTAATTAAACACATTTAGGAAAAAAGAGAATACAAAATTTTAAAAGAAATATACATTAATATCTTTATAACTTAGGGGTGGATTTGCCTTCTTAAACAAGACTAAAAACCCAAGATTATATGCCGAAACCGGTTTGGCTCAATGGATAGAGCATCAGCCTGCGGACTGAAAGTCCCAGGTTCAATTCTGGTCAAGGGCATGTATGTTGGTTGTGGGCACATCCTCAGTGGGGGTTGTGCAAGAGGCAGCTGATCAGTGTTTCTAACTCTCCCTCTCTCTTCGTCTCTGTAGAAAATCAATAAAATATATTTTTTAAATAAAAGATGACAATTAAACACACACACACACACACACACACACACACACACACACACACACAGATTATAAGGAGAAAATTGACAGGTTGTTCCTAATTTCTCGTGACCAAATATCCAAACAAGAAATTAAAAACTAGCTATTGAATCCGAGAGTACATCTGCAGCATGTATAACAAAGTATGAAGAGCAATAAAATACAAAGAGTTCAGCAAGTCAATAAGAACGAGGAAAACATACTTATAAAAAAGGGCAAAGCTTTTTTAGTGAGAATTGACTGAAAAAAGAATATTAGTAGCCACTGAATAAGTTAAAATGTGTTCTATCTTATTAAAAGCAAGGAAATGTAAATTTAATAGTGAAATATTTCCTCCCATGAGATCGATAATATTAACAATATTGATAATATCTAAATTTCAACAGGAGTGGGTAAAAAAAAATGGCACTCTCGCACAGAGGTTGAAAGGTAAATTGATATAAAACAGTATTTATAATAAAATTTCACTCATGTTTCAAAAATTGTGTAAGAATATGTATGTATGTATGTGGGGGTATCTCTACATAAATGCTTACCCAAAAACATGTGGAAGAGTACTACTAAACTATTAACAATAGTATTTATAAAGAAAAGAGTGGAATTAGAAAAAGGAATGATGAAGGAAGATTTTCATTATTAGGTATATATGCATTGTTCTTTAAATTATGAGTATGTTTTATTTTTCTAATTTAAAACTTTGAAAATTTAGAAGAAAATATCATATAGAAAAAAAAACACACCATAAATAAAGGAATAATTGGGCCCTGAGGTGTAGCAATTCTGCCCCTCACTCTATTCACTATCTAGGTAAAGGATTATAGAATGTGATGGGAGAGAGTAATAGAACAAATTTGTAACTAAAGTGTAACCAAATATGTAACTAAAGTGTAAACAAATATGTCAAAGTCTTCACAATGCATATTATACAGGGAGAAGAGGTTTCTGTTTCCATAGCAATGCCATGGACAATAAAAAGAAAGAATGAAAGGAATCTTTTTTCCTCTGGAAGAAGTGTGTGAAGATGCTGTTTTCTTGACCATCACATTATCCTCTCATTGTTCCTCCTGAAGGGGACTTTTATTTATTTATTTATTTATTTGCTTGTTTATTTTTAATGCTCAATCATGAAATTCATCGGCAACTTAGAATGGCAAAAGCCAAAATGACATTTCTGATAAAATGGCTCGTCACCTTGTATTGTCAATAATGATGCCTCAAGGTTAAGCAGTCAGCTCTGACCCTGGGAGACCATGCGCAGGTGCCCGAACAGCAGTATAATCTTTCACTCCATTCTTGGGCCTGTGGCACGCTGTTTTGCCTTATGTGAACTCCTTCGCCTCTTAAAATGCAGGCTGGGCATTTAGAAAACTAAACATAATAGATAATTCAATAAATTACCTAAAATTCAACATTTTTCCACTAAAATATCATTCTTAGTTGTGCCCTCGAAAACAACCTTGGAAAAATATTAACCATCAATTGTGTTAAAGTTTGGTTTTTTTTTCTCTCTTTTAGACATCTCGAGATCTGGCGTGTTTTATACAGTTTGAAAATGTCAACATTTACTATGGGATTCAGTGTAAAATGAAATATAAAGCACCCACTGACTACTGCTTTGTTTTAAAGGTATGTTGTAAGAAATCCTTACTTTATGTCTGTATGCAATGTGAGTTAATATTTCCTTTTAAGGAAAAAAATAGTCAAATTTCATATAGTGAACCACAAGTATAAATAGTAAGCTTTTTATTTTAAACCAACATAGGAAAGGAAGAAACATTTCTAACAGCTCAGATCATTTCCCAAGTCTAAAACTTTACAGCGAATCTGTCTGACAGCTTGGCGATTAGAGGGGAAGGGGAATGGGGAAGGTAGAAGAGGGTAAATGGGGAACAGGGGTAAATGGTGACGGAAAGAGACTGTACTTGGGGTGGTGAACACACAATACAAGAAACACTGCAAACCTATATCATTTTATTAACCAATGCCACCCAAATATATTCAATTTTTTTTAAAAAGAAAGAAAAAGAGCCGGGACCGGTTTGGCTCAATGGATAGAGCGTCGGCTTGGGGACTGAAGGGTCCCGGGTTCGATTCCGGTCAAAGGCATGTACCTTGGTTGCGAGCATATCCCCAGTAGGGGGTGTGCAAGAGGCAGCTGATCGATGACTCTCTCTCATCGATGTTTCTGGCTCTCTATCTCTCTCCCTTCCTCTCTGTACAAAAATCAATAAAATATATTTAAAAAAAAGAAAGAAAGAAAGAAAGAAAGAAAAAAAGAAAGAAAGAAAGAAAGAAAGAAAGAAAGAAAGAAAGAAAGAAAGAAAGAAAGAAAGAAAGAAAGAAAAAGGAAAGTGAATCTGAATACAATTCTTCATTGCTTATGAAAATGAAAACTCTACATTTTGAACAAATTTTATGTACCATTTTATTGATAATACTGAATAAATTTTTCAGTATTTACTTATTGAACCCTTATTCCATTTTAAGAAGATTTTAGAAATTAGGAACTAGATGAGATTTTCTAGAAAAATACAAAAAAAAAAAAAACACAGAAACTAACAAAATATTTTTTCATGATACTTTTTGGGGTTTTTTTCTTAGTGAAATACAATAATTGGGCTCAGTCTTATTTAATAAGACTGCTAAGTGATCTCTCCCAAGATGCACGAAGATTCATGTAAGAATGGGCCTTCCTTCCCCTGGCTGCTGGCACTGCCTTCGCTCTGGCCAAAGCCTCATTTTCATTCCACCCAGAGCCACCTTTCCCCTCTGGCCTAGAGCTGCCTTTTGCCTTCCTATGCTGCCCAGGGGCCAGAGCAGCGGGGGTGGTATGGAACACCACCATAGCAATGACACAAGCATCCCTACCCCCAGCTGTTTGGCACCTGCATATGCAAATTAACCTGCTGTTAATTTGCTGTTAATTTGTTGGGTTAATTTGCATATTTGCTCCTCACTGGCTGGTGGGTGTTGCAAAGATATGGTCAATTAGCATGTTGCTTTTTTAATAGTGTAGATTACGAGGGGCCCAGTGCACAAATTCATGTACCTCGAAAGGAACTGGGCTGCAAGGCTGCAGTGGGCACAGGGCTGGGTCTCGGCCCATCTTCCGTGCCTCCAATGCCCATGGTCCCCTGTCTGCCCATGGTCCCCTGTCTGCCAGCAGCCCCACTCTCACTGTTGCCATGGCACCAGCACCATCAGCAGGTGCCAGCAGTGGCTGCTGCCTCGATCACCCTTCAGGAGCAGGGGGAGGTAGAGAAAACCTCAGGGATGACTGGGGCTAGCAGCCACTGCTGGCACCTGCTGATGGCGCTGAGCGATCGGAATCAGCTCCAGGCACCAGCATTGGGTGCGAGCAGGGCTGGCACTGGCAGCAGGTACAAGCGCCAGGTGGGACTGTGGCGCAGGAGCAAAGAATTTTCATAACCATCAGAGGCTTGCCCCAATGACCAGTGACCAGCACCCCATTTTGGTCTGGCGTGCCCACTCACCTGTTCCATCATCCCACTGCACCCAATGCCTACCTTGTTCCACACTCTGTCATCTGCTGCTGATGTTCCACGTGTGCCCCCTAGTGGTCATTGCACATCGTAGCGACACTGGTTGTTCAATTGTTCGGTTATTTAGTCTATTTGCATATTAGCTTTTTATATATATATATAGACTATTATTATCAAGTAATTGGTTGAAGTGATTGCCTTCATTGAGGACTCAGGGTAATGGGTGTTTTTTATTTAGACATCCATAGTCCTCTTTGTCATTACTGAGCATCCACTTTCATTACAAACTAGAGGCCTAGTGCATGAAATTCATGCACTCAGGGGGAGAGGGGATCCCTCAGCCTGGCCTACACCCTCTTGCAATCCAGGAACCCTCAGGGGATGTCTGACTGATGGCTTAGGCCGGCTTCCCAAGAGGCTCCCACCACTGCCACTGCGCTCGCCAGCTGACCTGGCTTCTGTCTGAGCAGTGCTCCCCCTGTGGGATCAGGCTGAAACCGGCTCTCCAATATCTCTCGAGGGGTCCCAGATTGCCAGAGGGTGCAGGCCAAGCCAAGGGACCCCACTGGTGCATGATTGGGCCAGGAAGAGACACAGGAGTTGGCCAGCTGGGGAGGGTCCACAGGAGGGCTCCAGAGTATGTCTGGCTCATCTTGCTCAATCCCAATTGGCAGAACCCCAGCAGCAAGCTAACCTACCAGTTGGAACATCTGTCCCCTGGTGGTCAATGCACATCATAGCAACTAGTAGACTGGTTGACTGTCTGCCCCCTGGTTATTAGTGCATATCATAGCAAGTGGTTATGTGACCTTAGTGTTCATTAGCATATTGACTGGTTGAATGGCCAACCAGTTGACTGGATATTTAGAATATTAGGCTTTTATTATATAGAATAGAAATAACCACAACCACTGTCCTAGCTCATTCAGCCTGCTACCCCCGCCCCCTGAATCTCTCAACCAGAGGCATTTTGCCCCCAGCAGACCTTTATCAATATCTAGAGACATTTTTGTTCGTCTTGACTTGAGGGGGGCTATTACTGCTTACATTTGATGGGTAAAGGCCAGGGACACTGCTAAATACCCTACAATGCACAAGGCAACCCCACAACAAGGGGTTAGCTGCTCACAAATGTCAATAGTGCTGCTGTCGAGAAGCCTGCCCTAGACAGAATACTCCCAGGATAATGTCTGTAAAGGGACTGAGGAAAGAGAGAGAGTAAGATTCATTCATTCAGTCCTAGCTGGTTTGGCTCAGTGAATAGAGCATTGGCCTGTGGACTGAAGAGTCCTGGGTTTGACATGGAACCAGAATGAGATGCAAAGTGGAGCCTCTGAGGCCGCTACTCTCTCAGACACTATTTACTAGGAAACAAAATATCTTCTCTTCCCACCATACACCACCGCCAGCACCCTTGAACTGTGTCTTCATTCTGACCTTGTGGCCCACATTTGGAATCTTGAAACCCTAAGAAATTACCAGAATAGAGGCCCTCATTTTCATGTGGACAGTTCTATGCACTTCATCTCTGAAGTGTTGCCCACATCTCTCAAGTAGGGAGAAGATTCTGGAGAAAAGTTCTGAAATGCTGGTCAGTAAACTGGCTGAATACAGATTCCAGAGCCCTGGACTCATTGAATCAACATATTTAAGGATGGGGCCTAGGAATCTCCATTTTTCTTAAGGTCAATGTCCTAAGTCTAAACATCAACACTCAGGAAATACCCTCCCAACTGGACAAACAGGATGAAAGTTGTCAGAAGGAGCAAGGACTCAAGCCCTAACACCAGGGCCATGGACTGGAGCGGGAAGGCTGGCTGGAGAAAGACAAGATTTTGGGCCTAGAAGTCCCCAAGATGGGACTTTAGACACAGTGAACTGCCTCAGCTTCCTGTGTCAACACGCATATTTGGGACTAGGTCCTAGAGTCATGGCTTAAGTTGAATTATCAGACTGGGACACAGGTTATCCTGGGTTCCACTGCAAATGGAATGCTGAGACCCAGGGTATTGGACTAGAACTTTTAAAACCCTCATCTCCAAGGCCTATGTCTCCAAGAGAGAATTGGGGAAGAAAGCTCAGAGGGGGAGAAATTCGTAGGCCTCTTGGATCTAGGAACCAACAAGAGTCAGGGGCAACCCTAGCGGAACATGTATTTCCTTTTTTCTCACAACAATGATCTCTCCTCAAGTCAATTTTTTCATGTGCCATCATCCTGCTCGTTTTGCTCTTTTGCATGCTTGTCAGTTCCTTCCCAAAATATTGAGAATGTTAAACAAGTTGCTGAGTATAAGGCTCTGTCACTGTTTGGAGAACTTATTTGTTTATGAACACTTTTGGTCACATATTTCCTTTTCTATCCACTATGAAAAAAATTGTTGATATTCAAATATTTCATTGGGATAAGCAGACTTACAGAATTCAAAAAATACATACTTACATTTCAAAAGGAATTCAAAATATGGAGAAATCTGTTAAGAGATTGCATGATTCCACCCTGGCAAGTTTGGCTCAGAAGATAGGCCATTGGCCTGCAGACTGAAGAGTCCCAGTTTGATTCTGATCAAGGGCACATGCCTGGGTTATGGGCTCGATCCCCAGTAGGGAGTGTGGAAGAGGAAGCTAATCAATGATTCTCTCTCATCATTGATGTTTCTATCTCTCTTTCCCTCTCCTTCTCTCTCTCTCTCTCTGAAGTCAATAAAAATATATTTTAAAAAAATAAAAAAAGAAGATTGCATGATTCCACGGGCACACACTGACTGATAAGTCCAGCCAAGAAGGTTTTTATTCCCCAGGTACCCCTTCTACTGGTCATTATGGTGTAAGCCTCCTACTCATCTTTATTTACCCAGCAGTTGGTACATTTCTTAACACCCAGAAGTATTTGTTGAATGTGTGGGGTCTCTGCTCTAGTTAGGGTTCTGCCACTCTCTTTGGACTTGGACAAATGGGTTACTCTCTCTGGCACTTGGTTTCCTCATTTGTGAGTTAGAGGATCTGTAAGTTCCCTTTTAACAATAATGTTCTGCAATTACCCCGACCTCTGTGCTCCATGCTGAGCTTCTCTCTTTTTATAGTAGGAACAAACAAACCAATTGCAAAAGAGTCTAGCTTGTGGCACTGAGTCAGCATTTTTCCCTTATACCCCTTTGCAAATAATCTTGCAACAAAAGGCTCAGTTAGGCGTACACCCTTGGCAAGGTCCCAAAATATGACTGGAGAACCAGCACAGCGACTTGCCCATAAAACCTGAGCACCGCAAGAGGTCTCGAGGTCATCTGATGCTTAATTCTGCTGCATGTGTTCATAGTACACATATGGTGTAAGGACATCAGTGAGGTTTCCCCACTAATGTTGGAGAAAATGAACCAGGATCTGCATATCTGTCTCCTCGTCATAGAAAGAGCCACTGATGGAACACAAGTTCAAGAGTTCTTGCCTCTCTTTTATGCTCAAAAGCCATGTTTAAGGGAATGACCATTTGGATGGATTTGTTTTGTTTATTGTGCTATTTATGTGAATACCTCTACGTAAGTTGCTTTGTGCATTTCGTTGCAAGCACAATGTGAGTTATAGTCTGCTCCTGGGAGCCTGGCTCTCACATGGCATGCACCAAATAAATAAATAAATACTTTTAATATGGCAAAACCAAAGTAACAATGTCACCTTTTTTAATTTCTCAGAAAAAAAAACACACAACACAAGCCTGTTTTCTAAGAACAATTATAAACATTAAGTTGCTGAAGTGACCATGTTTTCCCCTCTTATTTGACAGTCAGAAAAGAGCGTTGTCCCAGGTGAGGGAACTGTTTCTGGTGCTGAAAGAGGACTTTGGCTTGGTTCTGTGAGCTTTATTGTTGACAGGAGTGCTGCAGGCATCTGTGGAAAGTCAGCTTCCATTCAGGGAATGAGTCCTCAGCTGAGTGTACTTTTCATCAGTGACCTTCTGATTAATTAATGCAACAAATCCTTTTTCTGCTGGTGGGTCACATTATTTGAATTGATGGTCAGTTTCACTTTTAAGGGACTCAAACGGGTATGTTTAGTTGGGATAACATTTACAAAAATGAAATCTAATATTCAGAATTAATGAGAAAGCATTGAACCCCAGTAAAATGGTGCTACACATTCAAAACACATTGAAAAGTGTGTGTTGCCATCTGCCGGCCAGAATGGAAAAGGACAGGCAACATTCAGGAGCCTAATGTGCTCAAGAGGAGGAAACCTGTGGAACTGGTTCAAGTGATGCTGGTACAAATTCTGAGGGCTTGAGTGACCTAAGTAAAGGCAACCGTTTATGCAAAGATAAAAGTATAGCCCTAGCCGGTTTGGCTCAGTGGATAGAGCCTCGGCCTGTGGGTTAAAGGGTTCCGGGTTCAATTCCACATGCCCAGGTTGCAGGCTTGATCCCCAGTAGGGGGTGTGCAGGAGGCAGCTAATCAATGATTCTCATTATTGATGTTTCTCGCTGCTGCTGCTTCTTCTTCTTCTTCTTTTTCTCTTCCTTTCTGAAATCAATAAAAATCTTCTTTTAAAAAAGATCCTATAGCCGAGACCGGTTTGGCTCAATGGATGGAGCATTGGCTTGGGGACTGAAGGGCCCTGGGTTCGATTCCGGTCAAGGGCATGTACCTTGGTTGCGGGCATATCCCCAGAAGGGGGTGTGCAAGAGGCAGCTGATCGATGACACTCTCTCATTGATGTTTCTAACTCTCTATCTCTCTCCCTTCCTCTCTGTACAAAATCAATAAAATATATTTTTTTTTTAAAAAAGATCCTATATAATAAAAGCGTAGTATGCAAATTGTCCCCTTGACCAGGCGTTCTTCTGGAGTTCGACCAGGGGGGCGGGGCCAGCTGAGGGAAGAGAGGAGGCCCTGGCCGACAGGTGGCCGGGGGAAGGGAGGGAGTGCACTGGGCCTCTAGTAAAAGTATAAAAGTAAATTTTCATCAATTGGCTCAAAGGCAAAAAGGAGGAATTCTTTATAATTTCTGAATTTTTCTGAGGCATCTTTAGAGTCTGGAATTTTGGCTTAATAGCTTGATAAAAATGCATGAATTCTAGAGGGTAGGACAAGAGATTTCAAGCTTCTAGTGGACCAGGGGGTAAAATATATAGTAACCTATCTGAGCCTCGGTTTTCTCATTTTTAAAACCAAAAATTACTAACCTCTCACCAAGCTCTTCAAGACTCTGTGAGTGTTGTTATTTGTCCTGGGCACAGTCAGCGATACCACTGATTTTTACTGGCTGTGTCATTAGACAGAGCAGCAAGGTGACAACTCCAAATGCTGCTTCTCAGATTCAAACTCCTTCCTGCCCATGGAAGCTGGCTTCCAGCTCTCTGGGCATTCCATCTCGCTTTCAGCACCACCCACAATTTTATGCTGATCCTAGCAGAGTTAATGAACTCCCCTGAGAAATGGAGGAAGATAGAGGTGGTAATATGTATGGTTATGGTTGGAAATTATTTCTCTGTATCTCTAAGTTTATGAAAAATTATAAAGACCCATGAAAATGTATGTGGTTCTCATCTCAGAACCTAGATTTGGTTGCTGGACCCTTGCCTTATGGCCATAAGATTTCTGTTGAACAGGAATTCCTGCACTTGTTTATTTCTCTTAACAATTATTTCCACCTCTGGACCGGAATAGCAAGCCAAATATTAAGCTCTGGGCGTCTTCATCAGACATGATTCCCACCTTCATGAAGCATACAAGCTGCCAGAGACAAGACATAAGACAGAAATTACCAAGGCAATGAGGATTCAGAAAGATGAGTGCAGGGCGATCTGTCTGACCAGGGGCATGTGTCTCTTTCCCTTCGTGTCTGCCCTATCACTGTTCTCACTGAGTGTGAGCTCTGGGAAGGCCTGATGGTTCCTAGTGCAACACCCAAGGACATTGCCACTTGGAAATAGACAGAATTATTGCATCTCCAGGCCATCTATCCAGAGACCAAAAAGGGCCCCTTTGGGTAGGAGATGACATTTGAGAATGGATAATTCTAGAGCATGATTCCAGTCAATGGCACATGCCCTGGTCGAGGGCTCCATCCCCAGTAGGGGGGCATGAAGAAGGCAGCTGAATAATTATTATCTCCCATCATTGATGTTTCTATCTCTCTCTGTCCCTTTCTCTCTGAAATAAATAAAAATATATTTTAAAAAGAAAGTATGATTCCTAGGTAGCAGAAATAACCTTAGGATTGATTGGGAACCACAAAAACATTATTAATTCTGTGACTTAAGAATTATTATATATCAGGTAAATTCCCTAATCTGATAAATGGAGAAATAACTCAGATTTTTTGTGGGGATAGAAACATTATAGTTGTGAAAGCTTTCAAATGTTAAAAAAAAAGCAGAAATTAAAATTATAGTTGATAATATAGTAAGAAGTGCTTACAATAAATCATGTCCCAGATTTCCTAAGTCCTTTCAAAATTTAGCCCATTTTAAAGTATTGCTCTTTTCAACCTAAAATTACTCCCAGTAACTATTGCCACCATCTCAGGAAATTACATTTTAATTTTTTTTGAAATATCACAGAATTAAATACCTGAAACTTATATGATTTTATTAGCACACTAATAAATTCAATAAAAATTTTTAAAATTTTTTGAGAAGCACTAATGAATGAAGGGTTTATGAATGGTCTTTGATATGACTATTTTCTAGCATCCCCAAATTCAGAAGGAGTCCCAGTATATCAAGTATCTCTGCTGTGATGATGAAAGAACTCTAAACCAGTGGGTCACGGGAATACGGATCGCAAAGGTGAGTGAGCATTTGGGCTCCACCCTATCTTGAATTTGTTTGCCAATGCCTGCTTGGCCTGGGTCCAGTCTTTGTGTTCTTGTAAAATAGTTAATCCACTCTTAATGCCACCAATGTGATCTTATTTACTTGCCCATTGTATTTTTTAAATAGGTGACAGGGATAGTAACATAGACCTCTCCAATGAACTGAGAATCAGAGGTTTACTTTCACATAAGACTTTTCAGATCTCTGTTTACTCATAGAGAGCATTGCAAGTTTAGTGTGTAATTACAAAACATGAGGTATAATTAAATACACAAGGTACAGAATTATACAAAGACATATAATCAGAATTCCATAGCTAAAGCTCTCCTCTAATGTCTAGGTAAAAGTATTAATTGTCTCTGCTAATCTGGAAAATTAGTTAACACATGAAAATCGATAACACAATTAAAAATCTTGGGTGTAAATTTTTACTACCCAAAAACTTTACCAATAGCCTACCTGTTGACCAGAATTACAAACATAAACAACCAATTAACACTTTTTTTTTCATCCTCACTGGAGGATATGCTTATTGATTTGAAAGAAAGATCAATCGGTTGCCTCCACTACACATCCCAACTAGGGCTCGAACCTGCAACCTGGGTATGTGCCCTGACGGGGAACCAAGCCTGCCACCTTTTGGTGTATGGGGCAAGGCTACAACCAACTGAGCCACCCAGCCATAGCAATACATATTTTATATGTTATATGTATTATGTACTGTATTCTTACAATAAAGCTAGAGAAAACATAGTATTAAGAAGATTATAAGGAAGATGCCGAGGTCGGTTTGGCTCAGTGGTAGAGCGTCGGTCTGCGGACTGAAGGGTCCCAGGTTTGATTCTGGTCAAGGGCATGTACATTGGTTGCGGGCACATCCCCATTTGGTAGGGGGTGTGCAAGAGGTAGCTGGTCAATGTTTTTCTCTCATCGACGTTTCTAGCTCTCTATCTCTCTCCCTTCCTCTCTGTAAGAAATCAATAAAATATATTTTTAAAATGTATTTAAAAAAAGAAAGAAAATTATAAGGAAGAAAAAATATATTTATGGCATTTATTGAAAAAAAAAAATCTGTATATAAGTGAAACCGCACATTTCAAACCTTTATTTAAAAAAAAAAAAAAAAGAAAAAAAAAAAACTTGGGAAAAAGTAAAAAGAGAACTCATGAAGTATTTCCCCCCTCAATATGTATATTGAAGATGAGTGCAGAATTTCGGATAAATGGATGACTTTTTGCTTCTTTTTGCTTCTTTTGTTTCCTCCCTAGTACGGAAAGACTCTCTATGACAACTATCAGCGGGCTGTGGCAAAGGCTGGGCTGGCCTCTCGGTGGACAAACCTGGGCACTGTCAATGCACCTGCACCAACTCCGCCTTCTACAGGTACCACAAAGAGCAGAAATTCTGACACCTCTTCAAGCTCAGCCCAGCCTCTACCCTCTCCAATCTGGGACCCCTCAAGGGATGTCCAGCTGCCTGTTTAGGCCTGATCCCACCGGGCCTAAATGGACAGTCGGACATCCCTCTCACAATCCAGGACTGCTGGCTCCCAACTGCTTACCTGCCTGCCTTCCTGATTGCCCCTAACCACTTCTGCCTGCCAGCCTGATCACCTCCTAACCACTTCCATGTCAGCCTGATTGATGTCTAACTGCTCCCCTTCCAACCTGTTTGCCCCCAACTTCCCTCCTCTGTCGGCCTGATCACCCCTAACTGCCCTCCCTACAGGGTTGATCGCCCCCAACTGCCCTCCCTTTCAGGCCTGGTTCTTCCCAACTGCCCTCCCCTGCTGGCCTGATCATCCACAACTCCCCTTCCCTGCAGGCCATCTTGTGGCAGCCATCTTGTGTCCACATGGGAGGCAGCCATATTTGACCATGTGGGGTGGCCATATTATGTGTTGGAGTGATGGTCAATTTGCATTACCTATTTATTATATAGGATGACCAAAAAGTGGGACATACTGCCGAAACCAGTTTGGCTCAGTGGTAGAGCGTCGGTCTGCGGACTGAAAGGTCCCAGGTTCGATTCTGGTCAAGGGCATGTACATTAGTTGTGGGCACATCCCCAATAGGGGTTGTGCAAGAGGCAGCTGGTCGATGTTTCTCTCTCATCGACATTTCTAGCTCTTTCTCTCTCTCCCTTCCTCCTCTCTGTAAAATATCAATAAAATATATTTTTTTTTTTAAAGTGGAATATACTATCTTCTGGTTAACCCAGACTTTGTAGCCTGTATAAAGCATTCACTTTCCTGAACCATCTGCTGAACCGCACGAAGTCCTGACATAAAACCTCAGATTTTTCCTAAGGTTCCCAGTTAACTGTATTATGCCCATGAATCCCTTTCTTTTGCATTAGAGATATAAATTTCTTTCTATTTTCAGATGAACTTTCAAGAATGTTGAAACGTCTTCCCTACTCATCTTGTCTCTCTTCCTCTCTCTCAGGACTTACAGCAGGCACCGCCCAGGCCAATGGTCAGATTCCCCAGGCTGTACACTCAGCGAGTGCTGTTCTCGAGGAAGCCCAGAGACACGTTGACACAACTAAGGTAGGCTGGAGAGTAACTGACACACTCTATCCAACTGGCCCCTGTAAACCCATATTCTAAGCCATCAGTGGTCTTCTAATAACTGGTCTTTTAAAAAGAGAATACAGAAGTTAGTTCCAACACTAAAGCCCTATAACTTCATTTAGATAATTGCTTTATATATTTTTTATCTTAAAATTACATAGGCTAGAATGGAAAGTTAAAACCAACTGTCATTTCGGGCAATGTATGATTTTCGTATTAATACTAAGGATTGACAACTCTTTTTAATTTAGCTACACTGGCTGAAGCAATTTTCTATTCTTTTCTTTTTAATATATTTTATTGATTTTCCACAGAGAGAAAGGGAGAGGAATAGAGAGCTAGAAACGTCAATGAGAGAGAAACATCGACCAGCTGCCTCCTGCACACCCCCTGCCGGGGGTGTGCCCGCAACCAAGGTACATGCCCTTGCCCGGAATCGAACCTGGGGCCTTCCAGTCCACAGACGACGCTCTAACACTGAGCCAAACCGGTTTGGCTGAAGACAAATACTTTTAAAAGCAGAAAACAATTAAAGGTTCCCAGAATTGAAATCACTTAAGGTCAATGTCAATTCCCCAACTTCCTGTTCAGAAATTTTTTAAATGCATCATCAGTTAATTAGCTTGTCGTGTTAAGTAAATAAACCAAAATAGAAACTCTATTGTAAGGCACTTTCTGAAGGGAAGAAAACTTCTAAATGGAATCTTTACTGGGAAAAGGTTATCAGGCAAAGAAAGAAAGAAATGAAAGCCTGATAAAATGTAAATTGCAATGATAATTATCACTAAAACAGAAGGATTCAGTTCAGCTGCCTGAAATCTCTGGGGAAATTACATTACACAAGTATAATTTACTATGATCTCTTCTACCATCGGCTGCTTCTGTTAGCCTGTGGCCAAGTTTGGTGCTCTGGTTTCTGCCATTAGCACTTGTTTCATGACCTTCCTCTTTGGAACCACTCACATTTATCTCATTTGATTGCAACATAACCCTGAGACAACCCTAGATAATAATAGGGACTATATTAGCCAGCTGGTTTTCACACAGTTAAGAAAAGGTAAATCCTTAAGACTTGAGACCAGGTGTGCACACGCCTGCTCCAGCACCCACTACGTCCCCTGAAGCTGTTAAGCCTATAATTAGCTCCTCCCTAGAAGCTCACAGTCCTGGGAAAAGGCACCTTTGTTCTCAATGTGCCAGCAGGGAAACAGTTCTTGCCAGGACAGACAGCCTTTAGGGGGCATTATGCAAGGGTTACCTGTAGTCCACAGAGAACTGTCCTGGCTTTCTATTTCCCTTCCAAAATAGAACGTTTGAGATTTGGGGAAGGTTTTGGGACTCTCCTTAACCACCTCTCTGCCCCTGAGGGTATAGTGTACAAGGGCAAAATAACTGTACAGACACCTGCTCCTGACCCCTGAGCTTCACAACAGCCCAATCCAGACCAAGAAAAATGCTATGGATGCATATGCCTGCCCTCTGGGGCGTCAGTGGGAACTCCAGGAAAGCCCCTTTACTTCCTTTTTAATTCCTGAGGCTACCTCCCAGGTAGCCAAGCTCTATCCCACTTAAGCTCTTTTATAGATAACAGCGGTTCTGCGGAGATACATATATAGTCTAAATGCAATAGACAACTCCCATACTGCTGCCGTGCAGTCGGCATTTACCGGAGACAGGGTAGGTTAGTGCCCCGGGGGGTGATGTGGTTAAAGACCTTTTGGAGTCTTTTTCCTGTCCCAGAGGAAAGATGAACCCCTGAAACAACCTGTGGTCTCAGGGAAGGGGGGCTGGGGCTCCCAGGAGCAGACACTGCCTCGCAGGCCTGGCGTTAGGCAGACCTCACACACGTCGATGGGAATGTCACCTCTGCTGGGGCTGCGAGTCCAGAATAATGCTCTTGCGCTTTGTTGAAGGACAAGAAGCCAGCTCTCCGTCCACAGGACCCAGGAACCCCCAGGGCCCAACACCGTCCGAAGTCCGGCCTGCCCCCGCCGCCTCCCGTCCGGCGGTCCTCAGAGGCCAGCGGCAGCCCCGCGATCCCCGCCAAGGCCAAGGCCGCCGGCTTCCCAGCCCCTCCCGACGACCTGCCGCCGCCGCCGCCGCCGCCGCCGCCGCCCCCTGACTCTAACGACGCGCCCCCGGACTTCGTGCCTCCCCCTCCGCCGCCCTTTGTAGGGGATGCGGGGCCATTGCCGCCCCCGCCGCCGCCGCCGCCCGCCCTGGCGCCCGAGCCCCAGAGGCCGCCCCCCACTGCCACCAAAAGGCCTCCCGTCCCCCCCAAGAGGCAAGAGAACCCAGGACCGCCCGGCGGGGAGCAGGATTTCATGTCAGACCTCATGAAAGCTTTGCAAAAGAAAAGAGGCAACCTGCCCTAAGGGGGGCATACAGATGTCTTGGTGTGATCAGTGTAACCACTTCTAACCACACATGTAGTTTTCTTACTTTGTTGTCATGACATCTTGATCGTTTTCAGATGAACTATTGAAGTATTCTGATTAGAAATGATGTAAAACGTTTCACTGTTCTTGAGTACATTCATAACCATTAACCTAACACAGAATTTAGAATACCTGCCTATATGTTCATATCTTCCCTGTGACTTCCAAGTCAGTGGACTGTATCTCACTTTCCAAAGTTAACCAAAATGATGTTTTATGTTCATGTATTTTATGATGTTCAGAGCATCAAATTAATAAAAGTTTGAAAATTTCCCCCCAGAAGATGGTATTTCTAGAAATATCAATGTGTAAATCTTATGAAATAACCACACTTTTAATCATATACTTGATATTTTAAAAATCCACACCTTCTAAAGAAAGCAGGTCAAACTCAAAGGCTAGCATGAGCCAAATAAATAAGGTTTAAGTTTATGTGGGCCACAATAACAAAAACTTCAGTTTTCATAGAACATAGGTTTATTTCTAAAGGGACATGCTGAATACAAAGGACTGAAATAAATGAGTAATCGTTAACATAAAATAATAGAACATTTTAATAAAAATTAATATTTTTCCTTGAACATTAACTTACCAGACACTGAATAACTGCACAAATTAATAAGCATAACACAAATAAACCTATTTTTCTTGTTCTCTGAAAACGAAATATTCTTGTTGCGCACACCAAACAAATCAGTACAAGACTAATGACAGGGCAGTTGGCTGCTAAAATATTCACTGCTAGTATTAGAGGAGAGAAATGGTGCACCTTCATGTAAGGGAAGTGAATGCAACACGATTATGGTAATCAGTCATTAGCGAAGGTTGTAGCTCATTAAGAATTATATATAACAGGATATTGTAAAAATTAAGTTGTGACATTTTTATTAAACATTTCTTACAAACCGTTATAGTGGCTGGGCCACAAGAATATTCGTTGTGGGCCTCATGTGGCCCATGGGCCGCAAGTTTGACATGCTTGGTCTAAAGTCTTGATGCATATTTTCCACCTTCACCTCCAAAACTTTCAGAATTTTCAGAAAATGAAAGGGGAAAATCTAAAACAGAACCTCACCGGCCTGAAGTGAGTTAAGGGTCATTCTTTGTCAAATCATTTGCAGCTGTAACTTGACAAAAGAGGTACTGGGACCCATGACTGTGGATGAAGAAAACCCAGAGAATACAGCTGGGTGCTGGGAGGAGGAAAAGGAGAGATGGTTGTCATGGGCTTCCAAGAAGACCAAAAAAAAAAAAAATGCAAATTTCCCTCCCCTGCTTCTTTCTCTGGGGGCATAGAAAGCTGACATGATTTGAATATTTTGATGGTTCTGTTGTCACTTTGATAATATAATGCTTGATTTAGTCATTAAAAGGTTTATTACAAAAATAAAACTAGGAAGACGTCGGGTCTGCAGATGTGCTTAACCTAGATCCCCTGTCTCCTAAAGTCTCTCCACAGCATATCCTTTATTCACAGGGGAGAAGCAATAAAAAAATATTGGGTTTTGATCCATTCTGATAATTTCTGTCTTTTAATTGGTATGTTTACACCATTGCTGTTTAAATTGATTATTGACATCATTGGATTAACATATACCATATTTGGTACTATTTTCTACTAGTTGTCCTTGTTCTTTGTTCCTATATTTGCCTTCCACTCTTTTTCTGCCTTTTGTGTTTTAAGTGAGCATTTTATTTTATTTTATTTTATTTTATTTTATTTTATTTTAATGTACAAGGGTCCCCCTTATACCCTAATCCTGGAACTGGTCAGAGAGTTCATCCTTCACTCAGGAAGAAATGCAATTCTGTAGGGCCAGTTTTTGGGCTCACAGACAATGTGCTCCACAACCTGACACCAAGGGCAAAGAGAGGTGCATTCTGGGAGGCTAAGGAGAGGTGATCAGGCTCCATAGTCGTTTTTCTGTCTGAAATGCCCATCGCCTGACAACCACAGCACACTCCCGTGCTGTGTGTCCTTGCTCAGGTCTCTTGGTTCAGCTACAGCTCATACTCCTTACTCCTGCTGGAGTACCCACCTAGTCCTTTTGCTACTCCTAGCTGAGAAAGTGTCAGCCACAACCAGATTCCTCCCCTCTCTGGCAAAGCCCTGCTTGTTGAAGCTATCCATCGCCTACACTATCATGAAAGTGCACCAGGGAACACAGAAGACTGATGGACCTTCGGTTTTATCAAGAACTAAAAGCTATGCAGATTGTTCTGTCAAGACAATGATGGCTCAAGGCAATCCCCTAACCTGATAATCTTTTACTGTTTACCAAACCTAACCTTTGATATGTGTGTTTGCTTTGCTAAAGGAAAAATGTATATTCTAGTAAATAAAAATCTATGGGAGAGAGGGGAATAATAAAAAAATAAAAATAAAAAGCTATGGGTCTGGAGATTCAAGGAACCTCTCCGCTAGAGAGTAAGGTCTTTGCTTGGCTCCTTACTCCTAGAGAGTAAGGTCTCCCCATGCCTTCTAAATTTATAATTTTTGTCTAGTGTATCCGTTTATGTGCAGCCCCTTCTCCAGATCCAGAATCCTTGTTGCAAAAGGTTGTGGCACCTGCTGTGAGCTCCCAGATGCCAGGCTGCATCCTTGGCTCTATCAGCCAGTCTCCTTTTGGCCTTCCCTTTTTGTTTCGTTTATCCATCTTTAGATGTTTCAATGCATGGCTCTCTCCGTGTATTTTTGTGCTGAGCAGGGTAATTCTTTGTTGAGTTATAACTGTTCAAATTGTGAAAACTTCAAGGTGAGAGGCCAAGAGGATCTCATACTGCCATTCCTGACATCACTTGCCAAAGAGCTAAGCATTTCATATGATTCCATTTTCTTTCCATTTTTTGCGCATCAATTATACTTCTTTCTTTACATTGCTAGTAATTGATTTCAAGGTTAAGGTAAGAAATACATAGGATGAACCTGAAACATCTTACACCCCAGAAAACAAAGAAGTTATCAAAAACTTCTAGGATTATGTCTAAAACTTCTAGGATTATCCTCACTGTCTAAAGGAGCCAGTATGAATAAAATCTTACTGGCCAAACATGGAACACTTTGTACATCAGTAAAGCTAATAAATGCAATTGTATAAAATATAAAATATGCCTAAATTCAAGAATTCATACTGGTACTAACATGCTTGTAAATGCACTCATTAGTTTGCCTTTCTGTACCTCAGGATAACCAAATAATTAATGATAGGAAGTTTTCCTTTTTTAGAAGGATTCCTAATAAATGATAGGATTAGATTGTCGTCATCAACAATCTTATTGAATCTATGGGTCAAAGTTATTGTCAATGGTACTGATATTACAAAAAGAGACCTGGTGGAAGTACATAACATTTTCCTCCTGATAGCAAGTATTTCTATCAAATAAATATGAATCTGTATCAAGCTCTAGATTTATAGAAAAACTAGGGGCCCAAATTCATGCACAAATTCGTGCACCATGAAAGGAATTGTGGGCCACTAAGCTGCTGTGGGCACAGGGGTAAGTCTCAGCCCATCCTCCACACCTCCACCTGGTCCCTCCCACTGTGGTCCCTGGTCCCCTCTGCTGGCAGCCCTGCTCACTGCTGCCACTGTCCCCACATGCTGATGGAGCCAGCCCTGCTCGCACTCATCGACGGTGTGGAGTGATTGGGGCCAGCCCCAGCAGCAGGTGCGAGCAGAGCTGGCACTGTCAGTGGATTTGAGCAATGGTTGCTGCCTCAATCGCCCCTCAGGAGCAGGGGGAGGTGGAGAAGCCCTCAGAAGTGATAGGGGCCATCGCCATCAGCATGTGAGAGAGGTGGCTGCCAGCTCTGATGGTCGCTCAAGAGAAGGGGGAGGTTGAGAAGACCTGAGGGGCAATTGGGGCCAGCAGCCACCACTTGCACTCACTGATGGTGCCAAGCAATCGGGGCTGGTGCCAGGCACCAGCAGCGGGTGTAAGTGGTGGCTCTGGCACTGGCAATGGGTGCAAGCAGGGCTGGCACCAGCAGTAGAAACCATGGCATGCAGGAGCAAAGAATTTTCAGTAACCACAAGAGGCTCACCCTGATAACAGCAACCAGTACCCCACCTTGGTCTGGCACCCTCACTCATCTGCTCCACCATCCCACCATGGCCAATGACTACCATACTCTGTGTGTGCCTCTTGGTGGTCAGCACACATCATAGCAACCAGTTGTTTGGTTGTTCCACCATTCGAACTATTTGCATATTAGGGTTTTATAGAGAGATAAAGGACGTGGCAACATGTTAAGCAATACCATAGAGATGCAATCAGCAAAATACAGACTGGGAAACACTACAGAATAAATTATCTGTTTTTTTGTTGTTGTTTTTTTCAACCAAAACTAAACAAAAAATTGCAAGAAAAAAGATGTGGCCAGATTTTAAAAACACACAAAAAAACTTAAAAGTACTTATATGTACTTGCCCTAAGGGAAACATACAGATATCTTGGTGTGATCCATGTAATCACTTCTAACCACAGATATAGTTTTATTACTTTATTGTCATGACATCTTGATAGTTTTAGGTAAAATATTGAAGTATTCTGACTAGAAATGATGTAAAACGTTTCACTGTTCTTGAGTACATTCATAACCATTAACCTAAAAGAATTTAGAATACCTGCCTACATGTACATATCTTCCCTGTGACTTCCAAGTCAGTGGAATGTATCTCACTTGTGTGTTGGAGTGATGATCAATTTGCCTATTATTCTTTTATTAGCTAGGAGGATTAAATAGGATAGAGGCCTGGTGCAAGTGTGGGGGCCAGCTGGTTTGTCCTGAAGGGTGTCACAGATCAGGGTGGGGGTTCCCTTGGGGCATGGGGCAGCCTGGGTGAGGGGCCTGTGGTGGTTTGCAGGCCAGCCACAACCCCTGGCAACCCAAGTGGAGGCCCTGGTATCTGGAATTTATTTATCTTCTATAATTGAAATTTTGTAGCCTTAAATGCAGGCCAAGGCAGGCCAGGGCAGGCAGAAACTTGGCTTCCTCTATCACCAGGGGAAACTCAAGCCTCACTCTCTCCAGCTCCATGGCTGCTGCCATTTTTGTTGGGATTTATTTATCTTCTATAATTGAAACTTTGTAGCCTTAAGCAGAGGCCAAAGCAGGCCAGGGCAGGCGGAAAGCTCAGCTTCTTCCATTGCCATTGAAACCCAAGCCTCCTGTTCTCTCCATGAGCGCAGCCAACTTGGTTTGGTTAATTTGCATACTTGCGCCTGATTGGCTGTTGGGCGTGGCTTGTGGGTATAGCAAAGGTGTGGTCAATTTGCATATTACTCTTTTACTAGATAGGATAATGTTGATAACATAAAATAATGGGGGAGAATTGAAAATTGGTTATTTGGTTTCATTCATTAGGGAGTTGTTAATTCTCTTAAGATGATAATGGTATCATGGGTATGTGTTTAAATTATTTATTTTTTAATATATATTTTATTGATTTTTTACAGAGAGGAAGGGAGCGGGATAGAGAGTTAGAAACATCAATGAGAGAGAAACATCAATCAGCTGCCTCCTGCACACTCCCTACCAGGGATATGCCCGCAACCAAGGTACATGACCTTGACTGGAATCGAATCCCGGGACCTTTCAGTCCGCAGGCCGGTGCTCTTTCCACTGAGCTAAACCAGTGCTGGCTGTGTTTAAATTATTAATGTTTGGAGATGCATACAGAAATATCTTTAAACTAAATGAAACAATGTCTTAGAATGTCTTGTGTGTATTAGTATGTTAATTCTTACCTGGGATATTTTTTTCCATTGATAGTTAGAAAGAGAATCATCCATGTGAGACCCATCAATTAGTTGCCTCCCACATGTGCCCTGATGGGGGCCAAGGATCAGGCCTGAAACCAAGGTATGTGTCCTTGACTGGAATAGAACCCAACACCCTTATGTCTGTGGGCTGATCTAATCACTGAGAAAAATCAGCAGGTTTTTAAAATACTTGGGGATATATAAATTATACCTCAATTAAAATAGTAACTAGGAACTTGAGGGAAGTGTGTAGGTGTGTAGATGAAGCAAGATTGGTCATGCATTGATGATTAATAAGCTAGTTGAATGGTAAATGAGGTTCGTTAAACTATGCTTTTTTCTTTAGAAATGTTTGAGAATTACTGTAATAGACAAAACAAATCTCTAGAGTACAATGAAACTATCATATTTATTAGATGTGTCCCAAAGTACTGAGTACATAAGTATTAAATGAACACTTACAAATTGATTAAAATATTATCAAGATTTCTCAGTTATTGAGAATAACTCGTGATTTACCAAAAACACTTCATTATTCCATTAAAGTTATTAATTAGAAAAAAAATGGCCATAAAGATGTTACAAAGAATAGGCCCAGTTTATCTGGTTAAAAAATATTTTTATATATAATCATTGTTAAATTAAGGATTTTCATCAAAATGTAGATAAGAATTTATCAAATTAATTATTATATGTTAAGTTCAATGATAGAAGTATTCTTTAATTTCTTTTTTCCAAATCAAGATGAGCAGCTAACTCTGAGATCTCTAGCCCGAGCAGGAGTAGGGGAGGAGTAGCCTGCTCTCTCAGCTGCAGAATGCTTCTGAAAAGGATGCTGAAGGACTTGCTGCAGAAGATAGACCTGGTAAACAATTTAAATAGATAAATATAGATTCTCTCCCTTAGGACAATTATTAATTTTCTAAATTTCTAACAAGGTAAGTTTTAAATTCATTTGAAAATGTTAAAACATTTTACATTTTATTAAAATTTCAATTATAGTTGTTACAGAAAGTCCCTTAAGTACTAGTGTTATATTAAAACAAGAGAGTGAATATGTAGTGTCATGAAGACTACATATATATCCTAAGTATTAAAATTCACAGTAGCTAAAGGATTATAATTTTCTGAAATATTAACAAAAATAAAACAAGGTCAATAATTTTCAATCATTCCAAATCAAGGGCATGATTCCAATTTAGACTGCTTCCTTATTTTGCCCCAAGGACTTAAGGAACTTTCTGTGGAACAATAGAAATTTTAAGTAACAACTATTACAATTTTGCCCCATGGTTATAAACTGAGATATCAAAGAGCACACTTCTTTAAATTATAATTCTAGGAGAAGATGTATATTTTCATCCAGTTATAAAATAATTAAATCATTGAGATGTAATGTACAGTATGGTGACTATATTTAATACTATATTGCATATTTGAAAGCTGCTGAGAGTAAATTTTAAAAGTCTTCATTCAAGGAAAAAAGAGATTTTTGTAACCATGTATGGTGATTGATATTAACTAAACTTATTGTGGTGATCATTTTGCAATATGTACAAATATAGAATCATTATATTGTATACCTGAAGCTAATATACTCAATTTAAATTATGTTCCCAGTGGACTTATTACTTTCTTGAGTTATGAAGATAATGCATAGTTGTTGTAGAAAACAGTGGAATTATTATAATAAGAAAGTAAAGCCAAGAGATCAAATAGAGTATACTATTATACTACCAATATTTTAAATAGAAAGACTGAATCGTCATCAATCTTAGAGCCCTTCTTCAACTCTCCCCAGGTACTTTCTATACACATCCTTTTATAAAAGTCAGTCTTAAATCTATATGATCTCACCTACTAGTTTGAAAGCTCCCTGAATCAATTTCTATACTTCACAGCACCTCACATAGAGTGGATTCTCAAAAAATGTTTGGAGCAAAAGGAAAACATAAGTTGTTATATGTAAAGAATTTCATGAACAAAGTTTATCAAAATAAACTTTTTTTTTTCCTTTCCTGCATGAGAATGTACTTCCAGGTTCAGGTCTCTGGTAACCTGATGAGGTGAAGTGGAACATCAATTGTATCACCACACAACATTGCTACTGACTGAAAAATAGCTTCTGCCCTGGGAGAACTGTAAATCCCTTATAGAATCCCTAGGGCTTTCTTTAGTGTGCTCTCAAGGCAGGTCTCCCGTGGGGACACTGGAAACTACACCTATAGCCCTGACAATGGATATTGCTTTTTTATTTTTATTGAATTTATTGGGGTGACACTGGTTCACAAAATTATGTTTCAAATGTACAATTCTATAATTTATCATCTGTATCATATATTGTATTGTGTCTTTGTCACTCAAAGTCAATTCTTCTTCCATCACCTTTTATCTCCCCTTTATCTTTTTCCACCTCCCTCACCCCCCTTTCCCTCTGGTGATCACCATACTTTGTGTCTGAGTTGTTGTATTTTTGTTTGTTTGGAAAGAGAAAAGCACATATAGACTGGTAGTAGGTGCAGAGGTGCAGAAGAGTGAAGGTACGGAGGTGTGTGTGGAAAAGGGCTGGCAACTGGGTACACTGTGGTCTTTTTCAATCAGGAGGGAGATACAAACTCCCGACTGCTCTGAATTCCAGTACTGGTGAGATTTTGGGGACCCAGACTCAGACGGGGAGAAACTGGACTGTCTGGCATTGGACTGGAACACAAAAGTGGCTTTCTCTCAGAGGTGGTTGCAGCATTCATTGTTCCTCCACAGGGCCGCGGGACAAAAGAGACCCAGGGACCTATCTGGGGCAGGGCCAACAGGCAACCATTGCTGCTTGCACCACCATGTGATTCCCTGAGACCACACCCCACCCAATTTACAACCCCTCCCAAGCTGTGTGCAGAGAGGTTTGCATATGAATGGCCTGGCCTTTTGCAACCTAACCTAATGAACTGCAACTGGGTCAAAGAACCCCAGAGCTTCTAAAAGAAGGCCTAAGGCTCGTCAGCAGCCTGCACTGTGTCACAGCTGTGCCTCATCTGGGCACCTCCAAAACCCCAAACTAAAAGGAAGAATCTGCATATCTCTCTGTAGCTCCTGCTGGCTGGCCTCAGGAAAGAATTGACTATGCACCTCCTTGGAGATCCAAGAGCCAGTGGACCCAGTGGTCAAAGTGAGACCACACCAGACACACTTTGGGGGAAGACTCTGTGAGCACCAAAGCCCCACTGAAGCAAGTCCTATCCCATAAGAGTATTTTCAGCACAGCAGTTCTCCCATTATAGACACAACTAGTCCTTACAGCCAATTGGTCTGGAGGTCAATTCTTCCCAGTGATACCAACAGCAATCAAGGCTTAAATAAAACAAGATTGTGCACACAACCCACAAAGGAGTGCATCAGGAGTGTCCACCTCAGGTAATAGGGAGGCTGAACCACTGGATCTTATAGGATACCTATCACACAAAGCCACTCTATCAACACAGGGAAGCAGCCAAAATGTGGAGACAAAGAAACAGGTCACAAATGAAGAAATACTGGAAAACAAACTATTGGATATGGAGTTGAAAACCATGGTTATAAGGTTACTCAAGAAACTTCTAGAAACCTCTAAGAAATATAGCGAGATCCTCCAGGATATGAAAAAGGACCAACTAGAAACTAAGCGTACCCTAACTGAAATAAAGAATAATATACAGAAATCCAACAGCAGACTAGAGGATCCCAAGAATCAAGTCAAAGATTTGGAATACAAAGAAGCAAAAAACACCCAACCAGAAAAGCAAAAAGAAAAAAGAATCCAAAAAATATGAAGATAATGTAAGGAGCCTCTGGAACAACCTCAAGTATACCAACCTCTGATTTATAGAGGTGCCAGAAAAAGAGAGAAAGCAAGATATTGAAAACCTATTTGAAGAAAAAATGACAGAAAACTTACCCTACCTGGTGAAAGAAATAGATCTACAAGTCCAGGAACCACAGAGAACCCCAAACAAGAAGAATTCAAAGAGGACCACACAAAGAGACATCATAATTAAAATGCCAAGAACAAAAGACAAAGAGAGAATATTAAAAGCAGGAAGAGAGAGAGGAGAATCCAAGATGGCTGCCGAGGTAAACACCTAGCCGCAGCTGCACACAACAATTTCAATAAAATACAACTAAAATATAAAATGGACATTACCCAGAACTACAGGAAAGTCCACTCACTGGAAATTCTACAACAAGAAGCAAGGAGAAAACCAGAAGGAAGAGCGGAAGAGCTGTAAAAGCCTAAGGTACAAAGAGACGCGGCGCGCGGAGAGGACTGAGCCGGAGAGGAGGGGCGGCTGAGTGCCTGGCTGGCGCTCCCTAGCAGGAAGGAGATAAAAGCTCTGACTGTGCTGGGCCCCAGTTCTGACTGCTCTGAACCCCAGTTCTAGGCCAGACCCCGGGGACCCAGGCTCATCCATAGGGAGCTGGGCTGTAAGGCGGAACCCCGGGGGAGCGGCGAAAGGAGGTCCCGGAGGTGCGTACATTGTGTGCAGAGAAGGGATGGTTGGCTGTGCCGCGGGGTTGCCCTGGCGGGAAGGAGACAGGGGCTCCAGACTGCTCTGAACGCCACCTCCAACTCCACTTCCAACTGATCTGAATCCCAATACCGGGCTCATTGGGGGAAAGCCTAGACTGTTTGGTAGCAGGCGAAAATCGATGGCACCTTTCTCTCAGAGGCGCTTTGCAGTGAATACTGAAGGACCCTGAGACCCAGGAGCCGCATAGGGCGGGGCTGACAGAAGCCAAGGCTGTAGGCTCCACCCTGAAACCCCGCCCCATCTGTAGCTGCGAAATGCAACAACGAAATAGATCACAAACGAAAGAAATGGAGGACAAAAAGCGACTGGATATAGAGTTCAAATCTACGCTTTTAAGGTTTTTCAAGAATTTCCTAGAAAAGATCGAAAAGCCTATGAGGATATGAAAAGGGATCAACTAGAATTAATAAGGAATCAACAAGAAATAAAGAATACATTGTCTGAAATAAAAAATATTATACAGAGTCCTAAAAACAGAATGGAAGATCGCAAGAATCAAGTCAAAGATTTGGAACATAAAGAGCCAGAAGACACTCCTCCACAGAAGCTAGAAGGCAAGAGAATCCAGAAAATTGAAGATAATATAAGAAACCTCTGGGACAACTTCAAGCGAACCAACATCAGAATTATGGGGATCCCAGAAGATGAGAGAGAGCAAGATATCGAAAACATACTGAAAGAAATAGTGACAGAAAACTTCCCCCACCTGGTGAAAGAATTAGACTTACAAGTCCAGGAAGTGCACAGAACTCCAAACAAAAGGAATCCAAAGAGGACCACACCAAGACAAATCATAATTAAAATTCCAAGAGCAAAAGACAGAGAGAGAATATTAAAAGCAGCAAGAGCAAAGACGATAGTTACCTATAAAGGAGCATATACGACTGTCAGTTGATTACTCAACTGAAACCATGCAGGCAGACAGGAATGGCAAGAAATATTCAAGGTGATGAATAGTAAGAACCTACAGCCAAAGATAATCTATCCAGCAAAGCTATCACTCAGAATCGAAGGTCAGATAAAGAGCTTCACTAATTAAAAAAAAAGCTAAAGGAATTCATCAACACCAAACCAGAATTATATGAACTGCTGAAGGGGGTTCTTTCAAAAGAGAAAGTAAATAAAGATAAAAATTATGAACAATAAATACGTAACTATCAACAAGTGAATCTAAAAACCTAGGAAATTAAAAAAAAAATCTAATGAACAATATTAACTGTTGAATATAATAGAATCAGAGGTATGGAAGGGGAGTGAACTGACGATTCTTGGGGAAAAGGGGAGAGGAGGATGTGGGAAGAGACTGAACATAAACTGTGCACTTTTGGATGAGGACAATGGGGAGTGGGGAAAGGGCAGAGAGTGGGGTGGGAACCTGGTGGAGGAGAGCAATGATGGGGGGGGAGGAACATTTGTAATAATATGAACAATAAAAATTTATTTTAAAAATAAATAAATAAATAAATAAATAAATAAATAAATAAATAAATAAATAAAAGCAGGAAGAGAAAAACAGCTATTTACCTACAAGGGAGGACCCATATGACTGTCAGCTGATTTCTCAACAGATACTATGCAGGCAGATAGGAATGGTAAGACATATTCAAAGTGATGACTAGCAAGAACCTACAACCAAGAATACTCTACCCAGCCAAGCTGACATTCAGAGTTGAAGGGCAGATAAAGAGCTTCACAGATAAGAAAAAGCTAAAGGAGTTCATCAACACCAAACCAGTGTTATATGAAATGCTGAAAGATATTCTTTAAGAAGAGGAAGAAGAAAAAGGTAAAGATAAAAATTATGACCACCAAATACATATCTATCAACAGTGAATCTAAAAATCAAGTGAATAAAAAAAATCTGATGAACAGAATAACCTGGTGAGTATAATAGAATTGGGGGCATAGAACAGAAGTGGACTGACAATTCTTGGGGGGAAAGGCTGTGAGGGTGCTGGAAGAGACTGGACAAAAATCGTACACCTATGGATGAGGACAGTGGAGGGGGGGAAGGGCAGAGGGTAGAGTGGGAACCGGGTGGAGGGAAGCTATGGGGAGAAAAATGAGGAACAACTATAATAATCTGAACGATAAAGACTTATATTTAAAAAAAGAACCAGACAGGAATGAAGAATAAAATATATAACATCAAAAACACACTGGTATGGAATCTCAGAGGAAGGTGGAGAATAAGTGGGTGGGGGTAATCAACCAAAGACCTTGTATACATATATGCATAACCCATGGACACAGATAATAGGGTGCTGAAGGCCTGGGGAAGGGAGGTGGGGCAGGCTGAAGGAGGTCAATGCGGTCAACAATAAAGATTTTTTTTTAAATGGGCAAAGGACCTGAATAGACACAAACAATAGGGTGAAGACCAGGGTGGTCAGCAGGGGCTGGGCAGAGGGAGATTAAAGAAGAATGGGAGATATCTGTAATACTGTCAACAATAAAAAATAAAATAAAAAATTTAAATGTGACATAGTTAAAATTAATACAAATAAATGCAGAAAAGTCAATCACCTTACCTCTGAAAAATCATTCCTTTCTGCTTTTTGCACTGCAGACTCTGCCATCCAGTTCTTCAGCACGTATCTAGGATTAACAGCTTAAACAAGAAGGGAATGCAATTATTGGAATCATAAATTATTAGGTCAACACAGGTTGTTGAAATTACAGCTGAAATCAGATAATATTCAATAACTTTGCTGGAAGTCTCTAATGAGAAAAATTATCAGCATTAATCAATTTTGACTGCTTATAAACAACTAGAGGCCCAGTGCATGAAATTTGTGCATGGATACGGTACCTAGGCCTGGCCTGCGGTCAGGGCCATCTTCCCCGGCTGCTGGAAGCCAGCTCTGTCCCCTGCTGCCAACCACCCCCAGTTCCCCGTTCATCATCGATTGGGCAATTGGAGCCTGCAGGCTGGGTGGGTGGGGGGAACCGAGAGACTGGCTATTCCTGCCTGTTTGCCAGCCCACCCCCCACCACTGGGCACCCTCTGTGTGTAGGGTGACCTTAGCCTGGTGCTGCCACATCCACCACCACCCAGCCCTGGCTCCCTATTCCCTATCGAGCTATCAGAGCCTGCTGGCAGGGGGAAGGAGCTCAGAGGTTGGCCAACAGGTCCTAATCGGGCGACGGGGATGGGGGCCGGTGGGCTGGGGGAAGCTCCTACATTGAGCGTCTGCCCCCTGATGGTCAGTGCATGTCATAGTGACCGGTTATTCTGCCATTCAATCGATTTTCTTATTACCCTTTTATTATATAAGATGTGCAGTATTTTTTTACCTGATGGTACAGAAAAGACTTTCTGAGCACTATGAGCAACATTTTTTCTTTCCAGTGTTTCAGCATTAAGTTGCCTATTTTGCTATATTCAGTTGCTAAGCATTTCATAAAGTATGGAGAAAGTAGTGAGTTCATCTGAATTAAGCCCTTTATTCTAAGTGGGAAGGAGAAAAGTTGCTGCTTTTAACATCTTCAATCACAGAGTTAAGATCTGACTTAAGGAGGACTGCTTAGTGCTGATGTTGCCAAGAGCATACAAAAAAGGTTACCTGCAGGCAAAACTCTTTATACATTGATATTTTTTTTATAGTAACAATATTAAATGCATTGTAACAATGGCACATGTAGAAAAATTCCAGAAACTATGTCTTTATTTGAGATGAGACTTTTCCAAAATAATTTATCAATTGGGTGATATAAGGGAAGTTCTAGAGGCCTACAGAAATTACCATTTTGTGGTTCTCATCAGCAGTTTTCCAAGTGACTTGAATGGAAGGAACAAATTGCATTTCAACTTTTTATTCATCTTTATTTTTTAAATATATTTTTTATTAATTTCATAAAGGAATGGAGAGGGAAAGAGAGATAGAAACATCAATGATGAAAAAGAATCATGGATTGGCTGCCTTCTGCATGCCCCCCACCAGGGCATGTGCTACCCAGGCATGTGCCCCAACTAGGAATCCAAACTTGACCTTCTGGTTCATAAGTTGATGCTCAACCACTGAGCCACTCTGGCTGGGCTCAACTTATTTTTAAAGATCTCATAAGATATGAGAGATAATTTAAAAAATAATAATGTGTCCTGTGACTCAGCAATTCAAATTCTCTAAAAATATAGTCTATTGAGACAACTTTAAATATTAAAAATATTATTCATATTATTAAGGAAAACTATAATAGGAACCACTTAAAATCTTAATAAAGGGGAACGGTTAAGTAAAACATTATATATCTTTTCAAAGAAGTATTATTATGGAACAATTAAAAATGTTACATTATAAAGAATGAAGCAGCAAGAAAAGCAGCTTATTTTATTTTTAGTGAAAAAAAAATCTTAAATTATAACCCTGTATGATTACTACTACATTTTTTCCTAATCAAAACACACATAAAAGAGAGACTAGAAGAAAATACATCAAAAATTAAATAGCGCCTGGCCAGTATGGCTCAGTGGTTGAGTGTTGACCCATGAACCAAGAAATCATGGTTTGATTCCCAGGCAAAGCACCTATCCAGATTGTGGTAGCAGGCTCGATCCCCAGTGCGGGACATGCTGCAAGCAGGCGATCCATGCTTCTTTCTCATTACTGATGTTTCTATCTCTGCCTCCCTCTCCTTTCTCTCTGAAATCAATAAAAACATATATGTATTTTTAATATATTTTTATTGATTTCAGAGATGAAGGGAAAAGGAGAGAGAGATAAAAACATCAATGATGAGAATCATTGATCAACTGCCTCCTGCATCTCCCCTACTGGGGATTGAGCCTGCAACCAGGCATGTGCCCTTGACCAGAATCAAACTCAGGACCCTTCAGTCTGTAGGCAAGTGCTCTATCTGCTGAGCCAAACCAGCTAGGGCTATATATATATTTTTTAAAGTAAATAATAATTATCTTTGGGATGTCTTTTATTCTTTTTACAAGTCTGCATTTTTCAAATTTAAAGAGTTCATAGACAATTACTTTAAAATAAAAACCCCTAGCCAAGACCGGTTTGGCTCAATGGATAGAGCGTCGGCTTGGGGACTGAAGGGTCCCGGGTTCGATTCCGGTCAAGGGCATGTACCTTGGTTGCGGGCATATCCCCAGTAGGGGGTGTGCAAGAGGCAGCTGATCGATGACTCTCTCTCATCGATGTTTCTAGCTCTCTATCTCTCTCCCTTCTTCTCTGTACAAAATCAATAAAATATATTTAAAAAAAAAAAAAAAAATATAAAATAAAAACCCCTATACACAAAATATATATAGGCCATCTTTAAACAAAATTACAACTATATACAATAAAAATTGTGGAAGCACTCAGCATAGGCTGAACACACACAAACACACACACACACACACACACACACACACACACACAAAAGCTGAACACTTCAAATTATTAAGTTCAACTAATCTCTAATGGGCTGGCAATGAAGCTGGAAAATTGTAGTTTGAGTTATCATTTCTTTAATAAAATAAAAAATATATAAATTAAAATAAATCTGACTCAATTATTAAGTACTTATTAAAATAATTTTAAGAAAAATTATTTGAAGTTAGCATATTCATTTTTTTCTCCTTTCTCTCTCTTTTTGATGCCCAAAAGAAGGGATAAAGTAGAAAATTTCTTTTATTCTACTCTACCAAAGCTCAAGTCTCCAATATGAACTTGAGCCCACTATTTACCGGGTGTACCCATTAATAATGCAGATTTTGTAATCCAGGATAACACGATAATTTCAAGAGAAACAATCAAAAGTGCTTTATTCAAAGTAATGTCCATCGCTAGCTATACATTTCCCCCATCTTTCAGGTAATTTGTGGATCTGTCCAAATAGAACTTTTCTTATTTTGAGGCAAACCATTCAGAGACCCAATTTTCCACTTCTTCGCACATTTTGAAGTGCTGCTCAGAAAGTATGTGTGCCATCAATCAGAACAAATAGTACTCTGAAGGAGCAAGGAACTCTGAATATAGCGGGCGGGTCAATACTTCCCAGGCAAGGTCTTTTAATTTGTCTTTAATTGGTTTTAAATGTGTGTCATCATGAAGCAAAATTACTTTGCTATGTCTTCTAGAACATTCTGGTCATTTCATGATCAAAGTGTGGTTCAAATTGGTTGTTTTCAGTAGCAATCAGTATTAATGGTTTCACCTGGTTTAGAAACTCATAATGCACCACACCTTCCTGATCCCACCGAATGCAGAGCACTGTCTTCTTTCCAAAGCATTTGGCCTTGCAGTAGATGGTGATGGTTGACCTGGGTCAACTCACGATTTTGTGCGTTTGGGATTCTCAAAATAAATCCACTTTTCATCGCCAGTCACAATTCGATGTAAAAAATAAAATTAAAATAAAAAAAATAAAGACTTTCTTTCATGCAGTTGAAGCAACCTTTTATTGATGACTTTTTGGTTTTCCATTTGTCTTTCATTCAGTTGATGTGGCACCCATTTTCCTTCCTTTAAAATATTTCCCACTGCTTGTAAGCAATCGGAAATTGTTGCTGAGCAACATATAATCTTTCTGCAAGTTGTTTTTCAGTTTGACACGCATCTTCATCCAATATTGCTTGTAATTGCTGGTCTTCAAACCTTTTCAGTTGACCTGAACATTCTTTTTCTTTCATATCAAAATTATCATTTTTAAAGCATTTAACCAGTATTCACAAGTATCTTGAGATAGAGCATTTTCACCATAAGCTTCCCAAAGTATTCAGCAGCACTTTTTTTCAAAATAATGAATTAAAATTTCCCACAAATGCTCTTTTTTTAGCATGTAATTCAACATTTTTAAGTGTAAAAATATCTATGATGTTAACACCTTCAGAAAATTTGGCATATGAAGTTTTGAAGCTTGTTGTCAATACAACAAAATAGCATGCATAGCAAATGGTACATATATCAGCATATGTGTAACTCCATCTATTGAAAAAAAATCCGCATTATTAATCGGTACACCTAATAAATTTACACTGGAAGGAAAAATAAGACATTTGTGGGCTAGCATTTTGAATCTGTGCCAGTAATCTGCATTCTGACGCACACTCTTGCTTGCTGATAAACTTCATTCTTGATGCCTGTCCTGCCTTGCAGAACCTGTTTCATGGAATACTCCCATTTTACAGAGGTCATAAACCATGAAATATATACAATCCCAAGGGTGTTGGCAGCACTGGCACCAGACAGGACTCGGTGTAATCTCACTTCCCCCATCCCAATTCACGGAGAGCTGCAGAGCCCACGAGAAGTCCAGAAGCCTGATCCATATTTGGAGGACAAAGGAACTAAAGGCATAAAGGAAAAGCTGCATCCATATTCATCGCTCAGGATTTGGAGACTGACTCCTTGAGTCATTAAAGGATCCTGTTTGACTCCTGAGTGCCTGATTGATTATTCTCCCGTGCCACCTGACAGCTTATTTATAACAAAGCTATCACCTTTACACAGCAACTTTCAACCTTCCTATCTCATGGTGCACACAAACCAATTACTAAAATTCTGCAACACGCCAAAAAAAAAAAAAGTTATATTTTTTGCAGGTCTGACAAAAAAATATATATATATAACTCTGAATCATTCATACCAGATGGCTATTGTGTTGGCTGTTGTCATTTTTTAATTTAACAATCTAAGGAAAAAGAGGTCAGTGCCCCTTACTAAATAGTCAGGTATTGAGTGCATGTTTTATCCTCCCCTCCCCCATGACAGGGGCTTTATTTTGGGATTGCTGGGGGGAAGAGAGGAACTGGGACTGGTAGATATGGGGAAAGGGGTTTCTCAACTTGCTTTTTACTTTAGTGCAGGTTGCCTGGAGGTTGGGATGAGTGAGAATGCTGTAGAGGTGAGAGAAGAGGAAAAGGGAAGGTCATGGAATGGACACTCTCTTAGGGAACAAAGCCAGCACCAGGATACTGGGACCGCTGGTGGGGATGGAAGGCACTCTTCATATACCGAGACTCAACCAAGGTCACTGCTCGATGGCAACTTCCCCAAGCTCACGGCCCCACCCCGGCTTCTGACCCAAATATCTCACCTGCTAGCTTCCTCAACTTACTGTGGAGAGGAGGAGGATGAAGATGCGGGGAATGGTGAGCCTCCGCCTCTGGGCTCCTTGCCTGGGAGAATTGCTCACTCGGCCTGCCCTGAAGTCCTAGCTAGAGTCAGAAGGTCAGGAAGCCACGTTGCAGGCAGGGAAACAATTGTGCCCTTCCCCACTCCTCTTGACCCTCTGGCCCTCCCCAGCTCCTCCCATAAGACTGCAACTCATGGACTGATCCTTGAATATCTCACCTCCCTCCTGTGTTTCTTTGCCAGGTCCCCTGGTCTGGCAGCCTGCCAGATGAGCAGATCGCTGCAGTACTTGGAGTGAGTCGGTATGGCGCAGCTACCTGTGGGAGGCCTCTGTGACCACGTGGAAGATAGCCCTGACGCTGCGCCCAGAGGACCAAGAGAAACACTCCACTCGGGACACGGCCCCTACCTGCCTGGCCAGCTCAGTACTCTGCTCACGTGTAACGGAAAAGCCACTGCTTGGACAGCTCCCTCAGTGTGTGGGCCAGGCTGGTCCACATGTCCATTTTACAGCCAACCAGCACAACTTTGGCATCAGGGCAAAATTCATGAGTCTCCCCATGCCACTTCTTGAGGAGACTGGCCATGTTTCTGGTCACTGAGCAGAAGAGTACAAAATCTGAATCAGGATAGGCCAGGGGCCAGATGTTAACACAGTAAGAGGAACCTGAAGTACCCCACATGTTGAGCGCAATGTGGTACTTGTTTACTTAAAACTCCCAGTGTAGTTTTCAAACATGGTGGGGACATAACTCCAGGTGTAGGCATCCTTAGAGAATACCCTGATGCACTCTGAATCCTTCACCACAATCTTGCAGCAGCCACTCTTCCCCACTATGGTCCTGGCTACATCCCCTACTGCTGCCTGGCAGCCAGATCTGAATTTCCATCAGCCTGGCTCACACTGTTTGCTCCACCCTGATGATTTCCTGAGATCACACCCCATACAATATCCCAGCTGTTTGCAGCATCTTTTCCATATGAATGGTCTATGCTGGTTCAGGCTTCAGACTTTCCTAAAATCTCTCAAACAAGCAGCAGCTGGTGTCACAAGACCCATACTTATCATAAGGGGCCCAAGACACCTTGCCGGTGTACTTCGAAGCCCAACACAAGTAGCAGCCATCTGAAGATTGCTCTGCATCTTCTGCTGTGTGGCCCCAGGCAGTGGCTGGCTTTGTACCTCCCAGGAGACAGAGCCAGTGCACCCGATGGACAGCTTCAGACAATACCAGATTACAACTCTACACATCCGCAAGCAATACACTCAAGAGGCAGGCTCAGTGAGCACCAAAGCCCCACTGAGGCAAGACCTGCTCCACAGCAGTGTCTCCTGCACAGCAGCTCTCCCACTGTAGTCGCAGCTGGTCTTCACAGCCAATTGGCCTGGAGGTCAACTCCTCCTTGTGATACCAATAGCAATCAAGGCTCAACGACAGCAAAACTGTGCACACAGCCCACACAAGGGCATACCTAGTGCCCAGTTCAGGTGACTGGGGAGGCTGAGCCACTGGACCCCACAGGACACCTACTAAACAAGGCCACTCTACCAATTTCAGGAGACATAGAAGATCCACCTAATACACAGAAACACAGGGAAGCACCCAAAATGTGGAGACAAAAAGTCATGTCACAAATGAAAGAACATGAGAAATCTCCAGAAAAAGAACTAAATGAAAAGAGGATTTCAAGAATCAAATATAAAAAAGCAAAATACACCCAATCAAACTACCCCAAGCAAACTACTAGATACAAAGTTCAAAACAATGGTTAAAAGGTTGCTCAAGGATCTTAATGAGAGCTTCAAAGGACTTAGTGAGATTTACAAGGATCTTAGTGAGAATTTCAAATACATGAAAAAGGATCAGCCCTAACCGGTTTGGCTCCATGGATAGAGCGTCAGCCTGCGAACTCAAGGGTCCCAGGTTCGATTCCAGTAAAGGGAATGTATTTTGGTTGTGGGTACATCCCCAGAAGTGGGTGAGAGGGGTGCAGGAAGCAGCTGATAGATGTTTCTCTCTCATTGATGTTTCTAACTCTATCCCTCTCCCTTCCTCTCTGTAAAAAATCAATTAAATATATTTAAAAATTTATAAAAAGAAAAAGGATCAGTCAGAAATTAAACATACTCTAACTTAAATAAAGAACAATTTACAGGGATTCCATAGTAGAGTAGAGGATTCCAAGAATCAAATATAAAAAAGCAAAATACACCCAATCAAAAGAGCAAAAAGAAAAAATAATCCAAAAATACAAAGATAGTGTAAGGAGCCTCTGGGACAACTTTAAGCATACCAATATCTGCATTATGGGACACCAAAAGGAGAAGAGAGAGAGCAAGATATTGAAAATCTATTTGAATAAATAATGACAGAAAACTTCCCCAATGTGATGAAAGAAATAGACTTACAAGTCTAGGAAACATAGGGAGTCCCAAACCAAAGGAGGCCCACACCAAGACACATCATAATTTAAATGCCAAAGTTAAAGAGAGAATCTTAAAAGCAACAAGAGAAAAGCAATGAAGAAAAAAAAGATTTTTAAAAATATGGACAATATAATGGCAATAAATATGTATCTATCAACAATTGAATCTAAAAATCAAATAAACAAACAAGGAATCTAAGGAACAAAATAAACTAATGAATAAAACAGAACCAGAGGTATGGAAACATGGAACAGACTGAAGAATTTCAGAGGGAAGGGGGGGATGGGGTTGGGAAGAGATTAGCCAAAGAACTCATATGCATATATGCATTACCTAATAGGGTGGAGAAGGCCTGGGGCAGGGTGGGAACCTAGTAGAGGAAGGCAATGTGGAGATCAAAGGGGTATATCTGTAATACTCTAAACAATAAAGATTTTTTTTTTAAGTAGCAAGATGTGATTCAATTGCCAGATTCTAAAACTCATGTTATTTCCACCATAACCCAAGCCATTTTCCTATCTTTTAAGATTACATTACTCCACCATCTTTTAAGATTACATTACTTTAAGACTATATTACTTACAGTATGCAAATTTATTAAACACAGAGTTTTCATACCCTGAGTTAAAATTACACACTAGAGTCCTGACCAGTTTGGCCAGGACCAGTTTGGCCCAACATTAGTGTGTTGGGCCATGGACTAAAAGTTCCCAGGTTCAATTCCCAGTCAGGGCACATGCCTGAGTTGCAGGCTCAGTTCCCAGCAGGGGGCATGCAGGAGGCAACTGGTCAATGTTCCTCCTGATGTTTCTAACTCTCTATCCCTCTCCCTTTCTCTCTGTAAAAAATCAGCAAAAATATATATTAATTTTAAAAACCACCCACTGGAATTAGAAAGTTCATATATGATACTTCATTTCAACTAAATTTATTCATCTAGAATTCTTCTAGTTAAAAAAAAAAAAAAAAAAACTCAGTTCCCTCACGTAATTACTTCTGATTTTTAAAATGTTGCTTTTATGTAATTATTTAAAGTTTTTAAAACATCAAAGTGATTACTTACCCATCATTCTTTTTCTTCTTTCAAAATCTGAATCATTCATGTTACTGAAAATAAATAAAACAAAAGACAAAATTATCTATCATCTTTCCAAAATATATCTTTTTTCCAAAAGGGTAGAAATTACTTGATAAGACAAATATTGAAAAAAAAATTTTTTTAATCACATTGAATCAGTATCTAAAAGGAATATAGAAAATACTGAGTTGAATAACATATAAAATATTACCTTGTTTAGTTATTTTAGATAATACCAAACCTTTTACTTTTACAAGTTAAAAATATTTGTCTAAAAATAGTAAAAATTGACTGAAACCTTTCTTTACCTTAAACAGTTTTCTGAAAATATTTTACCTTTTTCTTGATTGCTCAGGGTAATCTTTATAAATAGATCTCAGTGGCCATTAAACTGCACCTGTGTGTCCTGTGGTTTCCGTCAGCTGCCTCTACCTACAACTCCTTTACTCTTTCTTGTTTGTTGCTTCTAATTCACTTGTTACAAAATAAAGTAACTTCTTAAAATTGTACCAGATGATGCCGAAACCGGTTTGGCTCAGCGGTAGAGCGTCGGTCTGCGGACTGAAAGGTCCCAGGTTCGATTCCGGTCAAGGGCATGTACATTGGTTGTGGGCACATCCCCGGTAGGGGGTGTGCAAGAGGCAGCTGGTCGATGTTTCTCTCTCGTCGACGTTTCTAGCTCTCTCTCTCTCTCCTTTCCTCCTCTCTGTAAAATAGCAATAAAATATATTTTTAAAAAAATTGTGCCAGATGTGCCAATAAGTAAACACTGGGTAAAAGCCTGAGGAGCTCTCCAGCTACACGGCTTGGGAAGCCGGGGAACTGTGTCATTAGAGCTGAGGTGAACAGAAAAGTGCGCTCCTCGTGGGCGAAGTGTTACTACAGATGCCTCAACCAGTGCAAGGTGCCCAGGAGTAAAAAGGAAATGGTGAAAAATGGAAAGGGAGGGACCTCCCGGATTGACTCTGCTAAAGTAATACATCACATGCTTTTTTGTAAATCATTAGATTACCTTACCTCTTCAGTCTCACAAGGTACTGGGACACCCAGGCAGGAAAGAGTTCATGTTTTGAAATCATCTTCAGTGCCCAAAATTGCTAAATGAAAATATAGTATTAGACTGCTTATTCTATTAATGTTTGTTCCGTTTAACTCCGTGTTTCTTTTAATTACATTCTTATATTATCCATATTTTTAAAGTATACTATTTCAAGAAGAAATATATTAAAAATAAATACTATTATATATATTTACATACATATACACATATATATATGTGTGTATATAATATATATAGATAGATAGATATATGAATATATATAATTCAATTCCAAAACTCTAATTCATAGACATTCATGTAATGGCATGATGTAAGAGAAATGAAAAATATACAAAGTTTTTACCAATAGAGATTACATACACATGAATACTTGTATTACCAAGTTTTCCTTTAAATATGGAATTCCCTTAAAATAATTTACTTTTAATAACTTAATTTGCATTTTATTTAGTCATCTATTCATTTAACAAGTAATTATGCAACATCAACTATTGTTAGGAATTTTATTAGGTGGGAAGGATATAAAAATTAGTAAGACATGTCCCACCCTGGCCGGGGTAGCTCAGTGATTAGAGCATCAGCCCATGCACCTAGAGTTTGTTCCTAGTTGCTGGATTGCAGGTTTGCTCCCCACCGCTGGTTGGGATGGTTGCAGAAGGCAACCGGTCAATGTGTCTCTCACAATGAGGTCTCTCTCTTTTCTCCCTCTTTTCTCTCTCTTTCTCTCCTCTCCTTCCCTCCGTCCCTTTCACTCTCTGCAAAGCAATGGAAAAAATATCCTCTGGCAAAGATTAACGAAAACAAAAGACATGGTCCCTGTATTTAAGGAAAGTGTGTAAACAAATATTCAATTCCATTTTAAAAATATACATATCTATAAATATATTATATATGAGTGCTATAGGAATATATATATATGCACAATTCGCATATATATGTGCTCAATATGCAAATTGTGCATATATATTCCTATATATGTGTGTGTGCTCAATATGCAAATTGTGCATATATATTCCTATATATGTGTGTGTGCTCAATATGCAAATTGTCCCTGCAGGAGTTCAACCAGGAGATGGATCTTTCTCTATGACATACGCTGACCACGAGGAGACTGTGCTGAAAGAAGGAAGGCCCCAGCCAGCAGCTGGAAGGCCCTGATCAGCCCTGATTGCCAGCCAGGCCTAGGGACCCTACCCATGCACAAATTTCATGCACCAGGTCTCTAGTACTCTAGTGTGTGTGTGTGTGTGTGTGTGTGTGTGTGTGTGTGTGTGTAAACAAATGATAATGGAACACAAAAGAATGAGCAATTAGCTCCACCTAAAAGTCAGGGGGTTGAAAAGGTTTCATATTCCAAAGACAGAAATGAACTGTTTTAAATGATTAAAAGTGTAATGCGCTCTTCACAATTAAATTTTCCCAACTCTTAGTAATTTAATTATTGATATCTGTCAAAGACTTGTAGAAGTCACTTTAACATTACTTATCTCAGTTTTCTACATATTAAATGATAATTAGTTCTGATAGATTCATCATTAATAATTTTTTCAATTATATCAAAGATTCTTATTGGTTAACATTTTTCAGTATTTCCCACTGAGTAGGTAGACATTTTTTAATTCAAATCATTCCTTGAAATGTAATTTAAGGCTATCCATGCCCATGAGAAAGATAATTGTTCTTATAATTACTATGGTCTATACCTATCTTTACAATAACACTTCTATGCTTCTTTTTCAAAGAACACTAGTTTAACTCTTATTTCTGACACTGACAGCTATTTTTGTTTGAAAATAGTTGTAAATAAGTGGTCAGAGCTAAATGAAGCCTCTAGTAGTATAATTTTGATCATGGCATCTTCCTTTAAACTCCATGTGGAGATTATGCTGAAATAACAGAAGTCTGAAATCTCTACTGTTAGACAACATTATTGAGCACCAATTAGGTAGGCATTATTACTAATCCTATCTGAAGGATGAAACAAGTGAGAGTTAGAGAAACTGAGTAACGTGTACAAGCTCACACAGCCTGTCAAAGGGGAACCCTGAATTTGAAGCACCTAATCTGCTGCCACTACAGAATACTTCCCCCTAAACATACGCATGAAAACGACTGTGAAAACTCCACCGGACTCTAATCCCAAATCTTATGACTTAGCCCAACATACTTCCCATTGGTGACTGCCTGGGTCAAGAGACTGAGGAAAGAAGTGGTCCATCCTTTTTTTAAATGAAAAAGAGCTTGGGAATTACTAGGATGTGAACTCTGGGGAAAGCTGCCTGTGTTTTAATCCATCCAGACTTTTACTAGTTTTGTGACCTGGCGCTAGTTACCTAATTAATCTCTCTATGCCTCCATTTCTTTATCAGTAAAATAGAGATCACAATGGTATTACCTTATATGTTATGTCACAGATTTTATATATAAAATGTTTAGAATAGTGTCTAGAACCTAATAAGGACTCAAATGTTAGCTATTACTGTTATTATATTATTAATAAATTTTTCTTATTTTGTAAAATATTTACTATAATTCCTATCCCAGAATAAACTGTCAACAACAGTGAGTTCTCAATAAGTACGTGTTGAATGAGTGCATAAATGAGGCTAAATATCTTCTGAATTATAAAAAGATAACATTATAGAGAATGTCATGAAAGATAATGAAGTTAAAATTAAAAAAAAATAAGACTAGGTTTTAATCTAAACAATGATAAAAACAATAACTGTAATATATAAGACTGAGACCTTAAAAACAGATATATGTTTCTAAAAATATATAATAGATAGAAATCTCTGGCAATACCCATATTATTCCATAAATAATATATTTAATGTGTTGTAATTAAAATGAAAAGGCAACATATACACTTTTTTTTTTCTTTTTGTTAATCCTCACTTGATATTTTTCCATTGATTTTTTTTTTAAGGATGGAGAGGCACATCAATTAGTTGCCTCCCACATGTGCCCCGACCAGATACGTGTCCTTGACTGGAATCGAACCCAGAACCCTTCAGTCCATAGGCCAACACCTATCCATTGAGCCAAATCGGCTAGGGCGGCAACATATATTTTTTTAAAGTGAATTAAGTGCAGCCACCTTGAAAACAGTTTAAAATTTAAAATTTAAACAAATTTACTAAACCATCCAGCAATTCCACTCCTAGAATATACACAAGGGGAATGAAACATACGTTCACACATAAACTTGTACACAAATGTTCAGAGCAGTATTTATTCACAAAATCCAAAGATGGCAATGGCCCTAATGCATCTGTAAATGTGGTCTGTCTATACAGTGAAATAAAGAGGCAAGAACTGCTGATACAAGTTACAACATGAATGAACCTCAAAATATGCAAAGGGAAGAAGGCAGATGCAAAAGACCACATATTGTATGATTCCATTTATAGGAAATGTCTAGAAAGTGAAAATAAATTAGGAGCTGCTGGGAGCTGGGCATAGGAGCAGAGACTGACTGCAAGAGGGCACAAAGGACCAAGGTGTGATGGAATTGTTCCAAAATTGCACTGTGATCACTGCACAAATATGTAAATTAGTAAAAAAAAAAATCACTGAATTGTATACTTAAGGTGAGTGCAATTTTATGGCATATAAATTATACCTCAATAATCCAGTTAAAAAAGCCAAATGTCACTAATGAATACCTGAGGAATGTGGAGCTCCTGTAACTGGCTTTGGGTAATCTCACTGAGCTGCCGAAATGTCATTGTGAAATCAGCTTCTGTCTTTTCCATGAGCTAATGAAAATGAGTATACTTATCAATCTCAGTTCTTTGAGAAGATGTTAATTAGTAATTATGTAATTAGTAATGTTAATTATATAATTAGTAATTAGTAATTAGTAATGTTAATCAGAAAAAGAGATTAAATGATAAACTCACATGTAAGAGAAATGCAATTAAATCATCATCACCTTTCCTTTCTCCAAGTAGTCCCAATTTGGCTTTGAACAATTCTCTAAATCTAAAAGAAGAAATGTCAATTTAATATGTTATTAAAATTCTCACTACCAACCAGGATGCCATAACATCTGCATTCAAAAAGGACAAACCTTGTGTAATAGAGAACAGGATATCCCTCAAGAATCTGAGCGGCACTATAGGAAGAAAAAAGGAACAGTTAAACCTTGATTTAAAATTATCATTTTTTAATATATTTTTTTATTGATTTCAGAGAGAAAAGAAGAGGGAGAGAGAGAGAGAGAGAAACATCAATGATGAGAGAGAATCATTGATTGGCTGCCTCCTGCATGCCCCCCACTGGGCATGTGCCCTTGACTAGAATCGAACCCAGAACCCTTACAGTCCACAGGCCAAGGCTCTACTATTAAGCCAAACCAGCTAAAATTAGCATTCTTGAATTACATTTTACAAGAACAAAGAGAACCTTCTCATGTATTAAATAACATTAGACTATGCACTACTGATTCTTGTTTAGTGATTTAATTATATATCATACTAGAGGAGGGGGCAGTTTCCCTCAGCCCGACCCTCTCCAAATCCGGGACTGCAAGCTCCTAACTGCTCACTTGCCTGCCTGCCTGATTGCCTCTAACCACTCTACCTGCCTGCCTGATTGCTCCTAACCACCTCTGTCTTGGCCCCCACCACCACAGTTTCATTAGGAAGAACATCTGAAATGACGTCCAGAAGGTTTGGCTGTCCAGTCAAATTAGCTTTTATAATTATAGATTACAGAGAAAATTATCAATACAAATTTATCGTCTCAAAGATTTGGATATAGTATAAATCATACCATGTCATTCCTGAAATACTACTAAATATAATTAGATTACAGTTAAATGTTGATATAAATGTGTATGTTTTGGTATATTTTTAAAATTATCTTAGGCTAAAAATAATTCATTAGAAGTAACTCACCCAACACAATATTTTACTTATCTGAAAGTATGAACAGATAGTGAAATCTTTCATGAAAATATAAAAATTAGAGTTTTTAACCTTAAGCCCTTCTTTAAACAAATAGTTTCTATTTCTTAATATTCTCAAATGTATTTCCAGTTACACAAAAACTCAACACATTCTGAAGCTCTGTCGTTTTACCTTGCTGATCTCATCTACAACTTTTCCCCTTGCTCATTCTACTGCAATCATCTTGCTGTTCCTTAACCCCATCCCCCTTCACACACACACACACACACACACACATACACTCCCACCTCAGGGCCTTTCACAGGCTACAGGCTACTCCCTTGTCTGTAGATACCTGCATAGTTTGCTCCTGTTACTCCTTCGAGCCTTTACTCAAGTTTTTTGCAGACCGTCCTTTTAAAACTGCAAACCTTCTTTCCCTCCCTTACGCTCCTTGCCCAATGCTTTATTTTTCTCTATAGCATTTAGCTCCTTCTAATATGTTATAGAACTTATTTTCTGTGTTTATCGACTGTCTCTCCCACAAAAAGTAAGCACTATCAGGGCACAACTATTGTGCTGTTTTATTTATTGCTATCCCCTTAGCACTTACAACAGTGTCTGGCACATACTGAGCACCTCAGTAAATATTTGTTGAATGACTGAATGAACTCTGCAAAGCTAAAGAGATATAAGATTAATAGAGACAAGGGTGGGAGGCTGCTTAATGAATATCATTTTATAACATTTTGATTTTTAATTATGTGACTGTATTACCAATATAGTTTTTAATTAGTTAATTAAGAAAACCATGTATGGATATAAACTTTTAAAAATCTTTATTGCTACCTGAGATTTTTTGCTACCTGAGATTAATAAAATAACTATATGTCAGAAGTGCCTGGCTAGCTCAGTCGGTAGAACATGAGACTCTTAGTAAAATAGCTACATGCCTTGTCTTCCATTTGGGATCTTGTACTGTAAATTTTTGATTGGGGGGATATAGAGGAAAGTATAAAACAAAATATGTTTTATCTTCTAGCAAATACATTGGAGAAACAGAAATGAATCAGTTGTGGTCCCTGCTTTCAAGAAATTCAATGTCCAGTGGTAAATCAACAAAATCCTAACATAATCCGGGACCCAGTGGCTGCTTCAGGCCCTCGCTCTTAAGGTAAAGCAAGGCTATGCCATAAAGAATCCTTAGCACATTTTGAATAGCAGATTTTACCTAACACATTATTTGATCATAAAAATATGGACATATTAAGTCCAACTACTTAGAAATTAAGAAACAGTGATAAATAACTTTTAAATCTAAGAAGAAATAAACTAAAATTTCATATCTAAAAAGCACTAAATATGAAAACTCATCCTAATAACTATGGAAAAAAGCCAAAACTAAACTAGAGAAAAATATAAAGTTTAAAATGTTGTTATTATTAAAGACTAAATAATAAGCTGGATTTCAAAATGTTACTTTCTTGTTTTTCAAAGACGATCATTTTTCCCCCAGTGGAGGGCATTAAGGAGACAGCCGATCAATGATTCTCTCTCATCATTGATGTTTCTATCTCTCTCTCCCTCTCCCTTCCTTTCTGAAATCAACAAAAATTAAAAATGATCATTTTACAAATATATTTTCACACATATTTAACTACTAGATTTAGGATTTACTCACAGCTGCTTTTGCCTTGGATCCAGTAATGGGTTTAGAGCTTGTAACAACTTATTCAAATTAAACATCCCAATATTGGCCTGGTTTCCTATTTTATATCTTCTTTCATCATCAGATGTGTTTGGCACAAAATCTGTTTAAAACAAAAATACTATCTTTATATAGTAAGAATAATTACAATAAATTGCTGTTGTCTTCATTTTTAATTTATATTTAAACTTAATAAATTTCTATTTATTAGGTAAAACTTTTTCTGACATTAACCATTTAACTCAAAAGTAATGTAAATATTTAATGTCCATACACATGAAAATATTTTATAATATGAATATTTGCCTAATAGATGAATATATTTCTAATCTACAAGAATTTCCAGGTCATCAAATACTGACTTCAAATTCCAATTCAAATAGTATGTTGTCCACAAAGCCCGCTCCCATCCTTCCAGTAGCAAGTATTATATTAGTGTTACCTCCATTTTATAAGTTAGTAAGTGAGAGGTTAAGTAACTTGTCCAAGGGCACAGAGCCATTAAGGGTCAGATGCCCGAAACAAAACTCACATCTGTCTGATGACATATTCCCTACTGTCCTTCAGGTCATCTTCACTAACATGTAATTCTTTAAGGGCAGAAGTTACAAGGAACTCATTTTTGTGTCCCTATAGCACTTAGAAGATTGAGTACAACACAAAACTACCATTCTACAAGTGATCCCAATTCTTTTACTACCCCATCATTGTATTAGCTATAACAGTTTATCTAAAACGAGCTTGTGATTAAGGTAATTGTAGATACATATAAATCATACATACCAGGGTTATAGGCTTCCATAAAACCAAATGGACCATAGTCAATTGTAATGGATAACAAACTGAAGTTATCAGTATTACAAACACCTAAAACAACAAAAATTTCCAAAAACATGATGTAATAACAAAAGCATTTTTTAACTGTATGAAATTTTCCAAAATTGAAAAGGTCATGGAAATGCATTTGTTTTAGAAGGAAGCAAAATGTAATTATCAATTGAAAAGTTTAATTTAAAGAGACAAATAGTTTTATATTAAAACTATATTTTAAAAATAAATTTAGCCTTTTGTTTTATATTCCTCTCCCCCCAAAGATTTCTAATAATCTAGTCCCAAGAAATAAAACTTCCTCTTATTTACTCTCAATTTCCAGCAGTTGCTTAAAATATGTTATTTGGAATGGAACTGAGACTAGTAAAGGAATAAAATCAATTTTTAAAGGCTGTGAGAAGGGGAAAAGATGAAAATATGGATACCTACCCCCAGTAACAGTACTGAGTTGAGACCACGAGCAGTGGGCGGTAGGGCGAGAAAGACCGCTTAGGTGCAGGGCTCATGAAGGGGGCTGAGTGTGGGATAGGAGGAAGCCATGGTCACACCAGCCTAATATAGGTTCTTGGGCAAGGTGGCACCATGTCAATAGAGAGGGTTTCAACCTTTTTCAGAGGAAGATGGTTCTATTTACCGAAATGTTAAATGTACCGACTCTCTAACCCAGCAATTCCACTTTTAGGGGTTTATCTTAAAAAACTATTTTTGAGCCTGGCCTCAGAGGCCAGTGGTTGAACGCCAAAGCAGGAGGCCACAATTAAATTCCTGATCAGGGCACATGATTCAGTTGTGGGCTAATTCCCCAGTGAGGGGAATGCAGGAGGCAGCCAATTATTCCCTCTCATCATTAATGTTTTTATCCCTTTCTCCTTCTTCCTTCCTCTATGAAATCAACAAAACATTACATTAAAATTTTTTTTTAAAACTCTTCTTTGTATTCTCAAACTTCCTCTTATTTACTCTCAACTTCTAGCAGTTGCATGGTGGTCACTACAATACAGGTCATAATAGCAAAAACTCTGAAACACCTACCCTGTTTCCCATCCAGCCCTAAGAAAGATAAAGAGATCGTATGAAAATTAAAGCCTATTTCAAGAAGTTTTGCAAGCCAACTTAAAGAAGTTCTACAATGTGGAGTCCTCCTTTGGTATTTATCTAGAGACCTTAGTATATACAGAACTTGCATTTCAGTTATTCATAGTTCAGGCAGATATTCCCTGCGATACTACCCTGCTGCTTTTGTAGGAGACATATGAATATCATCAACATAGTCTAGAAAACTTGATATGAAATGGTTAATAATGATTATCATAGAGAATGGAACTCAAAATTACCTATATTTTAAATTCTTTACCATAAACAGGTAATCCTATATAATAAAAGCCCAATATATTAAGTGTCTGGTTGTCTAGTCTTCCATTCAACCAATCAAAGCATAATATGCTAATGATATGCTAAGGCCACACAACTGCTCACTATGACGTGCACTGATCACCAGGGGGCAGAGGCTCTGACTGGTAGGTTAGCTTGCTGCTGGGGCCTGGCCAACTGGGACTGAATGAGACAGGCCAGACACACCCTAGAGCCCTTTGTGATCCTTCCCCGGCTCACCAACCTTCCACATACCTCCCTGGCCATCATCATGCACCGGTAGAGTCCCTTGGCCTGGCCTATGCCCTCTTTCAATCTGGGACTCCTTGAGGGATATCAGATATCAGGTTTTGACCCAATCCTGCAGGTCAGGCCGAATTACACAAATTTATGCACCAGGCCTCTAGTGCTTTTATAATTAAGATTTTAAAAAATACCTTTAAGAAAATCTAAATATGCCAGAAACTGATCATTGTTTCACTAAGATGTGGACAAGGAACCAGGAAGGCTGGTCAGCCTTGAAGCTCTGAAAAGTCAGAGCCAACCACTCCCTATCTAATTGAGACAATGGTAACTGAGGAAACTTCCCCACCAAATAATCATGTAAATCTTTATTGATAAGATAATCTGCCTGTTACTGGAATTGCCTGCCTAAGGGCAATGGGTATATCCCAAACCTGAATAAAAGGGATGGCAAGGCCAAAGCAAAGCTTAGTCCTCCCACTAGAGTTGGGCTTCCCTCTGGCCTCCATTCCCCAAATTAATATTTTTCTAGAATCTTTCATTGAATCTGAACCCTGAACCACTCGGGACATGAAAGGGGTGCCTCAGAAGGATCATGTTATATACTACTTTTTATAATCAGGGCAAAAAATGTAGCTGCCCATACAACAGCGAAATGCCTTTCACCTGTAAGAAAAGTATGGTCACTGGTGCATGCAGTGTCTCGGATTTCGAGAGGAATGTCCAACTGCCAGTTTAGGCCCGACATCCCCCGAGGGGTCCCCGATTGCAAGAGGGCACAGGCCAGGCTGAGGGGAGTCCCCCCCATGCATGAATTTCGTGCACCAGGCATCTAGTAGGTTATAAATGTTAAGAAGCCCATTGGCAGGAATATTTTGAAATACATAAAAAAGAAGTCTTCTGCCTCTACAGATTAATTCTACTTTCTCATCAGAGAGTGAAACATTAATAGATAACTTACCATGAGCAAAACCAATAGACATCCACAGAGCAATAAGTTGTGCCGTCTCAGATACCACAATGGAAAAAAATTCCTAAAGAAATTTTTCAGATTTTATAAAGGCTGTCCAACAGATGACTAAAGAAATAAAAATTACATATGGAAGAACATAAAACTATTCAATTAGAAATAATATATAAAAGGCTCATATACAGCACGATGACCTGGCTTTCTCCATGTCAAATAAAAAAGGGAAAAATGCCCTGGCCAGTGTTGCTAAGTGTTTTGAGCCTGCCTCATACACTGGAGGGCCTCAGGTTCAATTCCCAGTCAAGTGCATGTACTTGGGTTGCAGGTTTGATCCCCAGCCAGGGTGCAGGAGGCAACCAGTGGATATCTTTTACATTGATTCGCTCGCTCTCTCTCTCTCTCTCTTTCTCTCTCTCTCTCTCTCTCTTCCCTACTTCTGTCCCTTTCCCTTCCTTTCTTCCTCACTCTCTCTAGAGAACAACAGAAAAAATATCATTAGGTGAAGATTAATAAAAAAAAAAAAAAAAAAAAAAAAAAAAGGAAAAAACATCAGAATTCAGCACAAGGGCCCTAACAGGTTTGGCTCAGTGGATAGAGTGTCAGCCTGTGGAATCAAGGGTTCCAGGTTCGATTCCAGTCAAGGGCATGTACCTTGGTTGTGGGCACATATCCAGTAGGGATTGTGCAGTAGGCAGCTGATTGATGTTTCTCATCGATGTTTCTAACTCTCTATCCCTCTCCCTTCCTCTCTGTAAAAAATCAATTAAATCTATTTTTTTAAAAAAATTCAGCACAAGGAGTTAAATGTAAATGAAGTAAATTATTAAACTTTAAAGTGAGTCACCAAGAAAAACAAGAGATTATATTCTCTGTGCCTCTTAAAAGAATAAAAATATTTTCACAAAAATAGGAAATCACATTTTCCTAAATATCTAATGGGTGAGAAAAGAATATATGTGATCAATTTATAAATGCTTCTCAAAAAATAATGTACACAGCCCTAGCCAGTTTGGCTCAGTGGACAGAGCACTGGCCTGTGGACCAAAGAGTCCTAGGTTCAATTCTGGTCAAAGGCATGAACCTTGGTCGTCTCCTTGTGGAAGGATTAACAACAACAACAAAAATGTATACAGTTAGGATATAGTAGCATCTATTTTTTTCTTCTAGATAACTTTCAAAGGAAACAACTTTCTTATCTATGCCTTATTTATGAAGTGGTTCATCTTATCTTCCTCTAATAAAATGTTCATGATTCTCTATATTTCCTTGCCTAACTGAATTTTTTTTAATTCCTGAAGTGTAACCACTAATGTTGGCAGGCCAATGAGAGAAAGCAAAAGTATTGCTCTTTCTCTTTAAAAACATACTATATCCCAGACAGTGTTGCTCAGTGGTTGAGTATTGACCTATGAACCAAAAGGTCACAGTTTGATTCCTGGTCAGGGCACATGCCTAGGTTTTGTCCTCGATCCCCAGTGGGGAAGTGCAGGAGGTACCTGATCAACGATTCTCTCATCATTGATGCTTCTATCTCTCTTTTTCTCTTCTTTCTTCTCTGAAATCAATAAAAATATTTTTTTAAAAAGAAAAAAGAAAAACTTACCACATATCTATTAGGTTCTCTGATATCTACTGAGGGGAAATGTTCCTGTATGATGAAATCTAATAATGTCCTGCAGAATAAAAGGAGACAGCATCAATGTTTCTCAAAATACAGTATTGAATATCCAATCACCTAAACCCACCCTTGCAATTCATTAGATTCCACACTTGAAGTTTTATTTTATTTTACTTAAAATTTTTTTGTTAATCCTCCCCTGAGAATATTTTTCCATTGATTTTTTAGGGAGAATAGAAGAGAGAGGGAAAGGCAGAGAGAAACATCAATTTGAGAGAAACACATTGATCGGTAGCCTCCTCCATAAGCCCCCACGAGAGCCTGAAACCAAGGTACATGCCCTTGACTGGAATGAAACCTGGGACCCTTTGTTCTGCCGGCCAACACTCTACCCCCTGAACCAAACCAGCTAGGGCTCACATTTTAAAATTTTTTTTTAATTAAAATAAGACTGTATCCCAAAAACAGCAATAGAGAAATATTTCCTCAATATTAATCAAAGCTGGAACTATGTTTCTAACATCATATTAGATTCCATTTTATTATGTTACAAATTCAGGTTAACCCAGTAAACATCCACGGAATATCTACAAGCCCTGTGCAAGTGATAGGAAGTAGGAAGAAGAAGGATAGGACTGAGATCCAGCCCTCAGAAAGCATATAGTTGATTAGAGGATAACATATTAAAAATAATGACATTATAGCACAATGCATGCTATGATGGAAATATATACAAAGTATAAAAGCAACAGAACAGCCTGCTGGAGTGGCTCAGTTGGTTGAGTATTGTCCCATGCACCAAAGGACTGCTGGTTCGAATCCTGGTCAGGCCACATACCTGGGTTTCAGGTTTGATCCCCAGCCAGGGAGCACATTGAAGGCAGCCAACTGATGGTGGAGTTTTTTCTCTCTCTCTCTCCCCTCCCTCCCTCCTTTCTCTATCTCTCTCCCTTCCTCTCTCTCAATCCTCAGGTCAGGATTAAAAACAACAACAAAACAGTAGGGGACTAACTATTTATGGAGGTCAAATAGGTTTCACAAATGAGATGACAAAAATCTGGCCAATGTTTAAAGTTAAAATATTTAAGTTGAATGTATATCATGTTTTTTTACTCCCATTCTTAACACACTTCGGATGGATCATGAGAATTCTCTGTTTTCTATTTTAAGGCTTGTGGCTAATCACTCGAATTCTTTAAAAAGATATTAGCTTGTAAGAACAGGTAATAAATAACTTCAAAATGCAATGGGTATTTCAATTAAAATCATGCCTTCAAGATTTATGTAAAACATTTTTTGTACTCATTCAACAGAAACTTACCTGGCCACTGGATAAAGCTAGCAATAAAACTACTAGTTCACAATGTGTTAAGTGACTCCTCTAATTAGTCGACTAATCAAGTTACTGCCTTGCATAAGAGAAAAAAAAAAAAATTAGAGGTTGTAAATATGATTTGAGAATTACTAAAACCCAGTCAAAACAACAGGAGTGATTTAATCATTTAATCATTAAATAACTTTAATAAGTATCTTTCTGTCAAGAATTGTTTCAGGTACTTCGGGAACAAAAAAGTATATATAGTTGCCGAAACCGGTTTGGCTCAATGGATAGAGCGTTGGCTTGGGGACTGAAGGGTCACGGGTTTGATTTCGGACAAGGGCATGTACCTTGGTTGCGGGTACATCCCCAGTAGGGGGTGTGCAAGAGGCAGCTGATCGAAGATTCTCATCAATGTTTCTAACTATCTCTCTCCCTTCCTCTCTGTACAAAATCAATAAAATATATATTTAAAAAAAGTATATATAGTCATGTTAGCCATTGGAGACATTTTAAGGATGAAGTGGTCACCCATTTACATCAAATATCAGAGAGAGAAGTGAAAAATAACTGAAGTATGACTACCAGATGGGACAATTTCAGTGGTATAATGAATACAAATATAGTGATCCCAAAAAATAAATTGAAATTTAGAAATAATACCTAATGAGAACAGACAACTCTCTCAATGAGCCGAGCCGAGATGACTATGAACTCAGTGAACATGTGCTAAAGTAGGAAACTCAGAGAAGCTTCTGGACAAGATAGCGGAGTAGGTAAAATGTAGTACTCAGAACCTCTCACAACCACATCATTTCCATTGCCCTAACAGGGGTCTGCAACCTTTAAGACATAAAGAGCCACTTGGACCTGTTTCCGAAGGAAAAAAACACACACAGAGCGCCAGGAGCGCCGGAGGCGGCGGAGGTAAGTGATACAGCTCCCCGCCCACCATGATATCGGCCTTGCTAGTGTCGGCCCTGCTGTCGGAGCTGCGGCAAAGCTTCAAAAGAGCCGCATGCGGCTCTGGAGCCGTAGGTTGCCGACACCTGCTAGGAGCTGCATCGTTAAAGATATTGCTATGACAATGTCTGCTATTTTGCTGCCTATGGCTTCTTCTAATATTTTTATGGTTTCTCATCTTATATTTAAGTCCTTTATCCATTTTGAGTTTATTTTTGTGTATGGTGAAGTTGGTGATCTAGTTTCATTTTTTTGCATGTATCTGTACAGTTTTCTCAACACCATTTTTTTTAAGAGACTGTCTTGACTCCATTGTATCCTCTTACCTCCTTTGTCAAATATTGAGTATAACGGCTTGTGTTGATTTCTGGGTTCTTTGTTTTGTTCCACTGGTCTATATGTCTGTTCTTGTGCCAGTACCAGGCAGTTTTTTTTTAAAAGGTCCCATTATGGACTTACTCAGACTCACTAACTCACTGTATCCTATACCTCTCCTTAAGTAGCAGTGGCAGCTCTCGTTAGTTCAGAGCTTGGCTTCCAAGCCCATCACAGTAGCAGCCATCTGCAGATTGTTCTGTAGCCCATGCTGGATGGTGCTGGGTAGGGCACAGATGGCATCTGATCTCGGCTTACACCTTCTAGGAAATCACAGAGCCAGTACACCACATGAACAGCTTCAGACTACACCAGAGCACCACCCAACCATCTAAATGAGAGATACACTGAAGTAGTAGACTCTGGACACCAGAGCCCTACTGAAGTGAGTTCTGCACCATGAGGTCAGTCCCTGAACAGCAGATCCTCCACTATAGTATCAGCCAGTCCTCACAGCCAATCAGCCTTCCATTGACATACCAACAGCAATCGAGGCTCAACTACAGCAGAAGGATGCACACAGACCACACAAAGGGGTGCAGCTGCAGCACCTAGCTAAAATGACTGGGAAGGCTGTGGCCCAGGGCCCTACAAAACACATACTACATATGGCCATTCTACCAAGACAGGAAGATGTAGTAGCTCTACCTGATACACAGAAACAAACACAGAGAGGCAGCCAAAATGAGGAGACAAAGAAACATGTCCCAAATGACAGAACAGAACAAAACCTCAGAAAAAGAACTAAATAAAATGAAGATAAGCAATCTACCAGATGCAGAATTCAAAGCACTGGTTATAAGGTTGCTCAAAGAACTTAGGGAGAAAGTAGGTGAAGTTAGTGAGAACTTCAACGAAAAGATAGAAAACATTCAAAAGAACCGGCCAGAAATGAAGAATATAGTAACTGAAATGAAGAATACATTACAGAAAATCAACAGTGGAGTAGATGAAGCAGAGGATCAAATCCATAATTTAGAAGATAAGGTTGCAGAAAACAATCAGAACAACAAAAAGAAAAAAATATTTTAATGAGCTTAGTTTAAGGAGCTTCTTGCCATCAAGCGTAACAACATTTAGATCATGGGGTTGCCAGAAGAAGAGAAGATAGAGCAAGAAATTGAAAACCTATTTGAAAAAATAATGATGGAAAACTTCCCTAACTTGGTGAAGGAAACACACATGCAAGTCCAGGAAGTGCAGAAAGTCCCAAACAAGATGAATCCAAAGAGGCCCATAGCAAGACACATCAGAATTAAAATGCAAAAGGTTAAAGACAAAGAGAATCATAAAATCAGCAGGATAAAAGTTACTTACAGGAGCTCCCAAAAGACCGTCAGCTGATTTATCAACAGAAATTTTGCAGGCCAGAAGGGATTGGCAAGAAATATTTGAAATGATGAAAAGCAAAGACCTACAACCAAAATTCTTCTGCCTACCAAAGCTATCATTTAGAGTAAAACAGATAAAGAATTTTCCAGACAAGAGAAAGCTAAAGGAGTTCATCATCACCAAAACAGTATTATAAGAAACATTAAGGGGTCTTCTTTAACACATGAGCCTAACCAGTGGCCAAAGACAATAGGGGGTGGGGGCACGAGTGGGGAAAGGTGGGGGATTGGAATGGGGGGTTGAGGACAAATATGTGATACCTTAATCAATAAAGAAATAAAAAAATTAAAAAAAGGAATCCCAGGGGGGAAAAAAGAATAAGAAGGAAATAAAGATTAGAAATGTGAATAATAAAATGGCAATAAATACATATCTAACAACAATTACTTTAAATGCAAATGGATTAAATGCTCCAATCAAAAGACATATGGTAGCTAAATGGATAACAAAAGAAGACTCTTACATATGCTGTCTATAAGAGACTCACTCAGATCAAAGATACATAAAACTGAAAGTAAAGAGAAGGGAAAAGATATTTCATAAAAATGTAAATGAATTTAAAAAAAAAAAAAAAAAAAGCTTCACTAGCAAACTAGACTTTAAAACAAAGTCTATAAAAAGAGACAATGAAGGACCCAGCCATTCCACTTCTGGGATTTATCTGAAAACACCAAAAACACTAAAGTGAAAAGGCATATGCATCCATATGTTCACTGGAGCATTATTTACAACTAGAGTCCCTGTGCACAAATTCATGCATAGATGGGGTCCCTTGGCCTGGCCAGCAATCAGGGCTGTCTTGCCCAGTCTTGATTGGGGCTAGCCAGCCGGGGAAGAGACCATGGGAGGTTTGCCAGCCTCAGGAGGTTGGCTGTGGGAGTGCACTGACCACCAGGGGGCAGAAGCTTAATGCAGGAGTTGCCCCCCTCGTGGTCAGTGCACATCATAGTGACCAGGGACTGGTCAAGTGGTCGACCAGTCACTTAGGCTTTTATATATATGTAGATAGGCAAGAGATGGAAGCAACCTAAGGTGTCACCAATGGGTAAAGAAGTGGTGCATACATATAACAAAATATGACTCAGCCATAAAAAAGAATGAAATTTTGCCATATTCAACAACATAGATAGATCTAGAGTGAAATAAGTCAAAGACAAATGCCGTATGATTTCTTTTATATGTAAAAATCTAAAAACCAAAATAAATGAAGAATCAGACCAGAATCAGACTCACAGATATAAAGAACATTTTGATGATTGCCAGATGGGAAGAGGGTTGGGAAAATGCATAAAAAAGGTAAAGTGATTATGAAGTACAAATTGGCCCTGGCAGGTGCCTGCACACCAAAGGATTGAGGATTTGATTCCTGGTCAAGGGCATGTACCTGAGTTGCTGATTTGCTCCCCTCCTCCATTTTGGGGTTGGGGGCAGAAGGTAATTGATGTGTCTCTCTAACATCCATGTGTCTCTCTCTCTTTCTTCTCTCCCCCCCTCCCTCCCTTCCACACTCTATGAAAAGCAATGGAAAAAATATCCTCAGATGAGGATAAAAAACAAACAGCACAAATTGGTAGTTACAGAATAATCATGGGGATATAAAGTATAGCATAGCAACATAGTCAATTATCTATATATATCCCTAGCTGGTTTGGCTCAGTGGATAGAGTATTGGCCTGCAGACTGAAGGAACCCAGGTTCAATTCCAGTCAAGGGCACACGCCTGGGTAACGGGTTCCATCCCCAGTAGGGTTGTGCAGGAGGCAATCAATGATTCTCTCTCATCATTGATGTTTCTATCTCTCTCCCTCTCCCATCCTCTCTGAAATCAATAAAAACATTTTTTAAAATCTATATATATAAAAGCCTTAGTGATGGAATAACCAAATGACTAGTCAAGCAGTTGCTATGATGTGCACTGACCACCAGGGAACTGAGGCTCAACACAGGTGCTGCCCCCTAGTGTTCAGTGCACTCCCACAGTGAAACTCTCATGACTTGCCAACCTCCCACAGCCACTCCCCTCAGCTGGCTGCCCACCCACATCAGCCCTGATCATCAGCCAGGCCGAAGGACCCCACCAATGCATGAATTCATGCACCAGGCCTCTAGTCTATCTATAACAATAAAAGCATAATATGCTAATTAGACCAAACATCCTTCTGGATGACCTTTCGGATAAAGCCCAAGGCTGCAAGGAAAGCCCAGTTCCTGAGTGCCTGCCAGCAGCTGCAGGGAAACCTGGGTCCTGGGTGCCAGAGGGAAGCCAGTGTCGGCAGCTGGGGGAAGGAAGGCCTACTCTTGCATGAATTGCATGCATCGGGCTTCTAGTCTATAATACTATTAGAAAAAAAGCGTAATATGCTAAGTAGACCAGACAGCCAAATGACCTTCCAAACGACCTTCTGGACAAATCTGGGGCTATGAGGGAAGCCAGTCCCGCATGTCAGAGGGAAGCTGGTGCTGGCAGCCAGGGGAAGGAAGGCCTACTCATGCATGAATTTAATGCATTGGGCCTCTAGTATTATAATAAATATGTATGGTGTCAGATGGGTACTAGATTTATCAGGTTAACCCCTTAATAAGTTATATAAATGTCTAATCACTGGGTTATATACCTAAAACTAATATAATATTGTACATCAACTTTTCTTTACACTTTTCTTTTTATCCTCCCAGAAAACCCACACAATATTAGACATATTACAAGTATTAAAAATATTTATTAATGCCCTGGTTAGGTAGCTCAATTGGTTGGAGTGTCATCCTATATACCAAAAGGTTACAGGTTCAACTCTCAGTCAGGGCACATACCTAGGTTTTGAATTTGATCCCCTGTCAAGCTGTGCTTAGAAGGCAACCAAGGGATATCTCTCTCTCTCTCTCTCTCTCTCTCTCTCTCTCTCTCTCTCTCTCTCTCTCTCCCACACACACACCAGGGAAATAAAAACATATCCTCCAGTGACGATTAAATAAATGAATATCTATAAGTAAATATACTTATTCCCTTTCCCCTCTCCTTTCCTCAAGGCACATATCTTCTAACCTCTAAGGGACCCCATGAGACTTGCAACCAGGAGAGCAATGGGCAGCAGCAGCTTATCCTGGGCTAACCCCCTGATCCTGTCTCCAACGGCCCCTTTTCTCTGACCTCCCAGTGAGCTAAGGCAGCTCAGCCTAGGCTTTCCTGCTGCTTCTATGCCCTTCCTTCTTTCACTCTCCTAAGTATATTTTTGCTGCAATCAATAAATCCTTGCTTCTTTTCTCTCTGCCCACCCACCACCCTTGCCCACACACACAAATTAACTTCCCAACACATAAATAATCATTTTCAATTGTCTTCTACCACTTAAAAAATGTCATTTTCTAACCTTAGTAAATCCAGTTCACCATAATGAGTCAAAATTTCTAATGATCCAATTCTAAACCATGATTTTGCAACGCGAAGCACTACTGCACCTGCAAAAGAAACATTTATTTCAGCAAAAACTATTTCAAAACTGTGCGAACATAACCTAAATGCTTTTCTTAAAAAATAAAATTATTTTAATATAAAAGAATTGAATATCTGTATTGGAAAAACAACTAACTTACACCTGGAAAGGATCAAGGAATTTTTTCTTTATTTTTTTAAGCCTGGATCAGAATGTTAGGAGCCACAAAACTTTCTGAAATACCAAGCTCTGACCTAGCTAAAGACTGCTCAGTTAAATCATTAGGCTCCAAACATCAAAATCCCACTGACTCCTCAATTGTCAGCGAATTATTGAGTTATGAGTGGCCCAGCGCAGGAAATTCATGCACTTTAAAAGGGAATTAGAGGGGCAGGGATGTGAACCTCATGTCCCAGCCCGTTGCCAGGGACAGGGACATGAGCCTCATGTCCCAGGGCCTGTTGGAGACACAAGCCTCATGTCCCCGGGCCAGCGCAGGGGCAGGGACATGAGCCCCACATCCCGAGCCCATTGATGGGGTAAGGACTCACATCCTAGGGCCCGTTGCCTAGGTCGGGGACATGAACCTCGTGTTCCTTCCTGGCACAGGGAGTGGAGATGCAGCCTGCTGATCGGTTGTTATGCGATGGCATCCCGACAGATTTGCATATTATCCTATTATAAGTATAGATTTCTAGGGCGTAGTCCCAACAAGTGCTTTTCATTTGTGTAACTACTGAAAATTAACTTCAATAAATAAATGTTTGCATATGTTCTAACTATGAATACACTGAAGAAATAAAGTGAATCTATGCATTTTGTGTTTGGGTTTGTAATTCCGTATTACTGCCTTCTGTTTTGATTATAGACATTAGTAATACAATTAATAAATAGAATTCATATTTCTTGCTTTTAGGAAATGCTGTACTTACATGTGCTTACATATCAAGATGAAGACTATCCAAGGGGCTCCTGCTCTGTTGGTGCTGTTCTTCAATAGACTTCCTGCTACCTGGGCCTTTGTGCTGGTCTCCCTTGCTCTACCTACCTCACACCCTCTTCACCCCATACTGAAACCTTTCCTAATCTTATACTCAAGGTCAATTCCCAACCCTGGGTGAGTATCTCAGTTGGTTAGAACATCATCTTGACACACCAAGGTTGCGGTTTTGATCTCCAGTCAGGGTATGTACATGAATCAACCAATAGATGCATAAATATGTAGAACAACAAATCAATGTTTCTCTCTCTAAAAATCAATAAATTTAAAAATATATTTTAAAACATAATTCCCACTTCTTTCATAAAGCTAAAATGATCTCCCTATTATTGACTTCAGATCTTTTGTTGTTCATCTGTTTCATGTATCTAAGTCTTTTCTCTATGGAGACTAAACTTCTTAAGACCAGAGTACGATATATACTTACTATTCCTGGACCCCCTAAAGCAATAGTTCTCAACCTTTCTAATGCTACTTCATAACTGTGATTTTGCTATTGTTAATGAATCATAATGTAAATATCTGTGTTTTCCAATGGTCTTAGGCTCCACAGCAGCGGTTCTCAAGCAACAAAAACAATTTTATGGTTGGGGGTCACCACAACATGAGAAACTGTATTAAAGGGTCGCAGCATTAAAAATGTTGAGAACAACTGCCCTAGAGTTTAGTCCAATGGTAGGCACAGAAAAAGGGTCAATTAGCATTTTCTGGATTGACTGAATTACCATAGTCAAAATGTATTCACAATATTAATCCAGACATTTATTTTCATGTGGGGTTTTTTTTGAGCAATAAAAATGTAGTCATTTAGAAACCATAAGAACTCACTAAGCTATCCTAATGTCTATTTAATAAAAGGCATTGAATCACTGAATGTTAGCACTAAAAGACACAAAATGTGTCTAATCTAAAAGTCTTATTTTAGGGAAGAGAAACAGGGCCAGAATGTGACTTACTCCAAATGACAAATCAATTCCCACAGAGCTGGTCACATATTCTGTTAGCCTGTCCAGCACTTTTCTCAATATACGACATTGGCTGCTGGGTAAATAGCATAAAAGCACAATATGTGTATATATGTGAACATTTAGATATGGAAATTCTAGTAATGGCCTAAAAAGGAGAAATAAGATTGTGGTTTGGAATTCAGATTAACAATATAAAAAAGTACAGCCACAGAAGTAAGTAGTATTGTTTCCATCATAGGAACAGTCTGTGGTTGGACTCCCATTTCCAAACACCATTAACAAAAAGATCTACATAGTTGTTACAGGCTTGTGTGCAATAATGTCCATTTTATCCAGATGAAATTAAAGGGGAGAGATGCCATAAAAACACATAAGCCTTGCCCAGTCAGTGTGGCTCAGTTGTTGAATATTCACCCATGAACCAAGAGATTACCAGTCAATCCAGTCGGGGTACATGTCCATGTTGCAGGTTTGATCTCCAATAGGGGATATGCAAGGGCAGCGTATAGATATTTCTGTCTCATAGATGTTTCTATCTCTATCACTCTCCCTTCCCCCCTCAAATCAATAAAAACATTTAACAATCTATACTAATAATAGATGAATATGCAAATTGTCCAGGATGCTATCACAGTAACAGTAACAACCAGCAGGCTGCCTGGGGCGACAAGGCCAACAGGGGCATTAGTGAAGGATTACCAAATGACTGAACAGCAGGCTGCGTGGGGCGACCAGGCTGGAAGAGGGAGCAGTTGGGGGCAACCAGGCCAGCAGAGGCAATTAGGGGCAAGCAAGCTGGCGGGGAAGGGGGGCAACCAGGCAAGGCAGGTAGGTGAGCAATTAGGAGCCAGCGATCCGAGATTGTGAGAGGGATGTCCGACTGTTTAGGCCTGATCTGGATTGGACCTAAACCTGAAGTCAGACACCCCCCGAAGAGTCCCGGGTTGGAGAAGGCACAGGCTGGGCTGAGGGGACCCTCCATGCACAAATTTCGTGCACTGGGCCATATATATATATTCCTTAATTCATTTAAGCATGAATACTTTGGGAGAATTTTTTTTTTAATGAAAAGCGTATCAAAACATATTATACACTAAGTATAAAGAACATAAAATGTTCTCTGGTGCCCTAGTCGTTTTGGCTCAGTGAATAGAGCATCAGCTTGTGGACTGAAGGGTTCCAGGTTTGATTCTGGTCAAAGGCACATGCCCAGGTTGCAGGCTCAATCCCTAGTGCAGGGTGTGCAGGAGGCAACCAATCAGTGATTTTCTCTCACCACTGGTTTTTCTATCTTTCACTCCTTCTCCTTTTCTCTCTGAAATAATATATGTGTGTGTGTGTGTGTGTGTGTGTGTGTGTGTGTGTGTGTATATATATATATATATATATATATATTTTTTTTTTTTTTTTTTTTAATGTGCTCTGGTGAATCACTATGAACCTCGGTAAAAATGTTGCCCTGTGATGCAGTGACCCAATAAAACATAGAAGGCTGTCAGTAGGGCTTGGTAGCTCTGCCTTTTAAGCTGTTAAATATGTTTATTATTGATTTTTAGGTCCCCTTTCTCTTCAAAGATTCAGAGTCAAATTCTTACTCTCTCCCTGTTTGCTGTTGTACAGCACACTTTCTCATCCCCTTTCTAATTTTTTTTTTCTAACCTACTTAAGGTTGAGGAAAATTTTAATTGAACTTATTGGATGTAAACATGAAGTAAGAGCAGCCAGGCTCTATGGGAAGGTTAGAGGGCTCTCCTAGGAGGAAAGCATATGAACTTTCATGTTCTAGCTTTGTAACATTTTGTCAACTGTCCATAAACATTTCTTGTTCACTTCTCAGATGTTTGCTGTTTGAAATGGATGGACTAGTGATGTAAGAATGTGGGAAAGGAAATTCTATTATAATATCATAATGCTGAAATATCTGGAAGAACTAGGGGTCATTCTTTAGGAAGATTTAAAAAGATGTCCAAAATCTATTTTAAGAACTTAGTCTTGCACCCCTATGTTCACTGCAGTGCAATTTACAATAGCCAAGACCTGGAAGCAGCCCAAGCATAATCAGTAGATGAGTGGATAAAAAAGCTGTGGTACTTTTACATATGAAATACTACTCAGCTGTATAAAAGAGTGAAATCTTACGCTTTGCGACACCATGGATGGATCTGGAGAGTATATAAGCAAGTGAAATAAACAAGTTGGAGAAAGACAAATATCACATGATTTCACTTATATGTGGAATCTAATGATCAAAATAAAATATCAAACAAAATAGAAACAGATTAGATACTAAACAGACTGACAGCTATCAGAGGGAAGGGAGGTTGTGGGGCTAAAAAAGGTAAAAGGATTAAGAAAAAAAAAATCTCATAGACGCAGACAACAAGGGGAAGAAGGGGTAGGGGAGGTAGAAAAGGGTAAAGGGAAGGTAAATAGTGATGGAAGGAGACTTGACTTGGGGTAATGAACACACAGTACAACATACAGATGATATATTATAGAACTGTACACCTAAAACCTATACAATTTTATTAATGTCACCAAAAAAAAGTAAATAAAAAATTAAAAAAAAAAACTTAGACGAATTTTATACAAATAATCTAAAAACTGGTTTTACCTCGTTCTTTCACAATGTTTCCATTGTAGAACTGATCTCTCCATACTTCATCATCACTTACAACTAGACTGGAACATAAGATAATCAAATAATTAAAGTTACACTTTAATTACAAGCAAGCTATCAAGAAGCACCTAAAGCCCTAGCTGGTTTTTCTCAATGGCTAAAGACTGAAGGGCAGCGGGTTCTATTGTGGACAAGGGCACATACCTCGGTTGCAAGTTCAATGGCTCCATACCCAGCCCTGATCAGGGTGCATGTGGGAGGCAACTAGTCGATGTCTCTCTCTCACATCTATGTTTCTCTATCTCTGTCTCTCCCCCTCCCTTCCACTCTCTCTAAAAATAAATGGATACTGGCACAATAACAGGCAGATAAATCAATGGAACAGAACAGAGAATCCAGAAATTTACTCAAGCCACTATGCTCAATTAATATTTGACAAAGGAAACAAGAGCACACAATGGAGTCAAGACAGTCTCTTCAATACATGGTGTTGGGAAAACTGGACAGATATCTGCAAAAAAATGAAAATAGACCACCAACTTATACCATACACAGGAATAAACTCAAAATGGATAAAATACTTAAATGCAAGACGTGAAACCATAAAAGTCCTAGAAGAAACTATAAGCACCAAAATCTCATAGCAATATGTTTACTATTATAATACACATCCTAAGACAATGGAAACTACGGAGAAAATAAACAAATGGAACTACATTAAAATAAAAAGCTTCTGCACTGCATAAGGAACCATCAACAACATAACAAGAAAGCCCACTATATGGGAGAATATATTTGCCAATGATACATCCAAAAAAGGAAACTCATACAAATTAACAAAAGGAAGACAAACAATCCAATTTTAAAATGAGCAAAAGACCTAAAAAGACACTTTTTGAAAATGGACATACATATGGCACAGAGGCCTATGAAAACATGCTCCACGTCACTAATCATCCGAGAGATGCAAATCAAAACGACAATGAGCTATCACCTCTCACCGGTCAGAATGGCTATCATCAACAAATCAATAAACTACAAATGTTGGTGATATTGTGAAGAAAAGGGAACCCTAGAACAATGCTGGGAATGTAGACTGGTGCAACCATTATATAAAACAGAATAGAGTTTCCTCAAAAAATTAAAAACGGAACTCCCATTTGACCCAGTAATCCCCTTTCTAGGAATACACCCTAGGAAACCCAAAACACTCATCAGAAAGAATACCTGCATCCCTAGGTTCATAGCAGTGCAATTTACAATAGCTAAGATTTGGAAATAGCCTAAGTGTCCATCAGCAGATGAGTGGATTATAAAAAGCTGTGGTACGCCTTAGCTGGCTCAGTGGCTAGAACGTCACACTGTAGACTGAAAGGCCCTGGGTTTGATTCCGGTCAAGGATACATACCCGGGTTGTGGGCTTGATTCCGAGTAGGGGGCATGCAGGAGGCAGCCAATCAATGATTCTCTCTCATCATTGATGTTTCTATCTCTCTCTCCCTCTCCCTTCCTCTCTGAAATCAATAAAAAATATATGTATTTTTTTCTTAAAACCTGTGGTACATTTAACCATGGAATAGTACTCATCAATAAAAAAGAAAGAACCCTTTGAGACAGCATGAAGGGACCTGGAGAGCATTATGCTAAGCAAATAAGCCAGTCGGAGAAAGGTAAGTATCACATGATCTCACTCATATGTTGTCTCTAATAAATCAAATAAACTGATGATCAAAAATAGCCCCAGAGACAGAGAAGCATGAACAGACTGTTGAACTTTAGAGGGAAGGAAGGGGAGGGTGAGTGGGAAGAGATAAACCAATGAACTTGTATGCATATATGCATAACAGGGGTCACAGACAAGGGGATAGTGAGGGGTTGGGGAAGAAGAAGTTGGGATGGGAACGGGCTGGAAGAGATTAATGGGGCAATAAGGAGGACCTATGTAATATCTTCAACAATAAAGATTTTAAATATAAATAAAATACGTAAGTTGAAAAAAATCAATGGGAAAAAAAAATATCCTGGAGTGAGGATTAACAGCAAACAAACACCTAAAACTGCCCTGGCTGGTGTGCCTCAGCCTACACACCAAAGGGTCTAGGGTTTGATTTTGAGTCAAGGGAATGTACCTGGATTCCAGGTTTGATCCCCACCCCATCAGGGCACACTCACATTGATGTTTCTTTGTTTTTCTCTCTTTCTCTTCCCTCCCTCCTTCCTTTCCCCTCTCTCTAAAAATCAATGGGGAAAATATCCTTGGGTGAGGATTAATAAAAAAAACACCACCACCTAAAACTACAAGAAACTATAAGCAGAAACTTATCTGCTCAATTTATTAAGATCTTTCTGGAGATAAAATGATCCAGTCCTGAAAGTTAGCTTCAGAGAAAGAGGAGTTACCTTGCAGCTCTGCTGGTTGGAATTCCAAGATAGTACATAGCCTCACTACACAAAAACTCTCTCACTGAGGAACGCAGTACAGCTCTGCCATCACCATTTCTACAGGGAATAGATTAAAAGATTTTCAGTGATAAAGACAACATCAGTTTTAATTTAGATAAGTAAACACACACACACAAAACAAAACAAAACAAAACAAAAACTGTACCGGGAGTATGGGGTCTTTCCTGAGCCTTTTAATTGAAGTTCCCACTTTTCACCCAGCCTTCAAAAAATATATAAGTATTAGAAAATTCATGTAAATATTTAACAGAAAAGCTATTCAAGAAAATATGTGGTACCTGTTCATGTAAATTCCAATAAGATGGGCTCTTCCATCCCCAAGCTGATCTGCCCATATTCCAAACTAAAAGGGAAATAGGAAAATCAGTTATGTTTATTAATCCCTTTTAGTTTTTATAGTAATTTTATAGCCAAGGTTATTTCATCAAAATTGAGAATGAGCTCTCGGACTGACATCTTGTGAGGCAGCAGTGGTGCCCTGCTCTCCGAGTCTCCCAAGGACAACAAGAAGAAAGATACTGGAAAATCAGCCAAGAGAGTCCAAAGACCATGTGAAGAAGTTGAGAGGCAAGGCCAACTAGAAGAGGTGGTCCAAAGGCAAAGTTTGGGACAAGCTCAATAACCTGGTCTTGTGTGACAAAGCACATATGACAAACTCGGTAAGGAAGTCCCCAACGACAAGCGTATTATCCCAGCTGAGGTCTCGGAGAGACGGAAGATTCACGGTTCTTTGACCAGGGCAGCCCTTCAGGAGTTCCTTAGTAAAGGACTTATTATATTAAACTAGCCTCAAAACACGAAGCTCAAGCAATTACACCAGAAACTCCAGAGGTGGGGATGCCCCCACTGCTGGAAAAGTTACATGAGCAATAGGTCTGACAGTTCATTTTGAAAAGTAAAACTTTATTAAATAAAAAAATTTTCTGAGAATGATGTATTGTATTTTGGAGATTACAATAGTCAACAACTCTAATAAAAGTGAAACTAAAATTCAATCAATAAAACAAATGAAATTTATTTTTAAAATATAAATTTAAGACATATAATCAATTTTTTTTCATCTTATAGCTGAGTTTAAATTTGTTAGGTACAGAAAACTTAGAACTGATCTATTTAATTCCATAATACGAATGAGGAACAATTTCTTAGTAGAAAAATTTCCTATACTGTACATTTGCAATATAAAATAAGGAACACACTTGTACCTGAAAAATTGTTTTTGAACTTGCATGATAAGTTATTTCCAAACTCCTAGCTATGCCACAACTGACTGTGGAATTTGAGTTACTTAATCTCACTGGGACTAACCTTTCATTTCTTTAAAATGGGATAACCCTCATTGTAAGAATTATCATTAATACAGGGATGGGCAAAAGTATGTTTACAATTGTTTGTATGGAAAATAATACAACAATTAAATAATAATACAAGAATAAACTCTATGGAGGAGGGCAAAAGGGGAGAAATACTTTAATCAATAAAGAAAATTTAAAGTAAAAACAAAACAAAAAAAGAATAAACTCTGTTTCACATACAATTGTAAACTTTTACCTATTCCTGTATGTGCAAATGCTATGTACTATGTCCAACATTCTCAAGTGTTCAAAAAATGTTAATTATTATTATTGCCAACAATTTTTGCTAATTCAGATGTCACTCCATTCTCCACATAGAAGTTACTTCCACCAGAAAACTTTTTCTAAATTTCTGGGACTAGGAGGGAGGTCCTATAAATTGCCATAACTCCTATACTTACCTATATCACAACTTAATGTTATTGGAATTTGTTTAGTTCTATCCCTTCCCCCCAAATATTAGCGATTTGAGCAAAGAGAACAGGTTTTATTCAGCATCATAGCTACTGGCATTTAAAAGAAGTTATATAAACAGCTGTGGAATATTTAAACAATATTTACAGTTCTGGAAGAGAAATATGAAATTGAGAAGAAAAAAGGTGTTCAATAATTTAATTTTTATCTTCACTAGGAATGGGCCACCATTTATCAATTTTAGCTGTGGAATATGTCTATAAACACAAGTCTGAGAGGTGCTGTTAGCATATTCTGGAAAGTTCTAACATTGCCAATATGTTAGATATATCCCACACCACGAAAGGTAAGCAGAAAGAATGGTGAACCCAAAGCTGGGAATGAAATCAGGAAACAGGAATTATTAATAAAAGAGAAAGCACTGCCCTGGCTGACATAGTTCAGTGGGTTGGACACCATTACATGCACAGAAAAGTTTCTGGGTTCGATTCCAGATCAGGGAACGTGCAAGGATTTCGGCTTGATCCCCAGTGGGAGGCATGTAGGAGGCAGCTGGCTGATGTTTCATTCTCATATTGATGTCTCTCTCTCTCTCTCTCTCTCTCTCTCTCTCCCTCCCTCCCTCCCTCCCTCTTTCTCTCTCTCTCTCAAAATCAATAAAAAAAAATTTTTTTTAAAAAGAGAGAAAGCATTTACTGGACTTTAAGTTCAAAATGGCAAAACCATACTTAAAAATAAATATTTATAATTTCAAATCAGGGAGGAGTAGCAAGAGGAGAAATATGAAATTGATAAAAGTATAATCTAATTTACAACCCCCAAAAAGTACAAAAAAAGTATAGCTTAACAACACTCTGCAGGGCTTAAGGTTTGTATTTGTACTTTAATAGCACATGTGAGTACTGATATAAATGCTGATAAATTTACGCTATATGGAAATGACTTCCAACCATGGAAAAAACTGTAAGGATCATCTAGTCCAGAAGATTCTACAGTGAGAAACATAGTTCAGCAAAATGTTGATAGATATCTCTTAAAAACAAAGCAATCACAGACTCCTGCAGTCAAATATGTTTGGAAAAGGGTGGATCAAATAAAATTAAGCAGATTTCTTTCCCATGGCACTTCTCACAACTGCTGCGATGATCCTGGTCAACCCTGGCACATTACTGATCAGGACACTGAGGTTCATGTTTGTTCTAGATGACCCATTGCGTCCTTTTCAATTCTAACGGTCATGCCACTTTGCTTCTTAGCTTCTCTGTTAATTTTGCTTCTTAAGTAGAAAACATGGAAGCAATAAAAATCTGAAAGGAATTAACTACAACAAACAGAGCTTGATACTAATTATAAAAATAGCTATCATGAATGCCCTTTTCATATATCTCCTAACTTAATCCTTACTGCAATCCTATTATACTTTGCTATTTGTCCTAAAAAGTATTCCTGAGTAAACCAGCCACACACACACACACACACACACACACACACACACACACAAAAAAGTGTTAAGTTAATCTTCTCGAGCTTAAAGGAAAGTCACAGCAATTTCAACAATTGGTTCTGTGTTCTTTCTCTTTTCTTTTTTTAATGTGTTTTTATTGAATTCAGAGAGAGAAAGGAAGAGGGAGACAGGGATAGAAACATCAATAAGAGAGAATCATTGATCAGCTGTCTTCTGCATGCCCTTCACTGGGGATCGAGCCTGCAACCTGGGCATATGCCTTGACAGAGAATGGAACTGTGACCTCCGAGTTCTTGGGTTGACTTTCAACCACCAAGCCACACTGGCTGAGCTTCTTCTTCTTTTAAAAAAAAGATTACTAGAGACCATACCTGAACTTGGTTCAACAATTTGCTTCATTTCTAGAAGGTACTTTCTTAATTGCTTCTGCATCTATAATATCTACAATTAACCCTGATATCATTTCTAGCAGTTCTAAAACTTTGCTCTACAGCTATCTCAGCAAAATTAAAATATATTTGTTTTTTTTGTTTGTTTGTTTGTTTTTTAAATATATTTTATTGATTTTATATAGAGAGGAAGGGAGAGAGATAGAGAGTTAGAAACATCGATGAGAGAGAGTCATCAATCAGCTGCCTCTTGCACACCCCCTACTGGGGATATGCCCGCAACCAAGGTACATGCCCTTGACAGGAATCGAACCCGGGACCCTTCAGTCCCCAAGCCGACGCTCTATCCATTGAGCCAAACCGGTCCCGGCAAAATTAAAATATATTTGTCCTTCTGAAGCTATTTTACTGACATACTGTGCTACCTGACTTTGCCTGAATCTCTTGCCACAGCTTCACTGAATGAGTCCTGTAGCAATAACTCACAAAATTCTATATTTGTGCTGGCCCAGTTTTCTCAATTTCATTAAAGAAATTTAGGCTCTAGTTTTATCACAGTAAGAAATCACATCAGCTAATCTATAAACATTTTATGATGACAATTCTTTTAGAAACATTTTGTTAATATGCTATTATTGGAGAACTTAATGCAAAATAACTTCTTTAAAAATACATTTCCACCAACTGTTTATGTTTGCACAAGGGAAGCAATGCATCTGATGCTACTCTTACCTGATGGCCACCATATCTATGAGCCAATGGAATGGATCCAAATACTATCTTTTTGCCACTTACAAGCTGGATAAAATCATCTGTTTCTGAGACGGATAAATCAAGGTCCAAAATGTCTTCTAGAACTTCCTAAGAGATGGAAAAAAAAAAAAAAAAAAAAAAAAAACTCCTTACCAACTTAAGTAATCCTTTACTAATTTTTAAGAAAAGAGACTTAAGGGAAGAAAGAAAATTAAAAGACTAGACCTCTTCCAAAAATACAGTAATATTTTTTCACAAGAGATGTACTATATGTTCTGATTATTTATTTGAGAAAATTTGTTCCATTATAGTTCTACAAGTTTTATACATTTCTTATGACATTGTTAAATAACATTTTTCCTAGCATATATTTTTTAAAGAAACTAGAAAAAAGTAAATGTCATTTATATCATGAGAAAACAATTAAGAATTTGTTATTAAAACCCATTTCTAAGAACTTAACTCATTTAACTGTACCTTGTAAGATAATTTGAAGATGAACCTGAGTATTAGGCTCTAGGAATAAGTATCAAAAACTGGTTTCTAAGAATGACATTCTCCAAGTGTCTGAATTTTAAACACAAAGACTAACAATTTAACTCTGAAAAAATAGTAATATCTTTTTAGACAAAAGTTGTTGTGAGTTAAGTATTTGTGTTGTGAAAAAATAAAACCTAACCTTTGAAACTGCCACAAGATGTACTCTTGATTTAAAAGGAGTAGGGAAAGCAATTGAAAAAACGCAGTTTTTCACTTTACGAACATAGTTTTCTTTAACAGGATCAACTGGCAACACAGCTGATAAAACAAAACAAAACAAAACAAAATCTTCTTAATGTTCTCATTTGTTGCATTTATATCATTAATATTCCTTAAAAAGGCTATGGTCTTCAAGAAAATCAACTTAAAACAGTTTTCTTTATACTTTATTACTTAAAGGTTCTTTTATAATTTTCAACTATTATCTAGCCAAAATTCATCCTAATAAAAGAGTAATATGCAAATTTACCATACCCCTGCTACATACCAAGCCATGCCCGCTAGCCACGCCCACCAGCCAATCAGAGTGAGTATGCAATAAACCCAATCAAGATGGCTACAGCCACAGAGAGAAGGATGGAGGCTTGGATTTCCCAGGCAATGGAGGAAGCCAAGCTTTTCGCCTGCCTTGCGGCCTAAGCCTCCACTCAAGGCTACAAAGTTTCAATTATAGAAGGTAAACAAGTCCAAACAGAAATGACGGCAGCTACAGAGCTGGAAAGAACAGGTGGCAAGAGTTGCCCCCAGCAATGGAAGAAGCAAAGCTTTCTGAACACCCTGGCCAGCCCAGGCCTCTGCTTAAGGCTACAAAGTTTCAACTATAAATGATACATAAATTACAACAGAAATGGCTGCTGGCCAGGAGGGAGCAGGAGGCTTGGCTCCCCTCCAGGCTACAAAGTTTCAATTGTAGAAGGTAAATAAATTCAAGATACCAGGGCCTCCGCTTGGATTTCCAGGGGGCGTGGCTGGCCTGCAAACCACCACAGGCCCCTTGCCCAGGCCACCCCACTCCCCAAGGCAACTCCCACCCTGATCCGGGACACCCTTCAGGGCAAACCAGCTGGCCCCCACCCATGCACCAGGCCTCTATCCTGTCTAATAAAAGAGTAATATGCAGCTTGACCATCACTCCAACACACAAGATGGCTGTCCTCATGTGGTCAAAGATCCTGCCCCCATGTGGACACAAGTTGGCCACCACAAGATGGCCAGCAGGGGAGGGCAGTTGGGAGGCACCAGGCCTGCAAGGGTGGGCAGTTGGAGGCAATCAGGCCTCCAGGGGAGGGCAGTTAGGGGTGACCAGGCCTGCAGAGGAGGGAAGTTGGGGGCAAACAGGCTGGCAGGGGAGCAGTTAGACATCAATCAGGCTGGCAGAGAAGTGGTTAGGGGTGATCAGGCTGGCAGGCAGAAGCGGTTAGGGGCAATCAGGAAGGCAGGCAGGCGAGCAGTTGGGAGCCAGCAGTCCTGATTGTGAGAGGGATGTCCAACTGCCCATTTAGGCCCGATCCCACATGGACAGTCGGACACCCCTCTAGGGGTCCCAGATTGGAGAAGGCTGGGCTAAAGGACACTCCCTCCCCCCCATGCACGAATTTTGTGCACCAGGCCTCTAATATAGTATAATAGTATGTGGAACTGTCCAAAAAGATAGGAGATGAAAAAAAGTTTAAAACAAGACATATACTTGTCCTCAAAGATTTTCACTCATAGTAAACCAATAGGATGTACAATATTTAAAAATAAAAAATATATAAATAAAATGGAGGTAAGATGCATTACAGTATTAGAATATAATATTAAACAATTCACTGACATCCAATAAAAACATATTAGGCATTTAATCACATTCTTTCTGCCTTTCAGAGAAATCATAATTAAAGTATGTGGATACTTTACTAAAGGTATAAAACCACTTCCAATTCCACCAGAAAATTCAAAACTCTTGATAGCATGCCTATTTGCAAGGCTGGAAGTTTAAATTGCCTCTGAGATAAAGTATGTTTCATAGAGTCCAGGCACTAAAGCACATATATGTTATTTAAAAAAACTTCAGAGGAGAGAGCTTTGCACAGGCTTTAGATCTACTGAACATACTTTTAAGTAAAACTCTTAAAAATCTTAACTATAAATCTTAATTCTAATATTTTCCTAATCAAAAACAATTTAAAAAAAAAAATAAAGGTAGGTGTATTACTAAAACTACAAGACAAAGGGACACAAAAGCCTATGTCACTGATTAGAAATTATGTTGTCAAGATGTCAATGTCATAAATTATTTAATAATCCTGGGCTGTGTTGCTAAGTGGTTAGTGTCAGCCCGAGTACCAAAGGGTCTTAGGTTCAATTCCTGGTCAAGGGCACATACCTGGTTTACAGGTTGGATTCCAGCCCTAGTCAAGGCACTTTGGGGAAGTAACCAATTGATATGTCTCTCTGATTGAAGTCTTTCTCTCCTTCCCTCTCTTCCACTTTCTCTAAAAATCAATGGGAAAACTTAACAGTATATTTTCTTCTCTTTTAGGAAAGCCTCTGTGTGGAAATAGGTTGTTAAATAACATTTTAGTAGAGCATTGGCAGTATATAATTTCCATTAGTACTTACGATTTTGTACTGATTCACGCTTTGGCAAGGTAGCTGATGATTGACTACCTAGTGATCATTGGCCATGGAACAAAAAAGGTGAAATGCTTCAGCAGACCCAACCCTCACACTTGTTACAGTTTAACCAACTAATCAGTGATAGACTAAAAATACCAGCAAAAATTCCAATGTTAACCTTTATTTTTTTAACATTTCAGAGAAATCAGTAATTCCAAAATTCTTTAGAATTCAATTTTTCCTAAAAATATGAAATCCCTTAAAGCTGCTAACCTTTATGTGCAACTGTTTGAAGTCTCTTCTCTCAATAAATGTTCTTCCAACAGTTACCTTGATAATTAGTTGATCATTTGCTATATCCTCAGGATGATATGCTTTTATTCAGTACTATGAATCAAGAAATGGTTAGTAAGTATATAATATTACTAGAGGCCCAGTGCATAAAATTCATGCACTAAGTGGTGGGCGGGGGGCATCCCTCAGCCCAGCCTGCACCTTCTCCAATTGATGTATCTCTTTCTCTCCTTCCCTCCCTTCCACTCTCTCTAAATATCAATGGGAAAACTCAATAGTATATTCCCTCAAGGGATGTCCAACAGCCAGTTTAGGCCCTATCCTGATGGAATCAGGCCTAAACGGGAAGTCAGACATCCCTCTCACAAACCAGTACTGCTTACCGGTTCTCCCAACAACCCATCTGCCTGCCTGCCTGGTTGCCCCTAACACTCCGCTGTTGGCATGATCTATTCCCCTGCCAGCCTTATTGCCCCTAACTGCCCACCCCTGCTGGCTTGGTTGCCCTTAATTGTCCTCCCTTGCAGGCCTGGTCACCCCCAACTATCCTCCCCTAAAGGACTAAACCCCCCCCCAACTGCCCTCCCCTGCTGGCCATCTTTGACCACATGGGCGTGGCCATCTTGTGTATTGGAGTGATGGTCAATTTACATGTTACCTCTTTCTTATACAGGATGTATTTAATCTATAAAACCTGGCCCTACCATAATGTTTTGAACAGTATCATCATCACAGAAAGAAAATGTCTCAATGTGTAGCCAAGTCCCCAACATAGAAATAACTTTGAAAATGCTTTCAATTATACTGATTCCATTTTTATTAGTCAATATTGGCTGTTTCGTTTGTATAACTGCAGTCAAAAAGGTCATTTTGAGCTTATGCAAAGGGGAGTTGTTTGGCAGTTACAGCTCAGACTATGTTTTTAATTTCCTAGACTGATACTTGGCACAATTGGGTCAAAAGATTTGTTGGTATTTTATATGTCCTTTTGGTGGGTTATTTTTTTCTTTTATTGGTTGGTTATTGTTCATCAGTTTAGTTATACTATGGTGTTAAAGCCTTCATGAATTTTATCTGCCCTCCCTAGTTACCTTTGTCATATTACATCTTTTTAAGGACAAGGTATTTTGTTTTAATCTGGGAAAAAATCATTTCTAAATAATGTTGTGCTATATCAGTCAAGTATGTGAGCTTATGCAAGACACTCGATTTCTCTACCTCAGTTTCCTGTAAAAAAGGGCAAATGATGGTATCCTATCTAATAAAAAGGGAATGTGCTAACTGACCATCATGCCCTCACAAAGATGGTGGTGCCCACAGCCAATGAGGGAATATGCTAATTGACTGCCATGCCCTCAAAGATGGCAGCACCCACAGTCACAAAATGGTGGCATCCAGTCCCCTCAGCCCCGCCGGTGTGGCAGGCGCAGGGCGAGGCCAGACCCGCTCCCAGGCAGGTCTGCTGCTCCACGCACCTGCCTCCAGAGCCCCACAGTCCCTTCAGCCCCCCAGCCACCTAGTGCCAGCCCAAGGCACAGGCAAGCCTCGGATGACAGCTGCTCAGCCGCCCAGGGGTGCCCGAGGCTCAGGTAACCAGGGCCGGCCGAGACTTCAGCTGCTGGCAGTGGCAGTAGCAGAGATGTGATGGGGGAGCATCGCCTTCCCTGATCGCAGGATCACCTCCCGCCCGAGAGAGTATGTACTGTGAGAGGGTCAGGCCAGGCTGAGGGACCTCCCCTCCAGTACAAGAATTTTCATGCACCAGGCCTCTAGTCTAAATAATAAAACTGTTGCAAGTACAAATATGTATAACTATACTTACTGTGGCAAATTCTACCTTTTGGATATTTAATATATAAAGCTTTATGAAGATACTAGTAAACCACAGGTGTGTATTAGCAACCTTCATTTGTAAAGCACCTGAGACTTTTTCTAAAAATAATATTCTTCGCGATTGGGGGAGAAGGGCTCATAAAATTGGATTGAGAAATTTCTTTACTCTATAATTTTATTCAGTAAAAAATACATTACAAGATAAATAAGTGCTCAGCTACAGAGATACTTACCCTGTGATGAAAAAAAACCTGGTTCAGAAGAACAAGAAAAAATATCAGAGAATTGCAGTTGCCTCTTGAGTCCTGACTGGTCTTTTTCACAAAGTGAATTTTTTGAGGACAGACTGTTTCTTCCCTAAACCTTACACTTTCTCTCATTGTCTCTATGTGTTTGTATGCATGTGTTGAATGATTAATTCTATCTTGAATTTATGTTATAAATACACTCTCTCATGACCACGAGAAAAGAGCTGGCAATGGAATTGGAAAGGTCTTTCTAACCCAGCGATTTTCAACCTTTTTCATCTCATAGCAAACTTAAACTAATACCCCCCATATATATATATATATATATATATATATATATATATATATATATATATATGGGGGTATTTCCAGTCTGACAAAAAATAAGACATAATTTTGATTTGGCTATTAGCTTGGTTGTTGCCATTTTTTTTTATTATATTTGACAATCTAAGGGAAAATAGATCAGTGCTTCTGTTAACGTGAAAAAACATTGAAACCTGTAAATAATTTCTGTGAGTTTATTTGAGCCAAACTGTCAACATATGTTGGAAAGCCAAACTGTCAACATATGTCAGCGAATTGAGATAATGCTCCAGAGAATGGCGGGTTACATTTGTATTTATATATTGCCATCAAAGGAGGGACATAGGTGGGTTGCATTAAATTCATTGGTGATAGATTAAGGAGGTGGGATGAAGCAAAGGGTGGGGGGAACATCTGGGATTGGATAAACAGTGAAATGAGGGACACATACTTAGGTGGGTGCAGGAACAATTAACATGACAATAAAGGAATTTGTGGTATCTGTCCTGGTGCCTACTACATTTGGTTGTGCCCCAGGGGCTCCAGAAAAAGGAAAGTTACAAGTTATCCACACATTTCAAGGGTATGTGATCATAGATGCAAAAAGACAGATAGGCTCAGTTAAGGTAAAGGTTGACCTTGTCAGTGAAGATAGCGGCCTAGGATGTAACTGCCCATCATAACAGCTTTTAGTTAAAGTTTAATTTCAGACATCCTTTGTGGTGACTTTAGGTCTCTGAGTTTGCAAGACTGCCATGCAGGCCTCCCCTGAACTTGTCAGGTCAGCATGTGGCCCTTTTCATCCACACTTCTGACTAGTCAGGAATTGCATGTTTTAAAAATCCTTGCAGCACACCAGATGAAAATCACTATTCTAACCCATATCGGGTACTAATCTAGTACATTCTCCAGTATCCCCAGAGCTGGCTACAAGCAGGTTCAACATTACTATAATGGATATTAAACAATCTCCAACAGCTCAGTGCACCCACAAAGAGCGCTCATACATCCAGACGTGAACAAGACGGCTCAACTAAGCCACCACATACCTATGAGGTTTTCAGAGGAGAGAGTCCAAAAGTCTAGAGACGAAGCTAATCTAGCTTCTGTTTCACAATAGCCCTGCTCCCGGTTTGACTTGTTACTGAAATGAAGCAAAAGCCTGGCGTTTCCTTCAAGGCCAGGTTGTAATAAGGTGCCGATGGCAACGGCGAGGCAGGTCACCCACACAAGCAGCAGCCGCGGAATCCGTAGCCTCCGGCTGGAGCAGCAAAACGGGAGCGGGCTTGGAGCCATGCTTCAGCCTGAACATGCAGAGAAGTTAGTGACTGGAGGGCGGGCGCACGGTGGCATTTCTGCTAACAGCCGGTCACCCCAAGGAACTGTTTGCTCTGTTGGAGCTACCGACTCCCCGTGAACCCCAGGGAGCGTCCGGGAAAGACGGCTGGCCAGGGAGAGGGTCACGACTAGTTCCTCCCGGACCCTCGGCCGTCTGGGGGGGCGAAGGGGCCCAGCCGCCGCGCACCCCTTCTCCTGTGGCCTCCCCCAAGGCCCAGCGGTCCCGGCGGGAAGGCGCCCAAGGCCGCGCGGCCGCCGCTAGGGTGCGCTGGCGGCCCCGCCGGGTGGGGCAGGGCCGGGCCGGGCCGGGCCGGGCAGGGAGGGGGAGAGCGGGGAGGGCGAGAGAAGGGGCTGAAGCTCTTCCTGTGCCGGGCTTCCGGCTCCGGGTCCCGGAGGAGGACCCTCGGGCCGAGGGCGGAGCCGCCGCCCGCCGCGACTTTCAGACTCGAACCATGGCCTCGAGCTGGTGGCGGTGGCGGCACGGCTGCTCCTGGAGGCCGGCGGCGCGGACCCCCGCGCCCGGAGCGCCTGGCCGCCAGGGCCCTCCCGCGCCGCCCCCCGCCGCCGCCGCCGCCGCCCGCGCGCAGGTGAGCCGGGGGCGCGCCGGGAGGGGGCGCAGAGGTCACGGCGCAATGACAGCCGCGGAATGAATGGGCGCGGCGGCACGTGCGCCTGCGGGCTGCGCGGGGAGGCCCGGCCCGGGGCGCCTGGCCGGGCCGGGCCGGGCCGGGCCGCCGGGTGGGACGCGGAGGGGGCTCCCAGCGTCTGTCTGCCCAAAGTAGGGGCGCGCCGGGCCGAATTACAGAGCGATTCCCGGAGACGGGGAGGACTCGCGGATTGGGGAGGGAGCAGTGAGGAGCCAGGGGAAAGGCCGGAGGAGGGGTCATACAGTCAGTCCCCTAACGTGCGGTCTGAGTCCAGGCTGGAGATGGCCCGCAGCTGTTTCCTTTTGTGTTACACAGCCGTGGATCCGGGAGAGCAGATCTTCACCGGGGTGTTAGAGCACAAGGCACTCTGAACCCTCTGAATCCGGAGGAGGGTCCAAGTGGCCTCGCTAGGCCTAAAAGGTCTTGTGGAGGAAATAGGTCTGATCCGAGGGTGGACAGGTTTTCAGCCGAACTTGGACCGGGTGCAAAGAGAAAAGCCCTGAGGATGTCAAGTAGAGAAACCTTGGGGTCATCTTTAATTTGACCTATGACTTCTTGAGGTAGAGTCACAATCTCGGCACTAACCATGGTTTTGACTCTTCCCTATTGCCTGTAGACCCAGACTCTTTTTTCTCCCTTTTCAGGCAGTGTAGCTCTTGTAATATGACACGTTTCAATGGCTCTGAGTCCTTTCTGCACTTTTTAGTGATTGATTTTCAACCTGCCATAGGCCCGTGCTATTGAGCATAACTGCCCAGAATCTATGGGCTCACTCCTTTTTACAGGCTCTCTAGTCACATAGTAGTTGTATGTGTTCACCTCTCATTCCTCGAGGGTTTTTTGTGTGTGTGTGTGTGTGTGTGTGTGTGTGTGTGTGTAGGATTCTTCTGTTTCAGTCCGATTTGGTACATTTCATATTCCCATGTACCCATCAAACTCAGTTTACCAATATGAAATAGTGCCAAAGTGGGTACATATCATGTCTTATGCATTTGGCGAGAGAATGGCAGCTGGGCCAGTAGATATCTATACTAATAAAAGGGTAATATGCTAATTAGACTGGATGTCTTTCAGATGTCCTTTCAGACAAAGCCATGGTGATGGGGCCAAGGCAGAGGTGGTTAGAGGCAATCAGGCAGGCAGGGGCAAGCAGTTAGGGTGATAAGGCCAGCAGGGGAGAGCAGTTAGGGGGATCAGAACTGCAGACAGGTGAGCAGTTATGAGCCAGCCATCCGGATTGCAAGAGCGATTAGGCCTGTGGGATAGGGCCTAAACCAGCAGTCAGACATCCCCTGAGGGATCCCTGATTGGAGAGGGTGTGGGTCGGGCTGAAAACTCCACCCCCTACCCTCACCCCCCCACTCCCACCTGTGCACAGTTTGCGCACCAGGCCTCTAGTCCATAATAAAGGGAGAATATGGGAAAAGAGCCTTAGGACTTGCTGGCATCCATTTTGTGCTGTCCTGGCCAGGTTACAGATGATTCCGGTACCACAAATGAGGACATCATTTGGAAAGATGGATACACCTATCTATGCCACTGGATAAGATACTTGTTTTCTTTGATGCTCCCTTTTTTTTTTAATTCCTCCCCTTCCCAGCAACTTTCATAGCAATGGAAAGGGTGCTTTCCTGGAGAGGATATGTCTTAGTGATCACAAGGAGGGACTTCCCTGAGAATGCCAATGCCCTGTATTCCTGACTTGTGTGTCCGTGGTCTATTTCACTGTTAATTAATACATTAGCTTTTGGTATCTGCCTCAAGCTTTTGTTTGGTAAGTTCAAGTCTCTTAGGGCCTGATAGTCCTTGGGGACAAAGAGCAACAATAATAAAGCCACCTCCAGCTCTCCACAGCTCTGCTACTTCCTGGTGTCTGTACGTTCTCCCGATCTCTCCATTGGTAATGTGAACAAGTCTTATAATCAGGTAAAACCAGTGTGCATTGGATCAAGCCAAATCACTTGTTAATATGTCTTTGATTCTTACTCAGCTTTTTCTCTTTTCTAAAAAGCTAAGTTTTGCTTTAACCGTTTTTGGCTCAGTGGATAGAGCCTCGTCGGTCTGCGGACTGAAGGGTCCCAGGTTCGATTCTGGTCAAGGGCATGTACATTGGTGGTACATCCCCAGTAGGGGGTGTGCAGGAAGCAGCTGATCCATGTTTCTCTCTCATGGATGTTTCTAACTCTCTATTCCTCTCCTGTCCTCTCTGTAAAAAAGTCAATAAAATACAAAGTAAGTTTATAGAGTTTATAGAAGGCAAGATTGACTTTCAGGGAGAGTATGTGATGGAATGAGGGGACAAAACCAGAATTGAACAATTGATTGTTGCTAATGCTAGTATTAGTACACCTAAGTGACAACAGTTCTAGTTTCAGAACTCCCTTTCAATACTTTACAGTAGTCACCCTTATCCATGGTTTTGCATTCCACTTTGTTACCTGTGGTCAACCGTGGTCCAAAAATATTAAACAGAAAATTCCAGAAATAAATAATTCATAAATTTTAAACTGTACTCTATTCTGAGCAGTTGGATGAATTCTCACCCATTCCTGCTTTTTCCTACCCAGATATGAACCATCCCTTTGAGTAGTGTCTCCAGGCTGTATACATTACCTTATCCCTTTGTCACTGAGCAGACCTCTCAGTTATCAGACTGTCACGGTATCAAAATGATTGTGTTCAAGTAACCCTTATTTTACTTAATTATTTCCATATATAAGAGTAGTGATGCTGGCAATTCATATATGCCAAAGGGAAGCTGTAAAGTGCTTCTTTTATGTAAAAAAGTGCACAAAATTTGTGCAAAGTGATGGGGGGTCTCTCAGCCCAACCTGCACCCTCTCCAATCTGAGACCCCTTAGGACAGATTGCTAATGCTGCAACCCTTTAATACAGTTTCTCATGTTGTGGTGACCCCCAATCATAAAATTATTTTCATTGCTACTTCATAACTGTGTTGCTACTTCATTTATTTTATATATATGTATATATCTTATTGATTTTTTACAGAGAGGAAGAGAGAGGGATAGAGAGTCAGAAACATCGATGAGAGAGAATCATCCATCAGCTGCCTCTTGCACACCCCTTACTGGAGATTTGCCCACAACCAACGTACGTACCCTTGACCAGAATCGAACCCGGGACCCTGCAGCCCACAGGCTGACCCTCTATCCACTGAGCCAAACTGGTTTCGGCTGTGTTACTACTTCATAATATCTGCCTCGACCCACAGGTTGCGAACCGCTAGCAGGGTCACCTAAGACCATCGGAAAACACAGATACTTACATTACAATTAATAACAGTAGTAAAATTACAGTTATGAAGTAGCATCGAAAATAATTTTATGGTTGGAGGTCACCACACATGAGGAACTGTATTAAAGGGTCGCGACATTAGGAAGGTTGAGAACCACTGCCTTAGGGGATGTCCAGCTGCCAGTCAGACATGCCTCTTGCAATCCGAGACCGCTGGCTCCTAACCACTCCGCCTGCCTGCCTGCCTGATTGCCCCTAACTGCTCACCTACCGGCCTGATCACCCTAACCTCCTCCGCTTTGGCCCCACACCCGGGACCCAGGATTCCCTCCTCCAGCTCGCCACAGGCACCCAGGACCCGGCTTCCCTTCCTCTAGCCAGTTGCAGGCACCCAGGACTGAGGCCGGCTTTGCCTGGGCCAGCTGCACCTGCAGGGGACCGTGGATGGGCGGCTTCGCCCAGGCCACATCCAGGACCATGGGGCAGGCAGCTTGTCCCTCCCCCAGACCACACGGCTTGTCCCTGTCCCCGGCAGCCACCGCAGGCACTGGCACTCAGGGCAGGCGGCTTGTCCCAGGCTGGCTTTGTCAGGAGGGATGTCCAGAGGTTGTCTGGAAGACGCCTGGTCTAATTAGCATATTATCCTTTTATTAGTTCATACTTATATTAGAGGCCGGTGCATGAATTTGTGCATGGGTGAGGTCCGGCCAGCCTGGCCAGGGGGAGGGGACATGGGTAGTTGGCCAGCCTACCTGCTGGTTGAACTCCTGGCTGAGGGGACAATTGCATATTAGCCTTTATTATATAGGATTTACACTGAGTGGCCATATTATTATACATTCAAAGATTATAATAATCTGGCCACTCTGTGTGTGTGTGTGTGTGTGTGTGTGTGTGTGTGTGTATGTGTGTGTTTTAATGAAAAACATGACATATCTGTGGTTTCCGGAACCACTAGGGGTCTTGGATATATCCCCCGCAGATAAGGAGGGGCTACTGTAATGCTGTTCTGAGTATCTATAATCCTACTTTGGAAACATTGCCCTAAGATAGTCTTAAATAATTCCTAAGTTTTAAACTGTACTCTGTTCTGAAAAAGCTTGATTGAATAGGTGCTATGTTAGATGTATACAGTGCAATACGCTCAGAGCTTTACTCTAAATTTTGAACCAAGATCCATCTTCCAAAGTCCATGCTTTTAACAACTGTCACACTGCCTAGTGGTTAAAGCACTCTGTATTAGCTATGTTATTTTAACTCTTCATCCCAGGTTAAAGGTTAGATCTCATACTGAATAAATATAATAACAAGTATAAATACAAATTCATGCACCTTAAAAGGAGCAGTGGGCACAGAGGCGGGTCTCAGCCCATCCTCCACACCCCTGTTCAGCCCCTCCTGCCACAGCCCCCGGTCCCCTGTCTTCCGACAGCCCCGCTCCCGCCTCTAATCCCACATGTTGACCAGCCGTCAGCAGCGAGTGTGAGTGGCGGCTGCTGCCCCAATCACAGGGGGAGGTAGAAAAGCCCTTACGGGCAATCGGGGCCAAGTGTGGGTGCAGGCACCCAGGAGGACTGCAGCACACAGGAGCAAAGACTTTTTATTAACCACCAAAGGCTCGCCTCAGTGACAGTGCCTGGCACCCCACCTTGGTCTGGTGCCCTCGCTCACCTGCTCAGCTGATACCCACCATGTTATGCGCTCTGCCACCTGCTGCCAATGCCTGCCATGTTCCACATGCGCCCCTGGTAGTCAGCACACAACATAGCAATTGGTTGTTTGGTTGTTCTGCTGTTTGGTCTATTTGCATATTAGGGTTTTATATATAGACTAGAGGCTCTGTGCACGAAATTTGTGCATGGAGGGAGGGTGTCCCTTATCCTAGACTGCATCCTCTCCAATATAGGACCCCTTGAGGGATATCCATATACCTGTGTAGGCCCAATTCTTGTAGGCTCCCAACTGCTCGCCTGCCTGCCTTCCTGATTGCCCATAACCACTTCTGCCTGCCAGTCTGATCACCCCCCTAACCACTCTGCTGCCAGCCTGATTGATGCCTAACTGCTCCCCTGCCAGCCTGTTTGCCCCTAACTGCCCTCCCCTTCATGCCTGGTCACCTCCAACTGCCCTGCCCTGCAGGCCTGGTCACCTCTAACTCCCCTCCCCTGCAGGCCTGGTCCCCCCCAATTGCTCTCCCCTGCAGGCCTGGGTCCCACCCAATTGCCCTTCCCTTCAAGCCTGGTCACCCTCAACTTCCCTCCTCTGCCTGCCTGGTAACCTAATTGCCCTCCCCTGCAGGCTTGATCACCCACAACTGCCCTCCCTTGTAGGCCTGGTTCCTCTCAACTGCCCTCCCCTGCTAGCTAGCTTGTAGTGGCCATCATGTGTCCACATGGAGGCAGAATCTTTGACCACATGGGGGCAGCCATCTTGTGTGTTGGAGTGATGGTCAATCTGCATATTATTCTTTTATTAGATAGGATAGAGGCTGAAACTGGTTTGGCTCAGTGGATAGAGCATCGGCCTGTGGTCTGAAAGGTCCCGGGTTCGATTCCAGTCAAGGCATGTACCTTGGTTGCAGGCACATCCCCAGTAGGGGGTGTGCAGGAGGCAGCTGATTGATGATTCTCTCTCATCAGTGTTTCTAACTCTCTATCCCTCTCTCTTCCTCTCTGTAAAAAAAAAAAATCAATAAAATATATTTAAAAAAGAAAAAAAAGGTAGGATAGAGGCCTGGTGCATGGGTGGGGGCCAGCTGGTTTGCCCTGAAGGGTGTCTCAAATTAGGGTGAGGTTTCCCTTGGGGCGTAGGGTGGCCTGGGCAAGGGGCCTGTGGTCATTTGCAGGCTGGCCACGCCCCTTTGGTGACCCATGTGGAGATCCTGGTATCTGGGAATTATATATCTTCTACAGTTGAAACTTTGTAGCCTGGAGCAGAGCCAAGCTTTCTGCTTGCTTTGTGGCGGCAGCCATTTCTATTGGGATTTATTTATCTTCTATCATTGAAATTTTGTAGCTTTAAGTGGAGGTCTGGGCCGGCCAGGGTGTGTGGAAAGCTAGGCTTCCTCCATTGTCGGGGGCAACCCAACCCTCCCTCCTGCTCTCTCTGTGGCCATAGCCATCTTGGTTGGCTTAATTTGCATACTTGCTCCTGACTGGCTGAAGGGCGTAGCTTGTGGTGTGGTGGAGGTATAGTCAGTTTGCATATTACTCTTTTATTAGATAGTATTAGGTGGATAGCATTGTGGTTTGACAATTATATACTTTACAAAGTGTTCCTCCCCATATTTTCAGAACCCACCTGGCAACATACATAGTTATTACAACAATATTAACTATATTCCCTTTGTTTTATTTTATATCTCCCATTGCTTCTCAGCCTTTTGGCTAAGATCAAATATACTTTACATCCCTGTGATTATTTTGTAACTACCAATTTGTACTTCTCAATCCTTTCACCTTTTTCACCCAGTTCCTCAACACCATGACCCTCTGGCAGCCATCAGTCTATCCTATGAGAGTTTTTATTTATCTAATATAATAAAAAGTTTCTTATGAATATTCTTACAAGTTTCTTCATATTTTTATTTTATAGATATCCTGTTTTTATCTTGTGAAGAGTTTAACATCTGCCTGTCTAAATATGTACAGTATATCACGGTAAGTTTATCATTTGTATTGCAACTACCAAAATTATTAGCCATATTGTCAGTAAAATTCTATTCTAAATTTGTTGGTCTAGTCCAACAAACTGAATTTCTTGTTTGGATAACTGCTATAATATCTGCTTTGTGTGATCTCTTCCTTTAAAAAAATATCCTAATGTATGAAAACCCAGGGTTCATAACGTCCAAAACAACTGAAGGCTGGACTGACCAGATGTCAGTGCTGGGCCAGTGGGTACCGCCACCCAGCACTGACTGCTGAGGGGGCTGCAGACCAGGCCCAAAGAGAGGCCTGGGGGAGATGCAGGGTCTGATCCATAGCCTCCGAGGCTGCTGTTGATCAGCCCTTACCTCTCTCTTTCTCTTGGGACCTGGCCAGCAACCGTGCTTCTCATTCTCTCTGGCCTCCACTGGGGCTGCTGATCAGTTCTGCCTCTCTGATCAAGCCCGTTGATAGGCCTGGGATCACTGACTGGCATAGAAATTGACCAATCAGAACCAAATTTGGGTGAAGTGCAAGGAGCCAATGGCTGCCTAGGTGGCAGAGCATTTGACGCCGAATGGCATAGAAACTGATCAATCATAACCTAATCTGGGTGAATTGCAAAGGCAGAACCTAAGGTGGAGGCTGAGGAGGGGGTTTAAGGGCAACAGCTGTTTGGTGTAAGGTGTAAGAAAGTGGTTCAATTTTTTAATGACCAGTTTGGCAGTATAGTACATATGGCTGGCTATCAGTCCAGATATAGGGATTATGTAGTTTTGCTGCCAAGAGCCTCTTCTCCTGATGAAAAAGGCTTATCACCCCATTTAAGCAATCCTATCCTATAAAACCTATCTATACCACTAAAAGGGTAATATGCTAATTAGACCAGATAAACTGGACATCGATTTCTTCCCAAACAAAGCCATGGTGGTGGGGGCCATGGCAGAGGCCTTTAGGGGTGATCAGGCTGGCAGGGGAGGGCAGTTGGGGGCGAGATCAGGCTGGCAGGGGAGGGCATTTGGGGATGAGATCAGGCTGATGGGGAGGGTCAGTTGCAGGGGGGGGCGAGATCAGACCAGCAGGGGAGGGCTGTTGGGGGCAAGATCAAGCTGGCAGGGGAGGGCATTTGGGGGCGAAATCAGGCCTGCAAGGGAGGGCAGTTAGGGTTGATCAGGCAGGCAGGGGAGGGCAATGAGGGGCAGGCAGGCAGAGGCAGTTAGGGGCAATTAGGCAGGCAGGCAGAGAAGTTCTGGGGCAATCAGACAGGCAGGCAGAAGGGTTGGGATAATCAGGCAGGTAGGCAGAGGCAGTTAGGGGCAATCAGGCAGGTGAATGGTTAGAAGTCAGTGGTCTCAGATTGTGAGAGGGATGTCCAATTGGAGAGGGTGCAGGCTGGGCTGACCCCCCTCCCCCCCATGCATGAATTTTGTGCATCAGGCCACTAGTGGGAATATAATAAAACAACTCAGAACACAAGAAACATGGTTTAGTCTTTGATTTTGTGAGTTCTTGAGGTCCTGGTTATAAAAATAAACAAACAGTACTATTATTTAGCAAGAATAAAATTCTGTATGTTTTCCTGATTTATAATGATCCTTTTAGATTAATGCTTAATTTCCAGCAAGTATCTGAGCTTAAGTTTTCTGTCATCTGAATATCATATATATATATATTTGCAAATGTGTGTATAATTCTTATAAAATTACACTCAGACTTGCATGTTGTGCATTTGTGCTTGTCCCAGGCTCCATCACACAACATCGGCTGTGTTCTGTTACAGTAAACCTCGGAGTGGTGAGAAATACACCGATCCCTTTCAGCTTGGTAGGAGATATTTGAAAGGTCTGTATGAGGACATTAGGAAGGTAAGGAAGTTTTGAAGATGCTGTGAAGTATGTTGAACTTTTAGAATTATGAAAACAGGACGCTGGTTTCAGATATGTACAGAGCCATTGCAGACTTCGTAAGTCAGGTTTCAGAAGTTTCTTGAGCAACGGCAGTGGGGCAATATGGAGGACAGAACACGTTAGGTCCAGAAAGCGGGTGTTGCAGAGGTTGGTACCTGAAGGAAATGGTACAGGTAGCACTTACTTGACAAGTGGGCTGTCTGACATTTTCTCTCCAATTCCTTCCCCTGTTCCACAACTACTGAAGCACCGCAGCCTAGTGGCTCCTGCTGTCGTCTCCCTTCTCTGGTCCTGAGTGTCAGCTGCCGGGCTGTGTTCATCACTAAGTGCTCTCCTCCCAAACAGTTCCAGTGGTTCCCAACCTCACTGTATTCCCAAATGCTGCCAGAAATGTCCACATGCCCCTCCTCAGCCTCCTTCCCCTTTTGATCCTTATCAAGCTCCCCACTGGGCAGTTTTCACAGCAACACCACTTCCTACCTGACAGACCAAGTAGAGCCCGGGAAGGAGGCTCTCCCTCAGTGCCTGCTCTATCCGTGTGTAAGCTCCTTTGTGCCATCTACTGACGTGAACGTCCCTTCCTTTCCGGGACAGTCCCTGTACCTCTAGTTAAGCTTCATCCCCACACCTTGGGCACTGCCTCTACAGTTTCCTGTTCTCCTTGGCCTGCAGACTCTTGCTCTTTGTGTCTCTTTCCTATGCCTTTTAGGGTCTCCAGTTTGTTCGTGGTTAGGTTTTTTTGTTTTGTTTTGTTTTATATTTTTATTGATATCAAAGAAGAAGGAAGCAGGAGAGAAAGATAGAAACATCAATGATGAAAATCATTGATCAGCTGCGTCCTGCACTCCCCCTACTGGGGATTGAACCCGTAGCTCCGGCATGTGCCCTTGATTGGAATCGAACTGGGGATCTTTCAGTCCACAGGTTGACGTTCTATCCACTGAACCAAACCAGCTAGGGCTGTCTTTTTGTTGTTGACTTCAGAGAGGAAGGGTGGTGAGGGAGAGATAGAAACATCAATGATGAGAATCATTGATCAGCTGCCTTATGCACACCCCCTACTGGAGATCAAGCCTGCAACCTAGGCACATGCCCTTCACTGGAATCAAACCTGGGACCCTTCCGTCCACAGACCGACACTCTGTCCATTGAGCACAAAGCTAGGGCTCATGTTTATCTTCTAAAGGACCATTCCTTGTCCTGGTGTCCTACCTCTTCCTTTCCATCACAGTATGCTCTTCCTCTGTCTTTATTTTTGCTCCTTCACATTCACTCCACCATCACACTAGGCCTTTCTTTCCAGCTTCTTCTCAGAACCTGCCTTTGCCTAGGTCTTCAATAGCTTTCTTCTAATAATCCCAGGTGGACACTTCCGTTTTTATCTTCCTTGACTATTTTGAACATTGATCACTGTGGACCACTCCCACTCCATGAAACTTTTCCCCTGGCTTTGTTCTGATTCTTAGACCATTCTTCAGCTCGCTTCCTGAGTTTTTGTCCATCCCTTCCACCCATCCCATTTAATGTTGCCATTCCTGGGGTTCTGTTGGCCCCTCTGTGTCCTCAGTATACCTGTTCCCATGCTTACAACTCCCCAAAAATATCTCTATTCCAGATTAAATCATTGGTTTGAAAACCATACATCTAACTGCCCACTGGCAGCTCCATGTAGTGTCCATGACTATCTCAAATTTAACATCCCCCCTCCTAACTGTCTTTTCTCCTATTTTTTCCAGGATCCCCAGTAGGATCCTCCACTCTTCCATTTCTTTCCCCCTCCACATATCCCGGTACAAGCATGTCAAACTCAAAGGCTAACATGGGCCAAATAAACAAGATTTAAGTTTATGTGGGCCGCAAAAATGAAAGCTTCAGTTTTCATAGAAACGTACGTTTATTTCTATAGAGACAGGCTGAATACAAAGGGCTGAAATAAATGAATAATTGTTAACATAAAATAATAGAACATTTGAATAAAAATTAATATTTTTTTCTTGAACATTAACTTACTAGACACTGAATAACTGTACAGATTAGTAAGTGTAATGCAAATAAACCTATTTTTCTTGTTCTCCAAAAACAAAATATTCTTGTTGTGCACACCAAACAAGTCAGTACAAGACTAATGATGTGGCTGTTGGCTGCTAAAGTATTCGCTGCGAGTATTAGTGGAGAGAAAGGTGCGCCTGCCCACAAGGTGTGGAAGAGAAATATATGAATGCAACACGATTATAGTAACCAGTCATCAGGGAACATTGCAGTTTATTAATGATTATGTGTAACAGGGCACTGTAACAATTAAGTCACAACATTTTTGTTAAAACATTTCTTACATGCTTTTATATTGGCTGGCCCACAAAAATGTTCACTGTGGGCCACGAGTTTGACATGCTCGCCCTAGTCTGCCTCTGCCTCTGCCTCCAGTCCCACTGCCATAGGTCAGGCACCCCCATTTCTGTTGCTGTCATCCTTGCTGTCCTCCTCCCTCTTTCACTCAGAGCCTGCTCATATCTCCACCGACTCATATTTTCACCTGAACTGCTCATATCTCCAGTAGAATTTAAATGTGAGAATATTACTTTGATGGAAAAGGAAAAGCCTTTTGGACAATGATCATCATACTAATTAATGGCCCAAGCATGTAAAAATGGCCAGAGGGGCCTCCTATGTGATCCCAGGGTAACTGCGCTTATCTCAGGGACAGCACCCGTCATGCTATTGTGTTTTATTGCAGTTACTGTTTTATTACTTCTCCCCATCTAGACTCTGAGCTCCTATCGGCAAAGGGCCATCTTATCCTTGTAACCTCTACATTGGCACTCAGTCTATAACTTAGTTAGTTAATGACTAACCTGCTGTATGGTATCTCCTGTGCCTAGGAGGGTCCATTCCTTTGTGTGTGTGTGTGTGTGTCTTGTTTTGTTTTTGTTAGTTCTCACCTGAGGATATTTTTTCCATTGATTTTTAGAGAGAGTACATGGGAGAGAAAGAAAGAGGGAAACATTGATGTGAGACACATTGTTTGGTTGCCTCCTGCACTTCCCCTGACTGGGGATGGAATCTACAACTGAGGTACATGCACTTGACCCCAAATCAAACCCCCAACCCTTTGGTGCACAAGCCAATGGCCAGGACTCTGGGTCCATTTTTAGCTCCCACTGCTTCTGCGGGATCAGCTGTGATTAATTCCAGCAAGTCCTTATTCAGCAGGTAAAACACAAACACCTCCATCACTTGGAAGGATCTCTCCTCTTCACAAATCAAAGCCTACTTACCCTTAATCCCAGGTCAAAGCTGATCTCCTCTGGGAAAAGTTTAGTTTTTTTAGCCTACACTGCTCTCTTCTACTTAGAACTTATAGTGTATTTAATGTACAGCATTATTCAAGATATGACTGCGTTCTTGACTGAATATTTCTTTTTAAAAATAGTTGGATAGCCCTAGCCAGTTGCTCTGTGGTTAGAGAGTTGACCCGTGGAGAAGGGTCATGGGTTCAGTTCTGGTCCAGGGCATGTACCTTGGTCGCAGGCTCGATTCCCAACAGGTTTGGGGAGCGTGGGGCACGTGCAGGAAGCAGCCAATCCAAGTGTGTCTCTCACATTGATATTTCTCTCTCTGACTCTCCCCCTCCTTTCCACTCAGTGGAAAAATATACTCAGGTGAGGGTTAACAAAAACAAACAACAAAAAACAGTTGGTTAGAATGTTGTCCCAATACACCAAGGTTGTGGGTTCCATCCCAGGTCAGGGCACATACAAGAATCAACCAATGAATGCGTAAGTAATTGGAACAACTAATCAATGTTGTTCTCTTTCCAAGATCAGTTTTAAAAAAGAAAAAAAAAAGTTTTGTCTCCCAACTCATTTGTAAGCTCCTCTCATCAGACAAACCACATGTTACACTTCCCTTTTGAATTTGCCGCTGCTGTTTCTCCCCGGCCACCATCTTACCTTCCTGCCGAATTCGGCACAGCTTCTCCCTCCCGGGACAGCCACTGGCTCCCAAACCCCCTGTCTTTGTCCCCTCCCCTCCTCTTCCCCACTGCTGCCAGCCCGTGGCCTGGGTAACCCCGAGCTTTCCCCGCTTCCTGCTGCTCTTGGCGTCGCCGGGGCAGTGCCTGCTCTCGCACTTACGCTACTTGGAGTCAAGCCAGGCATGGCTTGTGGCCCCAGCACGGGGCAGCCAGGGCTTTGGCCATACCATTGAGGCACCCTTTCCAACTGAGGGTTTAATTTCTCAACTAAGATGAAATCACAGAAATCAAATCCATGTTGTGTAAAAGAAATTCTGGTGACTATGCAATTATGATGCCATATTGACACAGACTCTTTATTTCAGGAATTGCTCATATCTCCAATAGAGCTTAAGGAAATGTCTGAGTACTACTTTGATGGAAAAGGAAAAGCCTTTCGACCAGTTATCGTGGTGCTAATGGCCAGAGCGTGTAATAGCCATTATAACAATTCCCGGTGAGTCATTTACTTCTGCTGCACTGTCATCTTATATTGGTAGGTCTTCCTTCCCAAGGTCACCGTTTAGCTTCCTGTTTAAGGTGTACCCTGCACCTAAGAATTCGATTTATGTATGATGACTGGATTCTGAGTAGGAGCCACTGAGTCCCTCTGGAATCTGGTCTGGGCGCCTTCCTTTTCCACCTTTTTCATGACTATGGAAGAACGACTTAGCTGTAATAAGCATTTTAGAAAGAAGTCTGAAAATCAGATTTAGTTTTCTTGTTCAGAAGTAGAGACTACCAGGATGTATGCATACATGTAATCACTGTCCACATGGGCCAGCTAGTCCAAAGGTTGATGGGTGTGACGTGATAAGCTTTGCCATGATTCTGGGCACCACACCCCCTGCAGCGCCTGCCTTTCTGGGGTTTACCAAAGGCATTTTGACTATGGATCCTTAGCTTTTGTGTTTTGAATATATTTAGATTTTAAAATATTAAAACAGCAACTTTTAGTATTAAAGGAAGTCTTAAAAGGAAAGAGGATGTAACCATATTACCAAATGCAGCTGTCTTTACCATTTCCTCTGCCCCACCCTCTTCCAATCAGTCCCACAGTATGCAAATAATTTTGAGTTCTGCTTTGTTTCCTTACCATTGTTTTTTAAAGTCTTCATCGTGGTGCCGCAGAGTTTTCATAGTTGTTATTTTCACATCATGTATTCTATTGATGGAAATTCCTGTAGACCGTAATGTACTTATATATTTCCCTAGGGTCGAACATATGTAGTATAGTCCCTTTCCTCAACATATTATTTTTTCTGGTTTTTTTCACATTTTGTGGTAAAATACATATAATATAAAATTTACCATCTTCAACCATTTTTTATTTGTTTGAATGCTTATGGTGCGTTTGTTAATCAAATAGGTGGCAATCTGAGAGAACGGCAGATGTTAAGACTGAAAATGCCACTCTTGACATTTCATTGCAGATAAGCTCTTGCATAGGGTGTGGTGGGGGATCTAATGTTAGTGAGTTGCCAGGATCTGCCTTTTTTTTTTTTTTTTAATCTTTATTGTTGAAAGTATTACATAGATCCTCCTTTCCCCTCCATTAACTTAACCTCTTCCAGCCCGCTCACATCCTTCCTCCCCAGGTTTGTGTCCACAGGTTATACATATGAGCATACAAGTTCATTGGTTCAACATATATTTTAAAGAATGCCTTTGTCAGCACTAAATTTAAGGATGCGGTCAGAGTGAGCATCAGATGCTGCTTCGCAGCGGGTGCTCCCCTCTGCCCACCGCAGCGTGGTGCCTGCTGCTGCACCCTTGCAGCTCCAACACGGCGCTCGGTGCTCGGGGGGCCTCCCAGTCACCTGAGACTTCCGGTGAGCTCCCAGTTGGTATGAACAAGCAGTGAGATAAATCTCTGGCAGCGACCTCTTAACCATCATCCGGCCCAGTTCCAACTCACTTAGAAGGCAGAGCCGCAGCAGTGCTCCCTCCGAGCCAGGCTCGAAGTGCGTGGCATGTGGTCTAGACTCTGAGCAGGTCTCTCAGCATTGGCCCGGCTGGGGTTTTGGGCCACCTTATTTGTGGGGGGAGGGGTTGTCAATGTGCATTGATCTAGGATAGTGGCATCAGATAGTGGCACCCCTGGCCTCTATCCACAGATGCCAGGAGTGCCCCCCCCCTCCCGAGCTGGGGACAGCCCACAGTCTCCAGGCATTGCCAAATGTTCCCTGGGGAACAAAATCATCCCTGGTTGAAGACAGCTCATTGAGGGAAAATGTGTGTGTATATATATATATTTTTTTTTTTAATATATTTTATTTTTTTACAGAGAGAAAGAGAGAGGGATAGAGAGTTAGAAACATCGATGAGAGAGAATCATCGATCAGCTGCCTCTTACACACCTTCTACTGGGGATGTGCCTGCAACCAAGGTACATGCCCTTGACTGGAATCGAACCCGGGACCCTTCACTCCACAGACCAATGCTCTATCCACTGAGCCAAACCAGTTTCGGCTGTTTATATTTTTTATTTCTCAGATTAATACTCAATATAGTTTATTACCCTCAGAGATAACACGAACAGGAAAATAGTCTGCACGGCTCTACCTCCTGTCAGCTGTTATCCTCGTAGGTGAAAGATTTCTCAGCTTGCTTTACTAAACATGGGAGAACATAACACCCAGAAGGCGTTGCTAGTTTACAAAATAACTTCAAGACTGCCCTCTCCAGGAACGTCTTAGCTGCAGTGTCATTCTCCCCTTAGGTGTTCGGAGCAGGGCTTGCTGGAGGCACAAGGCAGAGGCCCGCGCCTGGCGCTAGGCTGTGCGCCATGGGAGGCATGCATTTGGATAGTAGTTTCCCAGCTACATTATTCTCCAAGCCCCAATTCCTTGAGAATAAGGACCCTTCCTAAATTCACCCCCTCCCCCCACCTCGCAGGACTCTTGTAGATGAGGCTCTTACTGAACTAAATATCTAGCTGTTAGTTCCATGACACTTAAAGCAAAGAGGGGTTTGGGGAGAAATGGAGAGCTGGGCCTGGTGTGGTTTTGCTTGCTGAAAAAGATGGATGTGACAGAGCGGGCCAGAGGGTAAAGAGCACGTTCCACAGTCTTAGTAGTACAAGGACGCAGACTTGGAGCAAGTCAATTCAGTGGCAGATAAAGGTAGTCTGTATGGATATATAATTAGCATACTGAAAACTTGATCATACGTGTCTTTATCAAGGATTTAGGAAATGCAATTCTCATCCTGAGAGTTGTGTAAAGACAGACTTCATTTGCATTTTAAATAGTGAGTTTGCTGAGAGCCAAACTGATGAGATTCTAATCATATCTTTAAAACCCCTAGTGACGCGGAGGCTGAGAAGAAAGAAGGGCCTCCCTGCCACGATTGTTTTCCAGAGCAGCAGCCTCTCTGCGCTCCAGCTGTGAAGAGACTTGGGAGGTCCTTAGCACAGGACCTCTGAACTGATGCCCAAGGTTCAGGTCACCCACGGGGATAGGACAGACCCTCATCCCACTTTCCCACAATTCATAGGTGGTGCTGCAGTGGGTCAGCAAAGGTTGAACCTGTGCCAAACCTTTAAGAAAAGCTTCCATTTGGCTTACAGAAAATTAAATTATTACTCCCACTAGAAAGAGTTGTGTTCCCTAAACGGTGCATCAGAATCACCTGGCATGCTTTTGAAAAATGCAGTTCCTGCGCCCAACCATTAGAGATTGTGATTCAGTGTCTGAGGTCCTTGCCTGCATTTTAGAGTATTGATTCCCATATGGTGGACCAGAGATAGATATTTAAGAAACAGTGAGCTTGCCAAAGTTCTAAAAAGCCAAATGAAACACTAATTTTTAGAATTGTGGGAGAGACAAAGAGAAGAACATTTTAAAATAGAACTAGAGCTTTTTGTCTGCCACTTGAGAACTCAGTGTGTACAGCCTCTAGATTTGGGAATAGGAGCTCTCTGTCTCTATTGTTAAAGTGAAACCAGATTTACTATTTTATTTGCTTCACTACTTTACTCCAAACCAACATAATACATTGCCAAGGTTTTGATATTTCTTTTTATAGACAATTTTTCCTCTTTGGGGGTTCACTTATAATTTGTTTCAGACTTCACATTATATATTAGTCTGAATAGGGGAAAACAGGTTATTTTTAATCACATGGAAGCTGGATGGAATGTGGGGGGGGGGGTCATTATATCTATTTTTGTCTGTGCTTAAAATTATTCATTATAAAATTTTTGTTTTAGTTTTAATGAAGAAAAAAACAAGTGTCCTAAAGGTATGAATCACACACACTCTTGCAGGTGTGATGTACAGAGGACATAGCCAGCTTTCAGACTCAGGCCTCCTGTGCTCCTGCTGTCTCGCCTGTTGGGCTTTCTCAGCGCCTCTCCGAGGCTGGGAGGGCGTGGCAGCTGTTTCGCAGCAGGAAGCAAACATGGTGCCCAGCTTTTTGAAGGCATGGCTCAGGGTTGCACTTTGGAAATTTCATCTTAAAGATAGTGTGACTTTCCTATAGTCTATACATTTTGGGTGTCTGCCCCACCATTATGCTGTGCTATGCATAAGCAGTGGCAGTATTTTCCAGATAGTTGACACACATTAAAACCTAATTGTATAGGGGAAAACGCATGAGATAAAATTATAAAGCATTTAAAATATGCCAAATAACATTCTAAGCAAGAATCTTGATTTCATCTGTTGAGAATTTAACCATGCAAAATGCCATTTTCATATAGTCATTTTGTCTATGAAATTAAAAAATATTTTAAGAAATCTTTGTTTTAATATCTTCACAAAAACTCTAGTGTCAGTGAGCACTGCCGTTGTAGTGCAGTTTCCAGGAGGAACCCCTCTCTGCTGGCATAGTTTATGGGAACGAATGTGGTACCTAACTCATAAATTTATGAGAAAGGCTAGAGGCCTTACCAGTTTTTTTTTTTTGAGGTAGTTCCACTACTAACCAGTAGGAAGTATATATTTTATTAGAAATCCAGCTGATAAAATATTCTAAAAACTAGCCTTTTGTGTTTTGTATATTAAAAATAACTGTAAAAGTCTATATATTTCCTATGCATTAAACTCAAATAAGATAGGGCTCAATAAATTTACCTGAAGAATACATAAGGTCCAAGCTTCCTACTATGGCCTCTGTGAGTGTCTTGAGGAATTCAGAACAGCTCGTAGGAGCCATCTGAACTGCCATTTTGTATTTTAAGAAAGTGATTTTACAGGATGACTTCTCCCTGCCTTCTGTTGCTTTACTTTTTTCCCTCTTAAAAAAAATGTGTTGTGATCTGGAAGTATTTAGAACTGTTCTAATTGTGACAAATTAATAAATAATCAGCAATTGATTTCAGGGCTAAAAGCAGTTGAAAGGTTCTGAGGTTTAGTTCTAACATCTTACTTCAGAGGAGCCAGTGAAGTATCACAATATAAAATTGTATTTAAAGCAAAATCAAGAGATATCCCCTCGTTGATTTAGTGTTTGTAGTTAAGTTCCAGCATCTTTAATGTAAGTACATTTTCTGCCAGGTTTGAGGAATCCAAATGAGCACTGTCTTTTATAGATGTTCAAGATTAGGTTTTTCAAGAAAAAGTCATGTTTTAGTATCCCTCTCACTTTTTTCTTACCTAAGAGTTAACTTGATATTGTTGAAAAGTAAGCTGTTAGGATAAGTGAAACATTTGGTTAACATGTGCTTAAGACAGGCGTATGTTTCAGATTATGAAAATCTAGTTGACTATTTCCCCAGTCTGATTTTCTTTAAAATCAGTTTTTTAAAATTCTCATAGATGTGATGGTGATAATGATTATTAAAAAGAAACTGGGGTGCATTCCCTTTTAACTGTAAAACTCAACATCTGTGTATCTTCTTGAGAGTATTTATCCTATAGTTAGTGTTAAATCTGGAAAACAAAAGTAGAAATTTCTAATGTAAAGTTTAAATATAAGTTGGAAGAACATTTTTACAAAAATTCTATTTTGGTTATTGATGGGTCTTCTTACTAAGCACTTAAGACAGTATTAAAGGCTTTGAACATCTTGACTGTTGGTTCTCTGATACACTTTTTTAGAATTCTCCTCATCTATCTCCCCCTTCAACCTCTAAAATTTAATTGTAAACTTGATCAGCTGACCAAGGTCACTATATAAGACAGAAAGATGATTCTTTAGCCTGATGGCAAGATTTCTGAAATGTTTAGTCCTCTTTTTGTTAATCATACACATTCTACTTCTTAATGCAGTATCCATCTATATATATAAAAGCCTAATATGCAAAGCGTTTCTATGGGAATTCTACCGGGAGTTCTGTTGCTTGCTGTGATGTGTGCTGACCACCAGGAGGCGGCACAGAACAAAGGAAGGCTCCAGCCAGCAGCTGGCAGCCAGGGAAGGGAGTCCCGAGCCAGCAGCTGGAAGGCTCTGATCGCCAGCCAGACCTAGGGACCCTACCCATGCATGAATTTCATGCACCGGGCCTCTAGTAAAACATAATCTTGGTGTAAAACAAATGTTCTCCAAGTGATAGAAATGTCTGTTTTCTACGGTTTCTCTTAGAGAAATAAAATTCTTTGTCCTAGATCCGATGTCCAGTTTTCACAAGATGAATGCTGAGAAGGTTATAGGCAGTATCTGTTAAAAAGCATTACTTTCTGTTAACTAGAGATGTGCAAGCCAGCCAGCGCTCCATAGCCTTAATTGCAGAGATGATCCACACTGCTAGTCTCGTTCACGACGATGTCATTGACGATGCCAGTTCTCGGAGAGGAAAGCACACAGTTAATAAGATCTGGGGTGAAAAGAAGGTATGGTTTTTTATTTGTTTTTTAATGTTCTTTGGATTACATTTATTTTTCATATTTGTCTCACTAAAAAATTTGGTCTACCAACTTTTAGCCCATTCATGTCTTTTTTTTTTTTTTTTTTTTTTAATATATTTTATTGATTTCTTACAGAGAGGAAGGGAGATAGAGAGCTAGAAACATGGATGAGAGAGAAACATCGACCAGCTGCCTCTTGCACACCCCTACTGGGGATGTGTCTGCAACCAAGGTACTTGCCCTTGACCGGAATCGGACCCGGGACCTTTCAGTCCGCAGACCGACGCTCTACCATTGAGCCAAACTGGTTTCGGCCTTGTCTTCTTTTTTGTTTTGTTTTGTTAATCCTCACTGGAGGATATTTTTTCCAATGATTTCTATAGAGGGTGTAAGGGAAGCTTGGGGAGAGAGAAAGGGAGGGAGGGAGACATTGATTGGTTGCCTCCTGCAAGCTCTGTGATGGGGCAGGAATCAAGCCTATGGTGCACAGGCCAACACACTTAACCACTGAGTAATACTGATCAAGGCCATGACTTATATAGGTATTTTATAATAGACTAGGCACCTTTTGCAGGAATATTCCTGCAAGACTTCCAGTGGGCTTCCCTCCTACCACCCCACCTCTCCCACTGCGGCAGGCAGGGCAGGGCGGGCAGATGGGGCCACCTCCGTCACTGTCTCCAAGGCCGAGTGCACTGCCACCACGCCAGACTCGCTGTGCCCGCCACTGCCGCCCCACCCAGCCCTGCAACATGCTGCCAGTGCTTTCCCACCAGCAGTCGCAGCCGCCTTGCTTTCCACTTTCCCTCCCTCTTCCTTCTATGCTGTCTTCAGTTTTCACTCCTCCTTCCCTCAGTGTAGGCAAATTAACCACCATCTTTGTTGGGTTACTTTGCATATTCACTCTGATTGGCTGGTGGATGTGGCTTGTATAGTGGAGTGGCAGTTAATTTGCATATTACTCTATTATTAAGTTAGATGAATAACACAGAAAAATAAATATTTCTGGTTATTCTCAATTTTCTATAGAATTTCATATGATTATAAAGAAAGTGGTTTCTGAGGGTATCCAAAACACTTATTTCATTAGGAATCATATATTTTCCTTTTGAGCTGATTCCCACATTGTGAGTGTCATAAAACTTTAAAGATAAGTAAATATCCACAGGCAGCAAAATCTCAGACATATGCCAAAAGAACTTCTTCACTGACACTGCCCCTAGGGCAATGGAAGCTAAAGAGAAAATAAACAAATGGGGCTATATCAAAATAAAAAGCTTTTTTACAGCAAAAGAAACCATCAACAAAACAACAAGAAAGCCCACTGTGTGGGAGAACATAGTTGCAAATGTTACCACTGATAAAGGTTTAATCTCCAACATCTACAAACAGCTTATACAACTAAATAAAAGGAAGATGAATGATCCAATTAAAAAATGGGCAATGGACCTAAATAGAATATTTTCAAAAGAAGACAGAAGGAAGGCCAAAAGGCACATGAAAACATGCTCAAAGTCACTAGTTATCCGAGAGATGCAAATGAAAACAACAATGCGGTACCATCTCACACCTGTCAGAATGGCCAACATCAACAAATCAACAAACAACAAGTGTTGGCGAGGTTGCGGAGAAAAAGGAACTCTCGTGCACTGCTGGTGGGAATGCGACTGGTGCAACCACTGTGGAGAACAGTGTGGAGTTTCCTCAAAAAATTGAAAATGGAACTCCCATTTGACCCAGTAATCCCACTCCTAGGAATATATCCCAAGAAACTAGAAACACCAATCAGAAAGGATATATACACCCCTATGTTCATAGCAGCACAATCTACAATAGTCAGAATTTGGAAACAGCTTAGGTGCCCGTCAGCATATAATTGTATCCAAAAACTATGATACATCTAAACAATGGAATACTATGCTGCCATAAAAAAGAAGGAATTCTCATCATTTGCAGCAACCTAGATAGAACTAGAGAACATCATTCTGAGTGAAATAAGCCAGTCAATGAAAGAGAAATACCACATGCCCTCACTCATTTATGGATATTAAAGAACATTATAAACTGATAAACCAAATGTCAGATATAAAGACAGTAAAGCAACAAGCAGACTGTAAAATTACAGCGGGGAGAGTAGGGAGATCTGGGGGAGATAAGAGATCAACCGAAGGACTTGTATACATGCATATAAGTACAACCAATGGACACAAAACTCTGGGGAGGGAGGGTATGTATGGGAGGGGGGGACAATGTTAAAATATGTACACAGATAATAATAATTTAAAAAATAAGTAAATAAAACTTTTAAAATAAAATTTAAAAAAAGTTAAATATATACCAAAGGTACTTTTTTTTCTTTTTAAGTTCTGCTTAGGCTGCAGGCTTTTTTTGTTTTGTTTTGTTTTTTAATATATTTTATTGATTTTGTACAGAGAAGAAGGGAGAGAGAGAGCTAGAAACATCGATGAGAGAGAGTCATCGATCAGCTGCCTCTTGCACACTCCCTACTGGGGATATGCCTGCAACCAAGGTACCTGCCTTGACCGGAATCGAACCCAGTTCCCTTCAGTCCCCAAGTCGACGCTCTATCCATTGAGCCAAACCGGTCTCGGCCAAAGGTACTTTTTTACAATGATAATTTTACCTTTTGAAATAGAGGCTCTATAATTGGGGTTGGTTCATATATTTTAAAACGTATTTCTGTATTATTTTATTAGCATTTTTTGAAGGAGCTATGCAAAATGGAGAGTGTTGTTGGAGATGCTTCAGGCATGGGTTCAAAGGATGGGGATGCAGTTGAACAAATAAAAGTACAATGTGCAGGCCTCAGAGAGCCATCTCCCCCACACACTCCTCTGAGCTGCCCGCCTGTGAGCAGACCTAACACTGATGGGAAAGGTTTCCTCTCACCTTCCCCTCGCTCACGCATGCATGGTACTTGGCGCCTGCTGTGCTCTTTGCCCTTATTAAGAGAAGAAATGTGTGTTCATTGTTATCTTCACATGCTAGTTTTGCTTTAATGTCCTTCACTTTGTTGTATAATCGAGTCCTGCAATTTCATTTGTAAGATTTTTTTAAAATATATTTTTTAATTGATTTCAGAGAGGAAGGAAGAGGGAGAAAGAGATAGAAACATCAATGATGAGAGAGAATCATTGACCGGCTGCCTCCTGCGCACCCCCTACTGGGGATTGAGCCCACAACCCAGGCATGTGCCCTGACTGGGAACTGAACCTGGAACCCTTCAGTAGACTTTATCCACTGAGCCAAACTGGCTAGGGCTGTGAGGTTTTTATTTCAAATTGTAGATTAAAGATTTTGTGTCTCACTAACAGAATTCCATTCATCAGAACATTGGTAAAGAGAGGGTACAGTTTTATTTTGAAAAGGTTGTGGGTAACTATGATATGTGCTGGTGGTCAGCTGTCAGTCAGTGTTCTTAAAGCCTACTTTGGCTCTTGGTCAGGGAAGAAGATTAAGAGAACAAATGCAGGTCTTCTCCTCGACCAGTCCCCTCTCTAACAGCCTCCGTTGTTGGGGGCCTCTTTCTGAGTGTGGGTGAAGGAAGGTGGTTCCTGCTGCCATCTGCCTCCTTGAGCTGTGAGACTGGTCTGCCCCGCACAAAGCCACCTGCCAATGTCTCCTTTCCTGTCCCTCAATCCAAACTACTATGATAGTGATAAAATGTAAAAAGTCACACAGTGCCACCTCTGTGAGCCCCCATTTCCCTGCCTGAGTTCCAGACATGCCTGCCTTTAACCCTTCACCCCAGGAAGCCCAGGCTAGCAGCTTCAGTTCCATATGCCAGAACGTTTGCCTCCAGGAACCCTAGGGCCCAGAGAGGGAAGAGGTAAAAGCTTAGAGATCTGCTAATGATGTAGTATAGATGGATGGATCTGTGTGTGCACATATATCTCATAATTATAAAATGACTTCTCAAGATATGTTATATAAAATGACAATTCATTGATAAACATAGTGAAATCATTAATTTTAGATACTAGAGAAGCAGTAGACAATAAAACCTTAAAATGTGGTTTGTTGAAAAGTCTATAAATTAAAATTTCTATGAACTCTAGCATTTATAACTAGTTACTCTATAACATAACACTTGGGCATACCTTTTGGTATGAAAGTTAGTGTATTTGATTATAACATGTAATTCAGTTATGTCTAATTTATAGTTAGTTGCAAATACTGTATGACATCTATTCACAAATGAGTGCTGGAGGAAGAAGGGGAAGGACTTGGCAGAAGAAGCAGTAAGTGCAAAGGCACAACAGGGCGGTTTGAGGAAGTGGTTCAGCATCACCAAACCGAAAGCGGCTGCTCTTGGAGGGGCTAGGGGGTGAAGCTGGAGGGTAAGATGCTTTCCATCTCCTGGCATCATGTCTTTAGGTCAGAAGTGGGGAGCTAGATGGGTAAGCTCTGAGAGCCAATCCACTCCAACAATGTCCCAAATCTGGAACTGTTTTCACAAAATGCTGTTGAGCAAGAGGAAGGGGAAAACTCACATCTAAGATGGCCCCTTCCTCTCACTCTGTAGCTTCTGAGAAGTCAGCTTCATTGGTGACTGACACTCTTGCCCTGACACTTTTCTCTGAAAGGTTTTTCTTTTCTAGGCTGTTCTTGCTGGAGATTTGATTCTTTCTGCAGCATCTATAGCTCTGGCACGAATTGGAAACACAACTGTTATATCTATTTTAACCCAAGTTATTGAAGATCTGGTGCGTGGTAGGTTAATTCCAACTTTTCTTTTTTTATTCCATCTTAGTATGTAGGTGGGCAGTAAAACCATGTCTCAAATAATCCCTTTCCTTCTTTTTAGGTGAATTTCTTCAGCTAGGGTCAAAAGAGAATGAGAATGAAAGATTCGCACACTACCTTGAAAAGACCTTCAAGAAGACTGCAAGTCTGATAGCCAACAGTTGTAAAGCAGTATGTACGTTCTGTCTTCTTTCAAGTTAAAAAAAAAAAAAAAAAAAAAAAAAAAAGCCTCTTTCTTGAGAGTTAATTCTCCTAGAAAGAAATTCACTGGAGAATCTTAAAATAGTACCACAAACCCCAAAGGTCATTGAGAAAAGAACCCCAAACAGTGGAGAACTTCTGCTGTTTTCATATTTCTGTCTTCTTTTGCTATGCAGATATTCACTTTTTATTCTCTTCCCCCTCCACCCCTGGCAAGTGTTTAATCCAAATAAGCTTTAGTCACTAAATCTAATTTCCAAACTATGTTATCTTTTGGACAACTTATGAGTAATTCTTTTCATAATTGCTGTCCCATAAAAAGTGTGCCTTTAAAAAGTTATGAAGTTACCCAGAAAAAAATGTCTAATACTAGATTGTACTAGTGTTTTGTGTTTTTTTATGAGTAGTAGATTCTCCTATTATTTTTACGTGAAATATAAACAAGCCATTTTTCTTCAGAATATAAATTGTGAACCATAACTTTTTCTTTACTTAGCCTTCTCCCTGGCCTTCCCTCCGCTGTCCATACTTTTCTTTTTAAAAGCTCAGTTAGCATTGTCCTTAATCTATAGACTAAAAATGTGTGGTGTCCAGTGCTAGCCCATAAAAAATGTAAGTTCGCTCCATAGAATTATCCCTGTTATATGTCTCAGCCTAACATGTAACATGAAACCTGGACAAGTAATAGTCCCTTGTAATTAAAGCAACAAGAAAGAAACCCAGTAAGGGGCAAATGTCAATTGCTGTCATGATACACTCTTAACATAATTACAGCTAAAGAGCTTTCCCTCAGGCCTCGGGTAAAAAAACGTCCCGTGCCAGTTGTGTCTCTATTTTGAAGTGTCAAGAAATGGATAATTGTGAGCCAGAAAAGAACAAGGACAGCATTTTCTTCCTAAAAAAAGATCTAATTGAATCCAAAGGAATGTAAATTATGTAGAACATGCTGGCCATGATTTCAGCCACTTTTGTCTTTATTAAAGGGGCTATTTTTATTTCCAAGAAATTGAAAGTTTTTTTAAAAAGAGAGACAGATGTGTCCTGGCCTGTTTGCTCAGGGATTAGAGTATTGGCCCATGGACCAAAGGGTCTTTAATTCGATTCCTGGTCTAAGGCATGTACCTCATTACAGGATTGATCCCATGCCCAATATTCTTTGTAAGGATTAAAAAGGAGAGAGATGGATGAAAATATGGTAGACACGAATGCCAACTAAAAAGAATGACGTACTTAAAAGGGCCCATAAAGCTGTTCCATTAATTGATCATACCCTTGATCACCAAAGTTTCTGTGAAGATAAAGATCCATCCTTACGAGGCTCCCTGGTGTGTTCAGTGAAGCTTGCTGGTGGTTTCACCAACTTGAGCCTACAGTTAGAAGCACTAGCAGGTAGAGCGACTGTTAGAACTAGAAACACTGAGAATCATTTGTCCACACAGAGTAGACATCCCATTGGCAAGTGGCAGTAGCACCACTTGGAGCCAGGACAGGAACCAATACCCTCAGTGATTAAATCCTATGAAGGGGCCAAAGAGATAGGCCCAACTCATCCAAGAAAGGCTTAATTGTGGTCACAGACCTCTCTTAGGAAGCCAAGAGATTATAGCACATGTAATGTTTATAAAGAGCACCTTGTTCTTCACAGATTAGCAAGTGAACAGTGGATGCGAATGTTAACATGGCTCACCCTATTAAATATGAAATGTATTATTCTGTCCACTAGGAGGCATGCTGGCATCATCCCAGAATTACCCACTTCCATGGGATGTATTTCTAAATTCCAGCCTATTTAGAATAACAAAGCAAAATCAGTGTGGGCTCTCTGGATAAAAGTTTCTATATGTAAGTGTATATGGGTAGATGTATTCCAAAGGTCTTATGTTTTCAAAATTGCTATTTTTATATAGCCCTGGTATTTAAAATGCAAGTATATGTGGACTCCAGAAGAATGCTTGCAAAGCAAATTACAGATGACAAAAGGAGGAGATAAAGAGAATTTAAACATCAAGATTATTAGAGAACTAATAGAATTCCATGATGCTATAGAACTTGAAGGAAATTTAGCAGTTTATAATTCATTAGAAGCCCGGTGCATAAAATTCATGCAAGGATGGGTGGTGTCCCTCAGCCCAGCCTGCACCCTCTCCAATCTGGGAGATTGCCCATATAGGCCCCATCCCAGTAGGATCAGGCCTAAACGGGCAGTTGGCTATCCCTCTCACAATCCAGGACTGCTGGCTCCCAACTGCTCGCCTGCCTGCCTTCCTGATTTTCCCTAACCGCTTCTGCCTGCCAGCCTGATCATTCCCTAAACACTCCCCTGCCAGCCTGATTGATGCATAACTGTTCCCCTGCCAGCCTGATTGCCCCTAACTGCCCTCCCCTTCAGACCTGGTCACTCCTAACTGCCCTCCCTGAAGGCCTGGTCAACCCCAACTTCCCTATCCTCCAGGCCTGACCCCTCCTAACTGCCCTCCCCTGCAGGCTTGGGTCCCTCCCAACTGCTCTCTCCTGCAGGCCTGTGTCCCTCCCAACTGCCCTTCCCTGCAGGCCCAGTCACCCCCAACTTCCCTCCTCTGCCAGTCTGGTCACCCCTAACTGCCCTCCCCTGCTGGCTTGATCGTCCACAACTGCCCTCCCTTGTAGGCCTGGTTGCTCCAAACTGCTCTCCCCTACTGGCCATCTTATGGTGGCCATCATTGATCACATAGGGGCAGCCATCTTGTGTACTGGAGTGATGGTCAATCTGCATACTACTCTTATTAGATAGGATAGAGGCCTGGTGCATGGGTGGGGGCCCTCTGATTTGCCCTGAAGGGTGTCCTAGATCAGGGTGGGGGTTCCCTTAGGGTGTGGGGCGGCCTGGGCCAGGGGCCTGAGGTGGTTTGCAGGCTGGCCACGCCCCCTAGCAACCTAAGTGAATGCCCTGGTATCTGGGATTTATTTATCTTCTATAATTAAAACTTTGTAGCCTTGGGTGGAGGCCAGGACCAGCCAGGGCAGGTGGGAAGCTTGGCTTCCTCCATCTCTGAAGGCAACCCAAGCCTCCTGCTTGCTGCAGCTACATGGCCACCACCATTTTTGTTGGGATTTATTTATCTTCTATAATTGAAACTTTGTAGCCTTGAGCAGAGGCCAAGGCAGGCAGGAAGCTTGGCTTCCTCCATCACGGGGGCAACCAAAGCCTGCCTGGCTCCAGCTCCATGGTCACTGCCATATTTGTTGAGTTAATTTGTATACGCTCTCCTGATTGGCTTGTGGGCATGGCTTTGGGGCATAGTGGAGGTATAGTCAATTTGCATGTTTCTCTTAGGATTCTACTAAGGACATCATTACTTCACTCTGTTTTTTAACCACTCACAGTATTTTAGTGGAAATAGTAATAAAATCTAAGAGAGGACTATCTAGGATTGTTTTGTGGCACTGGTTGGATATGAATGTAGAATAATCTTAATTGGCTATTTATTTATATACAGTCATGACAAGTACATCCTGTAGCTTTCCAGTGAAGGTATGACTTGTCCCCCAGAAAATCTGATGGGAATGAGACTGAGAGGTCTGGTTGCCATCCAGTGTTATTCAGTCCAACTGACAGTGGCTGAGCTGGGATTTGAACCAAGAACTGGATATGGTATTCCTACATTCAGTTTTCCTCTTTTCTGAATGTATGTGGGTGCATGTGGCTGGAATCAATAAGCTATCTTTCTATTATTTAGTTTTCAGTGATACAGATGCCACCACAGAACTTTATGTGGGTCATATTTATAGAATACTGTTTTTGGTTATGTTTTTATTATCTAACCTTATTCAGATTTTGCCAGTTGTCCTAATACTGTTATAACAAATGTAAATAATTTTTTTCTGGTCCAAGATCCAATCCACACTCGCATGTTGCATTTAATTGTCATGTATCTGTAGTCTCTTTTGTTCTGGAACAGCTCTTATTTTACTACTTGTGTGGTTCACTTGGTCACCTGACTAGGGTGGTGCCTGCAAGATTTCTTCACTTTCAAATCCAAACTCCCAATCTCTGGTTTTCGCATCTATTTATAATCCTTTCCTGAGACAGCTATTACTGTGCTGGTTGCCAAGTGAATGTAGAGAGATCCTATTATATCTCTACATCACATTTCTACACTGTGTTGGTATTTTATTCTAAGGAAGTTTTTTTTTTTTTTTTTAATATATTTTATTGATTTTGTACAGAGAGGAAGGGAGAGAGATAGAGTTAGAAACATCGATGAGAGAGAGTCATCGATCAGCTGCCTCTTGCACACCCCCTACTGGGGATATGCCCGCAACCAAGGTACATGCCCTTGACCGGAATTGAATCCGGGACCCTTCAGTCCCCAAGCCGACGCTCTATCCATTGAGCCAAACCGGTCCCGGCCTAAGTAAGTTTTTTTTAATTGTCACCTGAGAATATTTTTGCATGGATTTTTTTTTTTTTTTTTTTTTTTTTTTTTTTAGAGAGAGTGGAGGGGAGGGACAAAGCAGAGAACTACCTACTTTCATGGGATTTATTCCTAAATTCCAGCGCTATTAGAATAATAAAAACAAAATTAGAATTAGAATGGACTCTCTGAATAAAAGTTTCTATATGTAGAAATATATGGGTAGAAATATTCCAAATATTGAGAGAGAGAGAGAGAGAGAGAGAGAGAGAGAGAGAGAGAGATGTGAAACACATTGATTGGTTGCCTCCACATGAAAAGAGAGAGAGAGAGAGAGAGAGAGAGAGAGAGAGAGAGAGAGAGAGAGAGAGAGAGAGAGAAAGAGAGAGAGAATGAGAGAGAAACATCAGTGTGAGACACATTGATTGGTTGCCTCCACATGCACCCTGACTGAGGGGCTAGAGATCAAGCCTGCTATCCAGGTATTTGTTTTTGACCTGGAATCAAACCTATGGACTAATGTTCTAATTACTGAGCCGAATCAGCCAGGGCTATTTTAAGGAAGATTTTTGTCTATGAACTCGTGGTTTCTTATTTTATTCTTTGGGTTATAATCCTTTATTGTTATTTTAATGCCCACTTGCCCCAAATATAACCAGTGGGGAAGGCCTTTTAACCTTGCCCCTGTGTCCAATGAACATATCCCTAGTATTTGTAACTGAACTATTTGGACACCTAAATGCCTGATGGCTGAGGAATGGGATACGATTCTTTCAGCACTTCCTTTGTTTCTGGGAGCTCTATCTGGCTTTCTTGTGGGGGATAAATGTAGACCCTTTCTTTGCCCTCCTCCCGTCTTGGTCTTTGCTGTCTTTGTTCCCTAAAACTGGGCCTGGGTCTGCTCAGCATGCTCAGCAGAGCAGTAGGAACTGCATCCAGGTGGCTGGTTCCAGCTACTTTTTTGGGAGTTTTAAGAAAGACTTAGCTAAAGTCTTACTTCTCCCCACCGTAAAGAAAAACAAACAAATATGGAGGAGACCGCAGGACCAAGGAAGATCCTTTGATAATGAAAGAACAATATTTATGTCTGAAGCATGAGGCTTTCGGCAATTATAAACATTTCAGAAATAAGTGGAATCACTAAAAATGGTCTACAAATGGGGAAATATGTGTGGCATCTTTGTGTGTATGATTATATTAGATACCATATCCCAAAAAATAAGGACTAGAAAGATAACAAAGAAAACCAATTGGAACAACTGTTAAGTGCTAGAAGCCAGAATTTCACATATTGAAGTTTCTTTATTTCGCATTTTAAAATTAGTCTAGTGTAGCATGATTTTTCCTAAGCAGTGAGAAAAAGGGTTTATCCTGTGAAAAAAGGGAAAGGATAGTTTTCTTAGAATTTAAGGAAATTAACTGAGACTAAAATCCTTTCATTAAGATCACAGGTATAGCCGAAACTGGTTTGGCTCAGTGGATAGAGCATTGGTCTGCAGACTGAAAGGTCCCAGGTTAGATTCCGGTCACGGGCATGTACCTTGGTTGCAGGCACATCCCCAGTAGGGGGTGTGCAAGAGGCAGCTGATCGATGACTCTCTCTCATCGATGTTTCTAACTCTATCTCTCTCCCTTCCTCTCTGTACAAAATCAATAAAATATATTTTTTTTAAAAATCACAGGTATAGTTGACCCTTAAACAACACAGGTTTAGACTGTGCAAGTTCGCTGACATGCAGGTTTTTATCCAGTAAATACTGTAAATGTATTTTCCTTATGATTTTCTTCACACCTTTCTCTAACTTGATTATAATACAGTATAAAGTATATATGTAATATTCATAACATGCAAAATATGTATTAATCAACTGTTATTTCTAAGGTTTCAGTCAACAGTAGACTATTAGTAGGTAAGTTTTGGGGGGAATTAAAAGTTATATATGACCCTGGCCGGGATTATTCAGTGAAGAGTCAAGCCATGAACCAAAAGGTCACAGGTTCGATTCCCAGTCAAGGGCACATACCTGGGTTACAGGTTCAATGCCTTGCCCAGTTGGGTTGCATGCAGGAGGCAACCAATCGATGTTTCTCTGTTTCTCCTCCCTCTCTTCCACTCTCTAAAAATTAATAGAAAAAATATCCTCCGGTGAATATTAATTGAACAAAAACAAAAAAACAAGTTATATGTGGATTTTTTACTCCCTGGGGATCAGCGCCCATAACTCCACATTGTTCAAGGGTCAGCTGTGCTTGCACATGTTTGGTCTCCTGATAGCAATATTTCCTGGTTGTACACCATCTAGCCTCACTGCCTCTTAAGGGAACGGGTGTCTGACTCCCGCCATGCAATGTTTGGCTGCCTTGCTCTTGCCTGCCAGCCACTTAACTCAGAATTCTTTTTCTGTTCCAGGTCTCTGTCCTAGGATGCCCTGACCCAGTGGTGCATGAGATTGCCTATCAATATGGGAAAAATTTGGGAATAGCCTTCCAGGTTGGTCTGCTATGTAAGACTGTCCCGCCAGTACGGTGGGAATCATGGCTGTGAAGTTGGGATGATGGTGTTTATGACATTCTTTTTGTCCTTTCACTAGCTGATAGATGATGTACTGGACTTCACCTCATGTTCTGAGCAAATGGGCAAGCCAACATCAGCTGATCTGAAGCTCGGGTTAGCCACTGGCCCTGTCTTATTTGCTTGTCAGCAGGTAGGTTTTGGACAAGTCCCTTGGACACACTGCTGTGCAGCCCTACAGAACCAGTATCCTGCAGGCACAGCTAATGGGAAGTTTAGATAATATTTAGGAAAGCATCTAGGTCAGAGACCTCTATCTAGATTTGATCCGGGCTCTATGACAATGATTGTTGGGTACAATCATTGCACCTCTAAACTTTGTTTCCTTTTGTAAAACTGAGATGACTACAGCCTTCATGCTAGGGTTGTTGTGAGGATTAACAGATAAGTTTCATGGAGATACTTTGTAAATTAAGTGCTGTATGCATTTAAGATAGTATAATTATTTCCATGTATTTGGAGCACTGACAAGGTGGTTTCCACATCTTGATTATAGGGCTGGACTTTGGGTGTGCCTCAGAATCCCTTACAAAGGCACAGGAAGGGCCTCCAAGCTTAAGAAATTCTGAGAAATTCTCCAGTTCCAGAAGTTTAATGGGACTGTTTGCTGCTCTCAGAGAGCCTCGGGCACTGCCTCAAAATGTCAAGAAGTCAGTGGAATGCACTGCTAGAACATAGTTGCTTCTTCCTCCAGATTGAGGGGCTGTCAATTAAGGAAGTAAGTAAAGCTGCCTTCATATTCTTAATGTAGTTGAAAAGCTTAGGAGGCTTTAAAGATTCTGCAGTGACGTGCAGGCCAGACGGGACGTCTGCACAGCCAAATGTCATGTGGAAGAAGTGGGACATTGGCTTGTATTTGGACATCTTCTTTATAGATTTCATCTTAGTAGTATTTAATTCATTATTTTACAAAGCTGTAAGATGTTCGTCACTATGCCATGAAATTAAAAATTAGTTCTTTGGTCTGAAATTTTAGTAACTTTTGGTATTTTAGAAATTTTGCCTCTTTACTTCCCCAAAATTCACAAAGATAAATCATGCTTTCCATGGAACTCAGTGATTCTATTTGAATATTATAGAAACCAGTGACCTTGCTTTTGGTCTGTTTCTGACAAAAAATATATATATATGTGTGTGTGTGTGTGTGTGTGTGTGTGTGTGTGTGTGTGTGTTGGCTTGGGGAACTGGGACAGGTTTCCTTGGGTAACATACTGGTAGACAACAGTCAGTTGAAGAATGAAGGCTGTGCGATGAGACCACTTTGTGGAAGCATCTGTCCGCATTGCTGGGCTCCACCCTCAGAAATTTGAGGCGGAGAAGTGAAAGATGTGCTATAAAAGGGTCTTTTCTCCTATTGAGACTAACTCGCCAGCCCAAAACTCAAGAATGTTAATACATTGCCAAGTTCTGAAAAAACTTATAAAAATCCCCTTGAGTGAGGGATAAAGCATGAGTGAGGAACATTTTCTTTATCATTAAGCCACAAAAGTAGAGTATTCATGAGCCGTGTAAAGGTTTGCCTGAGACTAGAAAGATCAGTCACTGGTTACCATCTACACAATTTAAAAAACCAATCTACTCCTCAGAGCCTGGGAGTAAATGTGAGTGAAGAATAAGACGGCTGATTGCACCGAGATTCAGCCAGCTTGGTCCATATCCCTTTGGTTAGGCTCTGAGGTTATCTAGAGGACTAAGGGACAGGCCTCTCCCCGAAGCCCCTCAGTCTACTAAAAAGCAGTCTTAATCCTTCCTTTATAATAAAGTGATATGCAAATTAACCCTCACAAGATGGCTGCCTACAGCAGGGGGGTAAGAGGGACAACCAAACAACTGAACAAGCAGGCTTCGTGGGGCGACCAGGCCTGCAGGGGGGTTAGTGAGGGACGACCAAATGACAGGTCTCTTGTGCGTTTATAAATAATTTTCAAATAAGCTTACACTCTACTAAAGATTACACTGTCAAAAAAAAAAAAGGATTCTTGGCCAGAATTTTGGGGTAAAACAAGTTCCAAAAATAACATAGAACATGCAGTATCTCCCTTTAATGAAAATACATTATTTTCATAGTTTGCAAAGGATTCTTTGACATTATCTCTAACAAATCCTTTTTTGGTATTATATCCATCCTACAAATAAGAAAGTAATGGACCAAGACAATCAAACTTGACCAAAATTAAGCGTTTAGTAGAGAGCGCAGCAGGCAGTTGAGCGCTCCGAGTCTTCCAAGACCACTGTTGTGACTGCGCAGCACAGCGGTGCTGCCCGCGTTGTAAAAGCTACTGCCTGTGAGCTGATCCCAGTAGGTCTCCCACAGAGTAGGCATGGCTCTGAAATGCACTGACAACACTCACAGAAGGGCCTGTGTGTCAGCTTTCATGGCTTGTGATTGACCTAGCCATTTAGTGGAGAAGTTAGCTCTAAGATGTTTGTGCTCTTTGTCCATATGCAGGTGAGCTTTGTTTGCATATTAGAAAAATCTGTTTGAACTTTTCCAATTGTGACACTGAGTCTCACTTGGACCAAGACAATCACCCTTGGGAAGTGGCCTTTCCTTTTTAACTTAGCACGGGGAACTTGGCATTTGTTGGATCCAGCAATTTGAAAGAAACTTTCTCTCTGGAATTCACTATTTGACATCTCTCTGAGGGAATTTCTTTTTTTTAATCTTTATTTTTAAAAGCATTACATATGTCCCCTTCTTCACCCTACTGACATCTTCTAGCCCATTCCCACTCCCCACCCCAGCCTTCACCACCCTGTATCTGTGTCCATATATGCATGCAAGTTCTTTGGTTTGATCTCTTCCCACCCACCCACCCTCCCCTGCCTTCCCTCTAAGATTCCATAGTCTCTAAAGGGGTTTTTCTCTCTCTCTCTCTCTCTCTCTCTCTCTCTCTCTCTCTCTCTCTCTCTCTCTCTCTCATATATATATTATTGATTTTCTACAGAGAGAAAAGGAGATGGATAGAGAGTCAGAAACATCAATGGGAGAGAAACATCGATCAGCTGCCTCCTGCACACCTCTACTGGGGATGTGCCCACAACCAAGGTACATGCCCTTGACCAGAATCTAACCTGGGACCTTTCTGTCCGCAGGCCAACACTCTATCCACTGAGCCAAAAATGGTTAGGGCCGAACAGGTTTCTTGATAACAGTTGATACAAGGGGTTTAAGAGATTTCTAAAGAGATGCCAGTGATGATAGTGTTCTTTCATGAGGAAGTGTTGTACATATTTTAAGAACAAAAACCTCAGGTTAAATTTTTTATGTGTTTTGTTTCTTATCCTCATGCAAGGATATTTTTCCATTGATTTTTAGAGAGTAGAAAATAGAGGGAAAGACAGAAAGAAATACCGATGTGAGAGGAACACAACAATTGGCTGCCTCCTGCAACACCTTGACTAGGGCTTAGGCTGGGGAGGAGCCTGCAATTGAGGTACATGCCCTTGACCAGCATCAAATCCATCTACAGGCCAATGCTCTAACCACAGAGCCAAACTGGGTTGAGCCTAAATCTTTAAAAAGGATATAGGTCTGATTTTGAAATCTTCAGAAACAAAATGGAAGTGGTGTGTGTATATGTATGGGTGGTGTGTGTGTGTTTGTGTGAGACTACATTAGTGAGTTCTCAAATGTCCTTTTCAGTTCTTCCTCTGCTTCTCTTATTTACTAAGTCTCCAGACCTAAATGTCAGACCATAACTGTACTTCCAGCTGCCATCACCATCACCAGCTGCACAGGCTTCTGCTATTGTGACTAGTTGGTGCCTTAAAGAGTGACTTAAGTTTTTTTTAGCTCAAGTTTATTTATCCTTTGTAGTTTAGTTTATGGTATAGCTTAGATTTCAGAATTAGAATGTGGATTTCCAAATTTTAAAAAAAGACACTGGGCCAACAAAGTTTTTCTTATTTCTCAGTAAATCTGCAGGCAGGCAACTGTCCTTCCCGTTATGTTTCTCATTTCTTCTCCAATACACATGAAGGGGACAGAGGGGTGTCTGGGGAAGAGTTTGGTATTTGCATAGTAAAACTGCACACAATACATGTTCCAAAGAAAGGACATTTAATGCAAATATTTTTTTTCAAATTTTGCTTTATCAGTGCTTTTTATAGTAAAAGGAATTAAAAAGCCATGTAGTCAGCACATTTTACCACACTTGTTGGTATTGCAGGAAAAACTCATAACCATAAACAAGGTGATTTTTATTAGATGCCCAGAATAGTAGTGCATCAGATTTGAAATTATAAGCTTCTAAAAAGCCATTTTTGGAAGGTGGTATTGTTTAAATGCTTTTCTACCATGGAATACTATGCAGCAGTCAGTACACAAGAGGGATCTCTCAGCCTTTGAGGCAGCATGGAGGGACCCAGAGAATATTTTGCTAAGTGAAATAAGCCAGTCAGGGAAAGACAAGTATCACATGCTATCACTCATATGTGGAATGTAAAGAACAAAAATAAGCTGATGAACAAAATAGACCCAGGTACATAGAAGCATGGAACAAACTGGAATCTCAGGGAAAGAGGGGAGAGTGGGGAGGAAGAGATTAACCAGTGAATTTATATGATTACATGCATAACCAGTGGACACAAACAATAGTGTGATAAAGGTGTGGGCTAGAAGGGGTCAATGGGGAAATGGGGGGAGGGTATCTGTGATACTTTCAACAAGATAATTTTTTTAAGTGACTTTCAGCCTGCTGGTATGGCTCAGTGGTTGTGCTGACCCATGCCCCAAGAAGTCTCCGGTTCAGTCCCCAGCAGGGGGCAGCCAATTGATGCATCTGTATGATGTTCTCTCTCTCCATCTCCCTTCCTCTCTGAAATCAATAAAAATGCTTTTTAAAATGCCTTTTAACAACTGTTAAAGTCTGTGTCTAAAATTTTAACTGCTAAAATAGACTGTTTTGAGCTTTCTTGATTTATTTCCTGTGAAGCTTAAATTATTTTATTCTTAAAAGACCAGTAACTAAAGCAAATTACTGGTCTTCATTTAATAACTAACCAGCTGCTGGCACTTTAAATATTATGAGTAACTTAGCAGCCCATTACCTGTTTAGAACTTCATTCTGACACATACTTAGCTCTGAAAGGAACACTCTCACTTCCTCATCTGTCATCTGTTTGAGGTTTTCTCTGTCCTATTTTTGTTTCTAGGATTACTAACACAGTGGTGGTGGTTTCAGTGTAACAACTTATTTCACTCTTCAGGCTCACTGCCAGGGAAAAACTATGGCAACTGCTGTAAGCACTGACGTATCCAAGTCCAAACACCATTTGGCTTCTTATTTTGTGGAGCCATAAGCTGTTACAGCTATTGGATTTCAGATCATGTAGTTCAGCTCCTCCATGACATAGATGAGGCTAGGACCCAAGACACTGAGGAACCCACTCAGCTGTGGCAGCACTTACACAAGAGGTGGATCTGGAAAGCGGTGCCCTGGCTTCCTAGTTCTCCTATTGGTGACAGTTCTCTTAAATTGTTGCTAAGTGTCCTATTTGATAGGCTTATCTTTAATGCATTTTGTGCCTGTTTTCTCTTTTCCTCTTATTACCAACAGCTTAACACTGGTCTTCTTTATAATTTACTACAGTAACCTGACTGGTATTTCTCTCTCTCCTCTAAGCAATGGTTTTTCAACTTTGACTGCACAATAAAAACACCTGGAGAGTTTTCAACATCCTGATGCTAGGGCCAGACCCAAGCCAATGTAGTCAGTCTTTGGGAGCAGGTCCAGGAAAGAGTGTTATAAATCCCCAAAGTGAGTACAGTGTGCAGACAGCAGTGAGTACCGCTGTACTGATCTAGTCCACTCCACAAGCTGCCAAGGCAGAGCTCCACTTGTAATACCTGCTGCTCAGAAACCCCCGTAGCTTTTAAGTGTCACTCAATTTATTGATTTTTTTTTTTTTTTTTTTTTTTTTTTTTTTTTTTTTTGAGAGCAAGCGAGCATGGAAGAAAAAAGGATAGAAAGATGGAAACATCAATGAGAGAGTGACATTGATTGGCTGCTTCCTGCATGCCACCTACTGGGGACCAAGCCCACAACCTGGGCATGTGCCTCCAACCTCTTGATTCATGGTTGGACACTAAACCACTGAACCACACCATCTGGGCCAAATGTCACTCAATTTAATACTAAAAATACAATGCCTAATTCCCACCCTCATCCTAACCCAGTGTTTCTGAAAATGTTGGCAGACATTAGAACCTGAGAGAAATGCATGCTCCCCCACCCCAACAGAATTAAAAACGTAGGGTGATTCTGGTGCAACTTCATAAAAGAAGTCAGAAGATTTTACTGCTTAGCAGTGGGCCACGGACAGAACAGAACATCAGAATGAATACTGTGCCCCTGCCCTATCTGTGGGCATGGAAAATAGGTATCTTTCTTAGCTCTGCTTCTTTAGTTGCTACAATGTACTGCTCCCCAACATGAACTAGTCACCTTTTTGTTTTTCCCTACTGTTTCAAACTAGTATTAGAACATTTGATTCTGCCAGGAGCAATAAATAGATTTTTCTTTCTTTATGGTTAGTTCCCAGAAATGAATGCTTTGATAATGAGACGGTTCAGTTTGCCAGGAGATGTGGACAGAGCTCGACAATATGTACTACAGGTAAGATCATTAAAAAAGAAAAAAGGCATCAGCAGATACAATGTGGGAAAGTTTTTTTTAACCAAACAAATAACAATAACATTACATTCCAGATACAAGACCAAGTTTAGTCCATTCTTGATTGGACAAAAACTCTTCAGAAGGAAAAACTTGTATAATTCATTTTTTTTCCAGAATTCTTTCCAGTGTTGCTAGTTTAATTGGCCTTGGGTAGGGATTGGACATTCACAGTTTTTGAAAGCTACCCAAGTGATTCTAATGTGTTGAGATCCATTAGTTTGCGACCAGTCTCCCCACATCCATCAGCAGCATGAAGATTCTCCAAGTCACCAGACGTGCCGCCAACCTAGTCCAGGCCCTCAGTAGTATTGCAATCTACTCAAAATTGGCTTTTTCTTACTTTATCCTATGTAACTGCCATAAAGATGTGATTAAAGGTATGTTAACTTAAAAAAACAACGTAGGCACACAACTATTTCACCGTAGGAGCTATAAGCTTATTTCTAATATATTGCCACATATCCTGAGCCAGATCCTGAGCCACATATGTTGAAGCCAGATCTTTCTGAATATTTTAAGTTTTGATGATTATCTTTTAAGAATGAGCTTTTTCTTTTTCCCAAAGTATATGAGATGCTTTAATGTGATTTGAAGATCTTTTCCATTTGTATCATTAGCCAAGTACAGCAGCTACTTTTATATTGTCATGACTTCAGATTTCAAAATCTGAAAATATATAAAGGTAGGCCAAAGTAAAAAAAAAATCAAAGGTATTCCCTACCAACCAAACTTTTTTAATGCAGTAAAATGCTAAGGTAAATTTAAAAAAAAAAAAAAAAAAAAAAGGCAATTGTCCTAGGCACCAGACAATAGAAAGAGATAACAAATGCCCCAATCATGAAGGAGTTGATTATCATGGGGGGACAATTTACTAGTAAGAAGTGAATGCTATAGTCAGATGATAATACAAGTTAACATTTATTGCATAGTTTGAAGTATGCTGCATGTAGCATCTCATCCAAATCTAAAATCACTTGGAACTAGTAGATCTAAGTTAATGAGATGAATCCAGCAATTTTTAGTAAGCAAATGTGGTCTGAGAGCTAAAATTAGTACAATACTTGGAAGAATTCCAAATAATTACCTTAATTTCCAAAAAGCAAAATTCCTCCAAAAGAGTATGTTTCTCTTTTAACTCCCCATACTGTTAAGCATCATAATTTGCTATGGATTACCACCCTTGAGGAGGGTAGTTTGGCAGTACAAAGTCAATATGAGAGGGGGCTGTAGCTGATAAAGATGCTGTGCCTGGGAGAGGATCTGGCTTCAGAAATAACAGTATTACCGAAGGCTTGGGAGAAGTGGGACTAATGACAAATTTATTGTAGCTCTTATTGTAAAACAAGCCTATGCATCAAAGCACCAAGAGAAAAATTCACAACAAATTATCCAATTCTAGCTCCCTTTCCACCCAGAGCTCCTAATCACTGTTCCCTCATTAAATATGAATGGACAACTACCCTGTTTCCCTGAAAATAAGACAGTGTCTTATATTAATTTTTTTCCCTAAAGATGCGCTAGACCTTATTTTCAGGGGATGTCTTATTTTTCCATGCGCTAGGTCTTGTTTTCGGAGGATATCTTATTTTCGGGAAAACACAGTAGTATTTAGTAGGATTACTAAATAACTGATTAAAAGTTTGCTGAATGAAAGGATTAAGATAAACAAAGAAGAAAAGTATAATTAAGGGGATTCAAAAAATAACTGCACTCATAAAACAAGAACAGGATATTTTTAAACAATGAAAAAGAATGAGCTCTGAGAATTTTTAAATGACTGAAAACTAAATCCTAAGAAAAGTAGGAACATGGAATTGAGAAAATCATCCAAGATGTAAAACAGCAAAGGAAGAAAATGAGGAAAGCTCTTAAGAGCATCAGCACAATCCTGTAACAAATACTAGCAGACTGTGAACCCAGCCTTCCAAATAAATGGTAATGAAACATTTTAAACCTACAATTCTATATCTTGTCCAATGACTGAATGCAAGTCATTATCACACTTAAGGACTCAACAGCTTGCTTCTAATATCCATTTTCTGGGTAAGTTATTTGTTGATGTATTTTAGCAAAAGTGTGAAAATCCCAAGAGGAAGAAATTAATTCTAAAACGATGAACCCAAGAGTTCAATAAAAAGTTATCCTGCAATGGAAATTGTACAAGAGCTATACACATACACACACACACACAAGTATATATGTAACAAACAATGATTAAGGAATGAGAAATTTGAGCTCCATTGCCAAAGAGAAAGAAAAGGAGGCAGTTACATTTGCAAATGTATTTTTATAGTGCAGTAAGGCATAGCCAATTAAAATGTGTCACTTTGTGTCAGTGGTAGAATATAGAAAATCAGAGGTCTTTAACATGTGAGGAATATTCTACTCAGTGACAGAGGCATCATAAACTGGGAACCATGGAGAAGGGAATAAAATTGCTGACCTGATCACACTATACCCATTTTTATATAACGGAAATGTAAGCTTTCGATAATGTAAAGTGTGTGCAACTTTTAAGAAAAAAAACAACACATGGTTACAAAATAGAATGCAAACCTGTATGTAGTGTTAAGGTACAGTTCAAAGTGGAAAGAATGGGCCTGGCCACTGTGGTTCACTGGTTTAGCACCAACCTATGAACCAGGAGGTCATGGTTTGATTCCTGGTCAAGGTACATGCCTTGAGTTGTGGGCTCAATCCCAAATGGGGAGGGAGTGTGCAGGAGGCAGCTGATCAGTGATTCTGTCTCATCGCTGATGTTTCTACTCTCCCTTCATCTCTGAAATAATGGAAAAAATGGGAGCACTGGTTTCCTCACCTACACTAATAAATAATAAACTTTCATCTACTCACTACTGTAAACCTTCTTTTGCCCCACCCTACCCTGTATAATCAAATGTGTAGGTTAAATCCTCATCTTTCTTAGCATATAGGCAATAGTTAACAACTAATATTGATAATTAAATTTTAAAAATAACGATAAAAAAGCTGGTGTCTTTAGAAGAGAACTCAGCTCTTGTGTACATTTTTATAATGTATATATTTTTTAACTTTCACAAGATTTTTTTCATTTAAAAATGTATTGTATAGATATTTTATAACTTTTCTAAAAAGTTCTAGTATTTAAAAACAGATGACTAAGGAACTGGGAGGAAAGGGATGGAAATGGGAGATAACTAGTACTATCAATCAACAATAAAAATATCCTATCTAATACAAGGGTGATATGCAAATTAACTGTCACTCCACCCATAGCCCCAAGATGGCAGCACCCAGTCTTCTCAGCACCAGCACCACCACACCCAGAGTCCCCCTCTCTGGGGGGGGTCGGGGGGAGGGAGAGCTACTGAGAGAGGGCAGTGTGAGCAGCCTGGCAGAATGTTTACTTTACCATGGCGACAAGGCAAGCATTCCACCTCAGCCTCCGAGGGCCTCTGGGCAGCAGGCACAGAGCGGCCAGATTCCACAGAGAGCTACTGGTGCACAGATTCGTGTGCAGGGCTACTAGTATTTAAAAAAGGAAAAGGAAAATAGATGGCTACTTGATATTAATGAATTACTTTGTATGCTAATAGAGTAAAAATTTGCTTTAATCAGAGAAAAGGGCCTAAAAGAATTAGGCAGGGAAAGCTAGAACAGTGAGTTCAAACACAGAAACATAGTTTGGCTATTAACTAAAAATATTATCTCAAAATAGTTTTTAATTCATTATAATGAACTTAAGAGCTAATCCAGGAGGTAACACACATCTGTTCTGTTTCTTCCTGTTTTTCATAGAGTGATGGTGTGCAGCAAACAACCTACCTCGCCCAGCACTACTGCCACGAAGCAGTGAGAGAGATCAGTAAACTTCGACCATCCCCAGAAAGAGATGCCCTCATACAACTCTCAGAAACTGTACTCACAAGAGATAAATGACAAGTCTTTCTGTTATTTCTGGCAGCTATTTTACCAGATTGTGCCTAAAGAATTTTGTGGAATATACTTTGCTTCATGTGCACATAACCAAAAATCATTTTAAAAAGTCATTTCAACCTTAATGATGGGCAATTATTTTATTAGCAAAGTTTTTCAGAAAAGTTTTAAAATAATTAAATCATTTAAAACTGTTATTCTAGCCCTGTAAATTCTAATTGAGGCATCTTGATGGTTATATGTGGTATTGTTTACACTGTTAATAGTCACATGTAAAGCCATTAACCAAATAAATAAGGTTAAAATTCAAATGTGTATCTTGTTTCACCATAGAGTAAATGTCAGAGAACTGTGAAGTCTACATTTCAATCAGCATCCAAAATTTCATATGAGAGAATGGTTTATTATAAAGACTGCGCATCAAATTTAGATGAGTTATATACAAAATTAAGAGAACATTCCACCTGGAAAAAATGAAATGAAAAATGTAGCTATCTGATCACTAGTGATACTGAAATCATGTTTAAAATTATCAAGGCAAAATGCATATGCAACAGTCACATTGATTTGGTAGCAATAGCCTTTAACTCTCAGAAATAAACTGTTTTGCACTAGTCTTACCATTTACTATGCTATTATAGTCTGTAATGCTCAGTACATAAACTGTAATTTGAAATTCCTCAATACACAGAAACCCACATTTGAGCACTCTATTTTAATATCCTAGGCAATACAGAATTGTACACAAGATAAAATATCCCTCTAAACCTCCCTTAAATTAAGAGGAGACACACAAAGTGCCCGTGTTGCAGTTCAGTTACATAAAAAAAAAAAAAAAAAAAATCTGTTGGTCAGGTATATCCCAATTCACTGATTAATATATACCCAGTTTTTCTCAAATTACTTTAAAAATCTTTATATTTCTAATACCAGTTAATGAATTAAATAGTGCCTATTCAAAAATCAATTGCATCCACTTATACAAAACAGTATGTAAAAGGTACTTGTAATTTCCTTTCATTGAAGAACAGTCCACTGGAAAACTGAAGGACTAATAACAGCAATCCTTAAGAATTTTACCCATAGAAGTGAATACTTTTACACATTTTCTTAGTTCTGAAAAAAAATTACTTTAGAAAAGCAACTAAGTAGATTGACTTGTAAATAACTTCCAGATTTTAAATCTTCAAAAATTAGTCACATTTGATATTGGGACAGGTTGAGATAAGGTTGAAGCTCATATGTTAAGAAAATAGAACAATAATTCTGCAATAAATCAGTATCTTTTATTTATTTTTTTTAAAAACAAATCAGTGAAGGAAAGGACAAAAACCTTTGGTTCACTTATGTATCTGTGAGTGGAAAAAATTTATAATGCAAATTCACTCATTAAAAAACTTAGTTACAAATTACAACATTAACAGATAACCCTTTTTTGTTTGTTTTGTTTCACATGGAAACCTTAGAGACTCGAATCATTTCAAGAGACCTAAGTACGAGTACTCCAAGAAAATATCACACAAATTGGAAGCATCCTGGATTTTTAAGAAGTATATTTCAATAATTAATTTGTATGCATGCTTTAAACAAATAGTTATAGTTCAAGAATGAGTCTAAACAAAAGGTATGACCAGCACCCAGCATTTAAGTTTCTTATTTTAATATTAGTCTGACATAGCATTAGTAACCATGCTGCACTGAAACAATGGTACAATCTGAATCATGATTTGTTAAATATTATACCCCAGAACCCCAGAACATTTAAGCTGGTCATAAAGTTAACATTGTGTAAGTATATAAGCATAAATAGTTATGGACAGCCGCTTGTATAAATTGCTGTTTAGCAATACACAAACTGCCTCAAAGATTTATGCTTACAAGGTAGACATTCAATTACATCAATAAAACAGCATGTCCTGAAAATATGGGCACATTTTAAGACAGTTTTGTTAACCATTAATTAGTCCCACAGTATGACTGAATAATAAGAACCTACTTTAAAAGCAAAAAAATTTAATCAGTATAGTGCATGATTGATTCAACATAGTTCCCGGGGAACAGACCAGTCACTCGATTGCAGACTCCTTCATACCAGCCATCATCATTCTTCTTTATTACATAAATGATTGCACCCTCCATAAATGACAGCTCATCATCCTTGTCTTTTGTATAATCATATATTGCCACAACTATGGAAAAAAGAGTTGAAATAAGTGAATGCACTATATCCAACATAATGTGAATTTTAAAATGTAATGCTAATTAAATCTATAGTATAGCAAAACCAACTCTTTATGAATACTTTTTTTTCTAATATTTTATTGATTTTTTACAGAGAGGAAGGGAGAGGGATAGAGAGTTAGAAACTTCGATGAGAGAGAAATATCAATCAGCTGCCTCCTGCACACCCTCTACTGGGGATGTGCCCGAAACCAAGGTACATGCCCTTGACTGGAATGGAACCTGGGACCCTTCAGTCCGCAGGCCGATGCTCTATCCACTGAGCCAAACCAGTCAGGGCATTATTCTTAACTCTTACATCTATAAATATGGCTAACCAGTGGTTAACCATGTACCTAAATCAATAACTTGATTTTAGGGCCAAACTGACTTGATTAGACTAGACAAAAGAATAGTTTCTACCAATCTATTTAGGGAAGATCTCTGAATTTTAAGGGTTTATTAGATATTTCAGTTCATTTGTTCAAATATCTACTAAGTGCCAACAGTATACAAAACAATTTTTCACAATAACAACTAGGCAGTAAAGCTGCTTAACCAATCATTAAACCAGATATCTAATTTGAAAATACACATACCTGGAAATAAATCTCATCCTGCTCATCTAAGGAAAATATTCATATAATTTATGGGGCTATATTTAGAATATTTTTACACAGTACTTTAAAGATCAGGATTTTTTTAAGGGGAAATAACTGAGTAAAGATGCATTAATTAAGACTGAGAAAACTATTTGTAATTCTATAGTATTTGTGATTATTTTGAGTTCTAAATATTCACTTTCTTTGCACAGTATCATAGGAAAAAAAGGCATAAAAATTATTCTAGTTTCCTAAATTACTGGTTCATAAGTTTAATTATTCCTTCATTCTGCCTTCAGAGCATAATGATGCTGAAATTATATGTACTTTTCTAGTAAATGTGAAATGAATTTTTTTCATTGATTTCCCTTGTGTAGTTTTTCTTAAAATGCAGAGTTCTTAAAACATTTGAGATTTTCTAGAACTTATTTTTCCACCAAAAAAGATGGTTAGTCCCCACAATTATTTTGAATTAGGGAATTACAATAAGAGACTTGACGTACTAATTGATACCCTGTTTCCCCGAAAATAAGACAGTGTCTTATATTAATTTTTTCTCCCCAAGTTACGCTAGGTCTTATTTTCAGGGGATGTCTTATCTTTCCATGCGCTAGGTCTTATTTTCGGGGAAACATGGTATCATTTGCTAAATTAAAATAGGCAATCTTCTCTCCTCTTTACAAAACACTGTATTAGTAACTCAACAAGTCTATTTTAATCCTGTAGCAGAATCATAGTATTGTGATTACAAGCTCACTGACATATAAAGTTGATTTTAAAACTCCTCAAACATAAAGTATAAATAATATTAAATTATTATCCTGGTATTATTTTTGTCTTAACCCTCTCCAAAGGAATTGATTGACTGCTAGCTATAGTAAAGAAAATAATGTAATAATTTGAAAGTAAACTATTAATTAGTCCATTAATATTTCTTATTTATGGTTTACTTTTGATAACATTAATCTCTTTATATTCAGAGTCATAATGAATTAATTTTTTTAAAAATATATTTTATTGAGTTTTTAAAGAGAGGAAGAGAGAGGGACAGAAAACCAGAAACATCGATGGGAGAGAGACATCGATCAGCTGCCTCTCGCACAGCACCCCCCCCAGTGGGGTATGCCGGCAACCAAAGCACATGCCCTTGACCGGAATCGAACCTGGGACCCCTCAGTCCACGGGCCAATGCTCTATCCAATTTCATTGATACTTAAGAGTTAAATTTGCTTTCCAACCCAGAAATATGAGTAAAAACACAACTCAAGACTACTCAAGTTTATCACTCTCATAATAACCACAACTTATTTCTTGTTTGTTTGTTTGTTAATCCTTACCTGAAGATATTTTTCCATTGATTTTTAGAGAGTGGAAGAGAGAGGGAAAGAGAGAAAGAAACATCCATGTGAGAGAAACACATCGATTGGTTGCCTTCTGCACAAGCCCTGACCAGGGCCTCGGCCAATGAGAAGCCTGAAACTGAGGTACATGTACTTGACTGGTATCAAACCCGGGACCCTTCAGTCCAAAGGCCAACGCTCTATCCACTGAGCCAAACCAGCCAGGGCAGATCACAACTTATGTCTACTTGAACGTACATAAAAATCTTAATGGAAAGTAGAATATTCAAGACTTCCTGAACTACATGCAGAATATTTACTCTTAAAAAATATAAAAAAGGAACATAGGAAATTTATTTTTAGCTATGTATTTAAAACTTGGGCAGAGAGAATGGAACAGGTCTCAAGAGCTACAGCTACTTGCTTAAGATCAGTTAATCCAATATAAGCAATGGAAGGCAATACATTTCAAATGTGATCAACTAAACTAGTATTTTTCGAACACTATACAAATTCAGAATTTTAAATAACACGTAATTAGATTAAAAAAAAAAAAAGCAAAATCTCTAAAAACAGGATTTTTTTTTCCTACACACTGTTTCTTTAAAGATAATTAAGGTGACCGTCAGGTAAATTTGGACATTGGAATTATACATAATTTCATGATATAAAATTCTAGTGATTATCTTCTCTTTTATAAGATCAACTAATGAAACTTAATTAAAAGCTTGTTCTCATAATAATCCCAGATTTTAAAGTATTTAGATATAAAAGATTTCTATTTTTATGTTTAGTACTTAGAAATTTGGTTTTAAATATTTACTAATTATATGACTAGAACTAGTAAATCATTTCACTCCTTTTTTGTGTGATTTAATTGCTTCATCTATACAATGCAGACAAACAAGTTAATCTCCAGCTAGAAGCATTTATGTCATTTGAAAAAGTATACCTAACATTATAACATACTTTTAATTTAAAATATAAAGAATCCTCTCTTCAGATTGGAAATGTATAGGAAATAAGGTTTAAGTATATTATCTTGACTAGTAAAGTTATCCAAAAGGTTGTGAAACACTGGATTAAATGTTCTTCATAGCTCTAAATTATATAATTAAGTTGTTTTCCTTTACTCTAATAGATGATTCTACCTTACCTTTCTCAATATAATTCTTAGGGGCCCAAGCAGGATCCCCATCTGCATATGGGTCATTATACTGAACTACTGCAGCCTCCTCATCTTCATAATCCACTGGAGGCGGTGGTGGCGGAGGTGGAGAGTCATCAAACATAGGAATGTCATCTGGTGGAGGTGGTGGTGGAGGAGTTGGACTATCAGCAACTAGAAAAAATTCAGATAACTTGAGTTAAAAAATGAGACTAAATGTAAATTCATAAATTAAAAGAATTTAAGAAAGCTTTAACTCATATAAAGCATGCACTATAGTAAAACATGCAAGATTAGAAATAAAAGCTTGTGTGTTAAAGCTTCCACTATTCAAGAATAATTTTGCTATAATAAAATGAGCTAAAAATAAAGGTGTTAGGAAGTACTACAAATTAATGGATGCAGGTTAGGAAACTATCTCTTCATAAAAGATTACAGGAGTAAAGAAGTTTCCTTATTCCAAGGCTCAGGTCAAAACAACTGTCACTCTTTAGTTAGTTTAACTCCTTAAATAAACCTACTATGTCACTTTGTCATTTGGACTACAGTAAACATTATGAATAACATTACATTAACGGTCTGATGGCTATTCATTGTGAATATTCATGCCCTTGATTTTAGCTTAAATATCTTTAGTTGCCCAGAAATAAGTTTCCAGTGGGTAGACATTTATTTTGTTTGTCTTAAGGGAGAAAGAAAAGTTGGTAGTATTAGGTCTGCTCTATGTATAGGTTTTTTATTCTTTCATGTAAATTTTAACAAGAAAAAATTAAATTTTAAAAAATTAATTCTCAACTAGTAGAAAATGTCTTCAAGTGTTTTTTTTTTTTAATGTTTGTACTCATAATCAACTTTTTAAATATAGAAATCAATCTAAGATTTTTGCCTTATTGCTAGTAAAATATAAACATAGATAAGGGGAGGTCAAAATCCTAAAGATCTAAGAATACATCCACAACAAAGATTTTAAAAGTAAAGTTTTGTGGTAATAAGGTAATTAAAACAAACAAATACACAGAAAGTAACGTATCATTCAAAACAATACAACAAACTCATACCTTCAATTCTAGATGGTTGTGGTATGTGTGTGTAATTTAAATAATCAAAAGTGTAAATGGTAAAAAGTAGAGGCTAGAACTATGTTCATTGAACTATTATGAAACCAAGTAACAAATGCTCCCAACATTAAGGAATTCAAAACTGGAACACAACTAACTCTAAATTTAAATTTTTATCCACACATTTCTTTAAAAGTTAAAGACATATGAAAGTGTTCTGATACAAATTAATACAGGAATTACATAATATCTGCAGAAAAGAAATTCAGAATACCAGTATACTAATCTAAATACCAATTTCTAAGGCTATTTTTATTTTATTAAAAAAAGGAATCATAATCTATCTGTAATACAGGTTTTAAAGTTTACTCCACTCTATTTGGAATAATCTGCTGATAATATAACCAAAGGATTAAGATTTAAAACATTTGCAGATTAAATAGCCGTATTTCCACTTCAATGCTGTGAATTTCTATTTTATCCTGTTGATGAATGAACAAGGCTATTAGAAAATAAGCCTTGTGTGATAATGCTCATTCTGTAATGTTTATAACTTATTTTTCCACTGAATGCTTGGATCTATTTTATTTTTGCCCACAAATAGCCCTTAAAGTTCTCTATTTCTATTGTGGGAGACAACCAATCAATGTGTTTCTCTTACACAGATGTTTCTCTCTCTCCCCTTTTCCCCCTTGCATTCTACTCTCTCTCTAAATGGAAAAAATATCCTCAGGTGAGGACTGAATTTAAATAAACAAACAAATTAATAAATTTAAGATACTGGTGATACAGTTTCTCAACAATCTTCCTAACATGCTTTCAAAGAAAACAGATGGCAAATAAAGTTGAGCATTCTGCAGCACTAAGACAATGACTGACTCAAGTTCATCTGTTTAGTGAAAGGACTAGACTAGTACCATCAGGCCTCTTCAGCAAAGGCCAGGCATACCTAGAATAATGTACATTAATTCTGAATTTCTATTTAAAGTTACCAAAGAGCTTTGATCACACTAAATAGTTCATTATGGTTATTTTTAAATAGTTCCTAAAAATTCTTGGCTGTAAGGCAGTTCAAAAAGTTTAACTGGCTTCATTTTTAAACTCTTACAGCATGAAAGACCAGCAATTTACTCTTATTCACTTATTATTAAAAATAAGATTCACTTGCCGAGACCGGTTTGGCTCAATGGATAGAGCGTCGGCTTGGGGACTGGAGGGCCCGGGTTCGATTCCGGTCAAGGGCATGTACCTTGGTTGCGGGCATATCCCCAGTAGGGGGTGTGCAAGAGGCAGCTGGTCGATGACTCTCTCTCATCGATGTTTCTAACTCTCTATCTCTCTCTCTTCCTCTCTGTACAAAATCAAATAAAATATATTTAAAAAAAAAATAAAATAAAAATAAAAATAAAAATAAGATTCACTTATTTATATATATTTAAACACAGATTTCAAAGTTGATTTGCACTCAGAAATTTAAATATTTTGAAACTATAATGTTTTATAAAATGTCCATTAAATCATACATTTCTTATAGGTAGGGACTCTGTCTTAAACTATTTGTATTCTTCCCAAAGACTAACACATAACACTAAGGTTCACAATTATTTGACTGGAGGAATGGAGGAAATAACACAAAAGGGTCAGCAGAAGCTGAACAATGAAAGTTGTCACAATGTACTCACTTGAAAGACTGGTTGATCAAATGTGTTACAAATTTGTTCACACCATTCTGAGACTTATTTGGATGGTGATGGTCCCTAATAAAGTAAATTACTACTTGACCACCTTACCATCTTAATCTTAATAGCTATTTTGGCCTAATAAAATTTGTGATAGTGGTATTCTTCATTTGGTCAAATAACATTCACTATGATCGTGTGACTATAATTATACATCTTCCAAAACCTTAAAGTAATCAGACAGCAATATAAACTATCTATTCTAATTAAATCCATATATTTAAAAGAATTCCCAGAATTCCCTGACCTTCCTTCACAGAACCCCTAAAAAAAAGAAAGATGACAGATTTGCATATTCATAAATAATCCCCATGGGCCTGCAGGTAGCTAGCCAAAACATGAAGAGGGCTCTATAATGACAATCACTCAGATGAATACATATCGTAAACTGTAATTTACTTATTCCTGCATGCATATTCATTCTTATCCTAACAATGAATCTTTATATGGATTAAAAATTACTCATGTATCAAAATCTAAGGATGATTACAAAGCCTTCTCCAAAAACTTTTCGTAACTAAAAAAACCAACAAACCTGTCCCAATTATGTAATAAACAAAATCTCACAAAACAATAGATGAATTTGAATACCAAATGTTTTCTTTCTAACTAATTCTTCTAATAATTATTGGCACCTAGTAGTTTCCTTTGTGTTTGATTATACTTTCCTTAAGAATCTGCAAAGATCAGATTTCATGTTTTAGATCATATAAATACCTAAGAGAGTTGCAGTTTTGAAATTTACATAGGTCAGTAATCATGCACACAAGAGAAAAAACTAAAGATCGTGCTCTTCAGTTTCAATATCATAGCTGCACCTATTTTCAAGGTAAGATTAGCTTCTCAGTAAAAGTAAGGAAAATGATGACTCATCAGCCATGCATGCTATAAGGAGACAGCCTCTACCCTTTACAGCTCCGTTTTTTGAAACTTACTGTTTTCCTGCACCCTGGCCACGAAGCCTGTGAGAGGTATCTGTGGAGTCAACTGAGGCATAGGGGGAGGGGGTGGAGCAATAGAAACTGATAACAACAACATAGTATGGGGGAAGTAAAACAGGTAAAGGAAAGAAAAGGAAACAAAAAGCAGAAGTCAGTTACAAGGACCACAAACATAAGTATGCAAAGAACAGTTTGCAAATGAAACAAAACAAAAACAAAACAAAAACCTGCAGAACCTTCAAGTTCATTACAAAAGAGAAAATCTAAAGCTGAGTTGTGCTTAGCCAACTGGTTAATTTTATTGGGGAAAGAAAAAAAACTTCTAACTTAATCCTAATCATATGGTTTGGGAGAGAATTAAATTTACCCTCACATTCACTTTCATGCAATGAAAACTTCAAATTTTAAGAAAAGACTTTAGCCCTAGCCCGTTTTTCTCAGTGGATATAACTGAAGAGTCCCAGGTTCGATTCCAGTTGAGGGCACATGCCAGGGTTGCCAGCTCCAGCCCCAATAGGAGGCATGCAGGATGCAGCCATTCAGTGATTCTCATCATTGTTTCTATCTCTCCCTCTCCCTTCCTCTCTGAAATCAATAAAAAATATTTTTTAAACTAAAAAAAAAAAAACAAAACAAAAAAACGGCAACAACTAAAACAAAACAGTTAACAGTGAATACTGATAGCATTTTCTAGGATATTGTATTTTTGCCATATTTCTATCATATAACATACAGGCTGTTCTAGCTTTAGGGTAATATTGTTAATTAGAACCCAAGTGTGTTAAGAAACAGATATTTATTCCACATATAAGTAACTATATCAATCACAGTTTTCTTTTAAAGAATCCTTATTTTATAAATTTATACATACCTAGCTCTCTAGGAAAAACCTTTGTTTGTAAAACAAGTTTATTATTACCTTTTAAGTTGACATTTTTAAAGACATCACTCCTAAATTTACTATATCCCACACTAATTTTTGCTGAATTTCAAAGAATAAGGAATCTCTCAAAAGTGACCTCCTTTCTTTTTATCACTGTTCTGATAAAGAAAACCTGGTCTTGCCGAAGCCTGTTTGGCTCAGTGGTAGAGCGTCGGTCTGCGGACTGAAAGGTCCCACTTTCGATTCCTGTCAAGGGGAACCATGTACATTGGTTGCGGGCACATCCCCGGTAGGGGGTGTGCAAGAGGCAGCTGGTCGATGTTTCTCATCGACGTTTCTAGCTCTATATCTCTCTCCCTTCCTCTCTGTAAAAAATAAATAAACTATATTAAAAAGAAAAAAAAAAAAAAAAGAAAAAAAAAAACCTGGTCTAACAATACTTTAAAATAGGCAATTATTTGCACGTAAGTAATTTCTAACAAATCATTAGTAGCTGGGAAAATATTCTAACTTCTTTCTAAAGGACATAATTTACAAGAAATAAATACTAAGTGTTCATGTGGGCAGCAAACATTGTAAAAATTATTAGCAAACTAAAAAAATTAAAATAAATAGCCAAAACCGGTTTGGCTCAGTGGATAGAGCATCGGCTTGGGGACTGAAAGGTCCCGGGTTCGATTCCGGTCAAGGGCATGTACCTTGGTTGCGGGCACATCCCCAGTAGGGGGTGTGCAAGAGGCAGCTGATCGATGATTCTCTCTCATCAATGTTTCTAACTCTCTATCTCTCTCTCTCTTCCTCTCTGTATAAAATCAATAGAATATATATTTTTTTAAATTAAAATAAATAAAAGGAAATATACATACATATGTTTACCATTTTGCCTCATAACAAGACAGTAATTGCCAAAGATTGCTCAAAAAAGTCAATAGCAATAGATAATAAAATTCAGTTTACTAGTAGTCACAACAAGTGACAATAAATTGACAGAGAAAAACAATTTATTGGTTCCCAAAGATCATTTAATTAATCCAAGTTAAAAATTAGTAAGTGTAAAAATTTGAGAGGTTCAGTGTTTAAAGAAGCAATAATTTAAAGCAATTAACATTCATTGTGGGGCTAAAAATAGCATTTAATTCACTGATGTTGGTCCTTGTCCTTCTGATACTTTGTATATAGAAGGCACTTCAATGAATAAAATGTTACAGTTTATTATTTTTAAATACTCCCACATGTTTATTAGGTGATTTTTTTCTTCTAGAAATGGCCATGCTGGTTAGTATGTAAAGAAAAAGAAAAGCTTTGCTGTGAAGATACTAATAATTACCATCACATTTAGAAAGAAGAGGAAATATGCACATCAAAACACTAAAAACATTTACATCTACTATTACAACATCAACAGTAATTGAGACTGAAGAATGATTAATTTGACAACACATAATATTTTTAAAATTTGAAGCTAAACTTACTTTACAATATCCTAAGATAGACATTCAGCAATAAAATGTCTTGTCTGCAAATAAACAACCTTCCCCAGTACTGTTAAATAAAACTACACCATCATATATTATGTGAAGTCACCAAAAACCCTATTTGCAGAGTAAATTTAAATGTCCAACTGAGAAAAAGAAAAAGATAAACATAAAGACAGGTTCTAAAAGTGCAGTGTAAAATGAAAAATGTTTATAAAACTAGTGAGGTTAACAATCAAGATAATATATGGAATATTCAGTCACTAGGTACCTTTCACTACCAAAGGAGACAAGGGAAAATATGAGGTAAAATTCTAACTGATAAAGTATTTTAGTCTTTTAGATGAGAATGTCTAGAAAGAAAAGAAAAAGAAAAAAAAGAAAGAAAGAAAACTAGACATTTTAGGGTTATCTATAAATTCTGACATTTTTGCAAAAGTGGTATTCAATTCATATGAGATTTTTTTTTTTGCTATAATACAATTAACCTTTAACTCTAAAATTCAAACAAACAAAAAAATCTCAATAATGTAACTTTTCCCAGCTCTGCTTTAAAATACATATTTAGGCTGTAGCTGGTTGGCTCCATGGATAGAGTGTTGCCTGTGAATTGAAGGGTCCCGGGTTCGATTCCAGCAAGAGGCACATGCCTGGATTGCAGGCTCGATCCCCAGTATGGGGTGTGCAGGAGGCAGCTGATGAATGATTCTCTCTCATCATTGAGGTTTCTATCTCTCACTCCCTCTCCTTCCTCTCTGAAATCAATAAAAAATACTTTAAAAAAAAACATGTTCAGAACATGCACTATAAATAAAAAGAACTTAAACCAACTTCCTATGTTAACATGAAATATTAAGTGTTTTTTTAATTTTCTTTAATACTTCTTTATTCTTGTATTAGAGTTTACATACAATATTACATGTTTTAGGTTTACAACCACATGATTAGATATTTATATCACTTATGTAGTGATCACCCCAATAAGTCTAGTACCCATCTGATACCATATATAGATAGCTATTACAATACTAGAGGCCCAGTGCATGAAAATTCACGCACTGGAAGGGGGGTCCCTTAGCCTGGCCTGCCCCTCTCACAGTCCCGGAGCCCACAAGGGCGGAAGGTGACCAGATGACCAGTGGAAGGCGATGCTCCCATCACACCTCTGCCACTGCCGGGAGCACAAGCCTCGGTCGGCCCTTGTTACCTGAGCCTTAGGCAGTCCTGGGCAGCTGGGCAGCCACCATCCAAGGCTTGCTTGCACCTCAGCCATTGGCTGGACAGCCAACATCTGAGGCTTGCCTGCGCCTCGTGAGTCAGCAAGGCAGCCGACGTTCGAGGCACAGGTAAGTCTTGGGCTGGCCCTGGGCCACTGGGAAGCCAACCATCCGAGGCTTGCCTGTGCCTCAGGCCAGCCCTGGACGTTGGAGGGGCTGAGGGTACTGGGGGACTACAGAGGCAGGCATGTGTAGCAGGTCCAGCCATGCCTAGGGTCTGCCACCCCGGCAGGGCTGAGGGGACTAGGCACCACCATCTTGTGGCTATGGACACCACCACCTTTGTGAGGGTGTGACGGACAATTAGCATATCCCCTCTTTATTAGATATGCTAATCCCCTATCTGCTTCACATCCCCCAAGACTGTTCTGTAACTACCAATTTTACACAGTGTTTTCTAAGTCAACCTATAAAACATGCAGTTCTAGAAAGAAGCTACAAAAGCTCTACAGGGAAAGTGTGTTTCAGTCTAGTCCAGTGATCATCCTTCAAACCAATAACAAATACTGGATAATAGGCTCATTTCAGATCTGTTTTTCCTTTTTTTGGATTAAGCATGTTGATATGGAAAATGAAATTAATAACTACAAGCAATTCAAACTCCCTGGCATCATATGCCCAAACTGTATCCTAATCTTATCAGATTTTAAACATTGATTGCAGTTAGTATTGAGATGTGCAATTCAAGGTGAAGAAGAAAATTCTTTAAAATCTTCTCCACTGTTACAATTATTCAGAGACATAATAAGCAAATATCACTAACTTTTTTAATGGTTTTTAATTCATTTCAATATAGTTTAGCAAGCTTAAAAGTGATAGCCAGCAATTTTTTGTTATTTAAAAGAAAAATACTCACAATGTTTTAAATTCTCTTTTTATTGAACAGCCTCATATATGCCAATAAAAATAAATTCAATTTAGTTTTTCTTCTCTAGTTCTATTTATAACAAAAATATCATTTTAAAGCATCAGTTCAATTTTGGTATAAAGTACACTAAGCCTGAATTATTTGAGCAAAAATGATAAGCAATTGTTTTTTAAATAGTATGATTCAAGAAACAATTAAATAAATATAAAGTGGCATGGTTTCAATTGTTGTCTATCACTGGCAAAATAACAATTTCAAATAAGTTCCCTCAAAAGGAGCTCAGTGGTGCTGTATGCCTGCAAAGCACAAGCTTACTTGAATTCTGAGAATAAAGTGGACCTCCATTAACATGAGGCTGAGCAGAAAATTGAGCAGTCACAGAGGGAGTTCGTCTGTATCCACCAGAAGATGTCGAGGAAGTAGTAGAGTTGTGTCGAGATATCTGCCTGGTCATTGTGCCATACTGGGAACCAGGAGCTGAGCCCGGGGCCACTGAAAAGCATTAGTCAAAGGCAACCAACAAAGAATTTGAGCATTGCATATCACCTCCAACAGCAGAACAAAGAGAGGAGGACTCACAGTAAGAAATATTTATTATTTTTAAAGCCCATAGCAAAAATAAAGAGAAAAGTAAAGATAAAATACAAATAGCTCCATCTCTGAAGAAGGAAAAACAGATAGTGTGGGAAGCTGCAAAAGTAAATAAAGTTACATTCTTAAGCCATTTAATTTAGCATAATCCCTAACATTTTGCTAAAATTATTCATAATTTTTTCCTGTATTATTTTACAACACACAAATTTTGTATGTAAACTTGGAGGCCTGGTGCATGAAAATTCATGCACTGGAGGGGTAATGGGTCCCCCAGCCCGGCCTGCACCCTCTGACAGTCCAGGAGCCCTCAGGAGCAGGAGGTGACCCAGCCATCAGGGGAAGACAACGCTCCATCACACCTCTGCTGTTGCCGCTGCTGGCAGCGCAAGCCTCAGCTGGCCCTGGTTACCTGAGCCTTGTGCGGCCCTGGGCGTCTGAGCAGCCACCATCCAAGGCTTGCCTGTGTCTCAGGTGGCCCTGGGTGACTGGCAGGATGAGAGGATTAGGGAACTCTGGAGGCGGCGGGCCTGGCCTTGACACACACCTGCCGCCCCAGGAGGGTTGAACAGACTGGGCGCTGCCATCTTTGAGGGCAGGGCAGATAATTAGCATATTCCCTCCTTATTGGCTATGGGTGTTGCCATCTTTTGTGATGGCATGAGAGTCAATTAGCATATTCCCTCTGTATTGGATAGGATTTTGTCTCTAACAAAATATGTACCAAAGGATAGTCTGAAGTAGAAAGCGTCAGCTTTTAAATGTGAATATAGCCGAAACCGGTTTGGCTCAATGGATAGAGCATCGGCTTGGGGACTGAAAGGTCCCGGGTTCGATTCCGGTCAAGGGCATGTACCTTGGTTGCGGGCACATCCCCAGTAGGGGGTGTGCAAGAGGCAGCTGATCGATGAGACTCTCTCATCGATGTTTCTAACTCTATCTCTCTCCCTTACTCTCTGTACATATATATATTTAAAAAAATAAATAAATAAAATAAAATAAAATAAATGTGAATATAGTAACATTTGATTTACAAAGTTCTTCCTTTCCAGCCAAATCCAGGTTAAATTATAAAATTTAAAGAGTTATGTTTATTTTCCACATATTGTAATAAAATACATCAACAGTTATCAATACATATTATAGTAAAATCACTTTTAAGGAAAGTACAACTTCTAGTTTCAAAGCTCTTATAGAAATCCATTCTCTTTCTCTATACTTGGAGGTTTTTTTCTCCATACTACACTCAAAGCAATCTTTTGTATAAAATTATCATGCATATCTAAACTTACTAAAGTATTAATAATGCTTAATATTTTATTCAGTCATCTTGACCAACATTTCAAAAGTTTAATATTTAAGAGGTTAATAAAAAAGTTCAAAGCCTCTAAAGTTAACTATACTTTCCAAAGCTTGGGATAACAGTATCATTTTCTTGCCTGACCTAAACATCTAACCGTGACTATGTAAGAAGACAAGATCCTAATTTATTTTCATTCAGTTGCCTAATTTAACCTCCCCTAGAGGTGATAAAAGTTATTAAGTAAAACTGTATAGCAGAGGTTGTTCATTAAAAGTGCTAATATTTAACATTTTGGAACTCCCAAGACATAGGCAGTCACTAATTATTTGAATCATCCACATTGTCATTTTTGAAACAGAAACACATTTTTAAAATAATAGTAGATCCAAAAGCTTTTTATGAATAACCCTGGACAACTAGATTTTCTAAATAGAAAGCTAAGAAGCCTGAAGCTAATTTTAATAGAATCCTCATTAAAATGATTTATATATTTCTCTGCCTATATAAAAATGTATGAAATCCAAGTTTTTTTCTTATTGATTTAAAACCCAAAACCAATTTTTTCAGAAGTTCCAAACTATGCCTTTTTAGAATCTATTTTAATATTTTATTACAAAATAAACCATAATGCCAAAGGGTATATGATTGATATACCTATGTATATATCTGTTATATAAATTATACATATACATACATATATGCAAATGGTATATGCTAATGTTATATAATATTTGTAATGATTATATATAACTATTTATATAAGTACACATATAATTTTTTAAATAAAATAAAATAAATACCCTGCTTCAAGAAATAGAATATTACTAGTATCACTGGAGTTTCCTGTATATCCCCTCTGGATCCACAACTCCAAAAGGTATGTGTTAAACATTCTATTTCTTTACTATATATAGCTTTAAAAAGAATCACAGATATAGAATCTTAAATAATATACAGAGATTTTGCAAATTTATAAATATTTATAATAAAATAATTGTGTATTCTGCTGGCTTGCGCTTTTCCTTTGATATTTTAAAAAATTCAGCCATGTTGATAAGTATATCAATATATTATTAATTCTTATAGCTACATTCACATGTAAATATCCACAATTTATCCATTCCATTACTAGGCATTTTGGTTACATCCCAAGTTTTGCTAATCTTAATAATGCTACTATGAACCATACTAAATATGGTTCTTGAGTTTTTCTAGAACAATGGTTCTTAAACTTGAGTACTGATCAGAACTGCACCTTGAAAGCTTCTTATAATACAGATTGCTGGGCTCTAGTCCTCAGAGTTCTAAGTAAGTCTACATGGGACCTGAAAATTCACATTTCTAACAAATTCCCCCAGTGATGATGCCGTTATGCTGGGTGTCACACTCCAAAAGCCACTGCTCTAGGACAGTGGTTTTAAACTTCATGGCCTTTGAGTTCACTCTTTAAAATTAAAGAACCTCAAAAAGCTTGGTCGAGATGGGTCATAATAAAAGTAATATAAATTAAAACTGATATATCTCTAAAACACATGTATACATAAATACACATTCCATTAGCTGTCAAAGTAATGATTTTATCATATGTTATACAGCCTCTGGAAAAGTCCAGTACCAGAATGAGAATTTAAAAGGTAAATACAATTTTATGAATATAGTTCTGACCTCAAAAACTCCATGAAAGAATCTTGGCAACCCTCCTAAGTCCCATAATCATATTTTGAAAACCAGTACTCTAGGGTAAATATGAAATAAAACTGATAAATCTAAGATAGAAACCCGTTCAACTTGACTAGCTAACAAACTAATTTCCCTAGTGAGTGTATCAACTAATAAATTCTGACCAGCAATGTACTTTTTCTTATTACTGAACTTCCTCACCAACATTTGGTAGTAGAGGACTTCTTAATTTTTAGCTACCTGGAAGATAAGAAACAGTATGTCACTGTGGTTTTCATTTTCATGATTATCAATCAGGTTGAGGGATTTTTTTTTCCACAGGAACTTTCTGTAAACAATTTCTACTGGGATCTTCATATTACCTCCTATTGCCCCTTTTCCTCTGAGTACAAGTGCAAATATTTTGAAAGATGCTATTAGGTGGTTTTATTACACAACATGAAACATAGCTCTCATTATCTGAAACACGTCATTAAACATTTCTATCCAGATTACTAATAATGTGTATTTCTAGGCCTATTGGTTTTATATGGAGTCTGAATTTAAAATTCTTTATATGCTCTATCTAGTCACCCTCAACTTGGGAACAATTTAAATGTATTTTCCTGGAGGAAAAAAAAGTTCCATGGCATCTTCAGATAGCTTAAGTCCTGGGCTATATCAGTATTTTTCAAATTGTGATTCACAGGAAAGGCTCAAGCACCTTATCTCACACATTTATTTCTTTTCTATTTTTCTTCCTCCTGTCCTCCAATACTTTGACTGTTGTATATACCAAGGAGTTCCAAATAAAGTTTCATTTTTTTAATTACATTATAAATTTAAAAATGTTTTTGAACCAACACTGCTATAATTTCCCTAGAAAATTATCTAAACAAAAAAACAAATAAAAACCACATTAAATTGGATATAAGCTAAGCATAGAAACTTTTCTTATTATAGAGAGTTATTCTGTATTTGTTTGGTGTGTAACTTCAGAGGCCTTTCACCAGAAGAAATTAGTGTGAGTTAGATTTAACACTTTAACCTTTGCATTACCACTTACAACCTAGAAACTTTAAAGGCTAGTAGACTAACAGAGGAGTTTGTTATGAATTATGCAGAGTAAGTTAAATAGCTCCGATGGCTGTGCAGTCTCACCTAGCACAGCGCTCCCTGGGAGAAGAGATGGGCTGGAGCTCCAGGAGAAGGAGGGACAGAAGCATTTTCTAATAAGATAGTTTGTAATGCAGGTCAGAGAACAAGAAAGAGAGCTAAACATTCTGAAACAGTAAGAAAGCACAATGATTGTGTAAGAAGAAAAAAGGAAGACACCACACACCCATATGTTAAAATAACTAAGAATTTCCCTACATAGTCTTCATTGTATTTACTAAAAAATCAAGGGACTAATATAATGCTTTGCAACAATTTCTTAAAAATGTATGTAATCTAAAAAGTAAAATAACTTTTCCTTTTTTAATCCCATTTGTTACTTATGGCATTGTACTGAAATAAATATATTGAATATCATACATAAATATAGTAAAGTCACAAAATGAACTAACAAAGTTGAAATACTAGCCTAAAAAGCAATATCAAAATTTAATAATACATAATTCACTATACAGTCACTAATCCTTTGGTTAGAAACCAAGAATATTAACTTGTTCTTCATATAATAAACTTTCTTGACTATGCTCAAGACAATTCTAAGGCAGAATGGCCAAAAAGTTATTTAATAAAGCTGTTCTATATGCTTCATATGTAAGAAGGAAGAACTTGTAAAACAGACAAAAAACACATTTAAAGACTATAAAAACTAATCCAGAAATGTCCTTAAATTTGTTGTTAGTGTTTATGTCCTAGCAACAATCAGACAAATAATTTGATCTAATATATAGTAAATTATTTCAGGCTTTCATAACCAAGCTCATAAGTACTACCAATTATTAAAATAGATTAATAAATAATATACCTGATCCAATAGTGGGTGGTGAAGGTGTAGGCACGGCAATGGGAATGCCAATACTGCTGCTTCCACTGTTTTCTCGACTTCCACTCCCCCCACTACTTCCACTGGAAAGAAAAGAAAAATTTGTGGAAAAAGAAATTCTAGTGATTTAACCCCCCAAAATAATAATCAACTCAAAGCCACTAACTACTCCCTTTTATGATATATCAGAGACCCGGTGCACGAATTTGTGCATGCCTAGGGTCCCTAGGCTTGACCAGTGATCAGAGCCGATAAGAGCTGCGCTGATCAGAGCCTGCCGGCCAGGGGGACAGCCCATGGGAGGCTGGCTGCTGGCCCCCAAGAGGAAGCTAGCCTTCCGCCCCCTGGGAAAGGGGTTGCACCTGCCAACCACCCAACCCCCAGTTCCCCATTCCAACCCAGTGCCCAAAGAGAGAGGAGATGAGAGTTGGCCAGGCGATGCCGCCGACACTACCATCATTGGTGCCCCACCACCGCACAGTACCCTTCCTGTCCTCCTTGGCATTGTGCCACCACCATGGCAGGCAGGCAGCCCCCGGGGAAGGGAGAGGATGGGAGTGAGACAAACCTTTTTGTCAAGGATTGACTTTCAATGGATTGCAATGAGGGAGCTGCTCTGCTACATATGAAACCCCAACCCTGAAGCAGATTATCTACAAATGGTTTAGCACCAGGGGCTGATGGGGCCAGCCAGCCGGAAGGGAAGGTACTGCGGGAGGTTGGCTAGCTGGGGAGGGAGGGACCACAGATGGTTGCCTATGGGAGCGCACTGAACACCAGGGGGCAGCTTCTGTGTTGAGCATCTGCCCCCCCTGGTGATCAGTGCATGTCAGAGGTACTGGTTGTCTGGTCATTCTGGTCATTCAGTTATAATGGTCACTTAGGCTTTTATATATATAGATATGTAAAAAAAAAAATTAGAAATTGTTCAATACAAAATTTTTTTATGTTAATCCTCACCCGAGGATATTGTTTCCGCTGATTTTTATATAGAGTGGAAGATAGAAGGAAAGGAGGAAAATGGAAAGAAAAGAAAGAGGAGAGGTAGGAGAGAGGGAGAGGGAGAGGGAGAGGGAGAGAGAGAGAGAGAGAGAGAGGGAGAGGGAGGGAGGTGAGAGATGTGAGAGAAATAATGATTGGTTGCCTCTCACACTTGCCTTAAACAGAGCCTAGGATTGAGCCTGCAACTCAGGTACATGCCCTTGACTGGAAATCGAACCCAAGACCCATCACTATGTGAACTGACATTCTAACCAATGTGATTCTTATGTTTCACTTTACTCAACCTATTGGAAACAAAAATAACCTTAATATAGTACTCAGAACTCTCAGAAGAGATCATCTTGTTGAGAAATTAAAATCTTAAATACAATAAGTCAACGGGTTTATTTAAAACCTGCTATGAATAGTAGTAAATAAGGCAGACATGAACCATGGTGTCATGGAGTTCACAGCTAAGAATGGAATAATACACATTAAAAAACAGTGTGAAAGCCTGGCTGATTTGGTTCAATGGTTGAACATCAACCTATGAACCAGGAGCTCAAAGTTTGATTCCCAGTCAGGGCAAATGCCCAGGGTCTATCTCTCTTTCTCTCCCTGAAATAAATTTTGAAAATTAACAAACAGTGTGACAGATGCCACAAAAGAAAATGAACAAGATGCTGCTCTGGCTGATATAGCTCAGTTGGCTGGATGTCATCCGTGCACCAAAGGGTTGCCAGTTGGATACGTCAGGGCACATGCCTGGGTTTCAGGCTCAATCCCCAGTAGGTGGTGTGTAGGAGGCAGCTGACTGATATTTCACCTTCCACTCCCTTCCTCTCTTTCTAAAAAAGAAATCAATAAACTATTCTTTTTTTTTAAATGTACGGATGCTATCAAAATTAAGTAAAAGATTAACCAATTTTAATCTGTAAATATAAAAACCTCCACTCACCTCAAAGAAGGTGCTAAAACATAATATGAGCAAATATAAGGAAAATGAGCAAAACAAAAAAAGCAGCAATGAGGTTTCAATGTGAGGCATTCTAGAATAGTTATTACTGTTCAACTTTAACCAATTCCCTCCTATACAAATTAATTCCCTACTATTCCAATTCCTATGGATTTACTATCTCTTTAGGTATAAGACCTCACATTATATAGTCGTTTTTAGTAAGCAATGTGTGTATGTACATGTATGCAAATGTACATGTGTGCATGTGTAGTCTTAGGCTCCATATTATACTTTAAAACCAACATCATTGGCCTAATAGGCCCCAAAAAACTTAACAGGAAAAAGACTTGTACTGCCTGGATAAAAAATATTTTTCTCCAATTCTATAATTACATCAGCACATGTTAATGAAATAAAAACAAAGAAAGCTGTTTCTATTACAAAAATAGCTTCAATGTGAAGAACTCCCTTAATTCCAAGCCAGGTACACTGCTTTCTAACACCAGTACATCACAGACATGAGTATTTCCCCACTAATTATCATATTCCACAATAACTGGATTTTTTCTAACATGGGGGTTGGCAAATTATAGCACATAAGTCAAAACTGACTCATAATCTGGTTTTTATGACCTGTGAGCTAAGAATGTTTTTTACATTTTTAAGTAGCTAAAAAAAAAAATCAAGAGGAATATTTATAACACATTAAAATTATACGAAAGGCAAATTTCACTGCCATAAATAAAATATTACTGGAATGCACGCTCACTCGAACATTTACATGTTATCTGTGCCTGCATTCACACTACAATGGGGAGCTGTGTAACTGTAATGAAGACAAATCCCAAAAATATTGACAATCTTGCCCTTCATAAGTTTATCGATGCCTGTTTTAACAGAATTGTGCTTCTGAAAGAAAGAACTATATCATATTGGAATATCCCTAGCATCTAATGAAGTAACTCTTAATAACTGGTTGCTGAATATTACTAAATAATAAAAACAATGTTTTAATATAAATTCAATAACAAATATAAAAAGAACACTTGTGGTACTCACTGAGCTTGACCTGATATAGTCACTGCAGACACCAATATAAGGGTTTATTTAGTAACAGCAGCAATAACAACAAATGACAATTACATAGAACCTAAGTCAGATACCCTCTTTAGTTAAAACTCAAAAAATGATTCTAAGTTTTTTAAATTATTATTGATTTCAGAAAGGAAGGGAGATGGAGAGAGAACTAGTGATGGGCTGCCTCTAACACACCCACAATGGGAATTGAAATCCCTACCCAGAGATGTGCCCCAAACAGGAATCAACCACAACCTCCTGGATCATATGTCAGCAATCAACCACTGAGCAATGCTGGCTGGGCAATTCTGCTAAGTTTTATCTCTAATACACCAACCCAACAGTCAAGGTAAGAAGAGGTTCTTCCCCAAGTTAAGTGAGAGGTAAAATTAAGGAATAAAATAAAGATAGAGGTGATAGTTAGGAAAAGGTCTAAGGGGGACTTTTGGATTGCTGGTAATGTTCCATTTTCTTATTTGGATGATGGTTACACCAATGCGTTCAAATAGTCTTAACTCATTAAGTTACATACTTAATAATATTTTTCTAAATTTATGTTATGTTCCAAAACCAAGTTTTTAATTTCTAGAAATTTTATAAAACAATATATATAATAACATATTCTAAAGCAGTGATCGCCAACCTGCTCCAAAGGTTTCCTTAAACCAGCAGTCACCAACCTTTCAGACTTCACGGACCACAGCGGTCTGCAGAACACTGGTTGGCAGCTGCTGCTCTAGAGTATACCAACTCTCCTAACTAATTCTTTCTCAGATTTAAGCTAGGTCTTCCTTTTTGCAACCTCTTAAAGCTTAAATCACATTGTATAATTCCTGACATTTAACCTAGTATCCCAAAATACAGAATGCTCTCAAAAAATGTACACACATTCTGAATAATATTAATTAACTCCAATAGGTTAAATATGTAAAGAAATAAACATCAATAGAGCTATCAGCTGTTAAGTTTGTATACATTTTCATTGTTTTGGGGCACTATATTTAAGTGTAGTTTAGTAACCTTAATCTTTTTTAAAAGTTTTTAAAAAAATATTCGTTAGCTTATGTCCAAATATATATATCTGTATCTCTTCCTATATACAAAAGGAAGAAATAGTAGCAATCTGCTTATAGTATAAATATATACTTAAAAATCTTAAAAAAAAAAAAAAAAAGGAAGTTTTTTTTTGAGGTAACAATATTGTTTTGAGGTAACAATATTATTACCTCAACTTTTATACACTATGTTAACAGTATAGTACTTTACTCAGCAACTGTATAGGGTTTGTGACAAGTTAATAACCCCAACTTGCAAATGGTCAAAGACTCAACCTGAAGGATTACCTGTGTGTCCTCGGTCTCTGGTTTAAAGAAGCTGTTCTGCCTGGGCTATGCTGACTTCCAAGCCTAGCAGGACTGGTCATGTAGTCATTAGGAACTGTTGGAGGTTTAACAGGTTCCAGGGTTTTGTAAGGAGTATTCCGTCTGAAGAAGTATCAAAGATAAGAATAATGAATAAAATAAAATGGCATTTTCCCCCAAATGTGATGTACCTTTGTAACCAAGTAGAAGACTAGCGAGTCTTTTTTTTTTTTTTTTTTTTTTTTTAATATATTTTATTGATTTTTTACAGAGGAAGGGAGAGAGACACGAGAGCCAGAAATGTCGATGAGAGAGAAACATCAACCAGCCGCCTCCTGCCCATCCCCTACCGGGGATGTGCCCGCAGCAACGTACATGGCCTTGACAGGAATCGAACCTGGGACCCTTCAGTCCACAGACCGACCCTCTACCACTGAGCCAAACCGGTTTCGGCTTTTTTTTTAAATTTATGATGAGAGAAAAACAAAATCAACCTGTTATTTATGCATTGATTGGTTGCCTCTTATATATTCCCTGACAGGTCAAACCCATAACTTGGGCATATTGGGTCAGCGCTCTAACCAACTGAGCTACTCGGCCAAAATTAGAAAACAAGTTTTAAAAATACTTTTAATAATAAAGGTTGTTTTTAACAATTCTTAATTGGAGTAAATAAATTTTATAACTTTTCACAAAAACTAAAATGTGTTACCTTTTCTTAGGAAAAGCATAGAAAAGAGAAATTTAAAAGTTCTAATCCTATCCTATATAATAAAGAGGTAATATGCAAATTGACCCACACACCCTCACATCACAAGATGACCACCACCACAGTGTCATAAGATAGCTGCCACAGGATGGCCACATCTCACAAGATGGCCACAGGGGAGGACAGTTGGGAGGGACCAGGGCTGCATGGGAGTACAGTTGTGGGTGATCAGGCCAGCAGGAGAAGGGGGTTGGGGGCGATCGAGCTGGCAAGGGAACAGTTAGGTGTCAATCATGCCAGCAGGGGAGCAGTCAGTGGGCTATCTGGCTGGCAGATAGAAGCGGTTAGGGGCAATTAGGCATCAAGGAAGGCAAGTGGTTAGGAGCCAGCAGTCCTGGATTGTGAGAGGGATGTCCGACTACCGGTTTAGGCCTGATACCCAGCAATCGGACATTTCCCGAGGGGTCCTGGATTGGAGAGGATGCAGGCTGGGCTGAGGAGACTCCCCACCCCTGTGTATAAACTTTATGCACTGGGCCTCTAGTTTCTAAATATAATAGTTATAATTTTTGAAATGCTCAATAATATCACACTTTGACATATATATTATTTCCAGTCCACTCACTCATAAGCCACTGTCCTTATACATTATGAAAACTAAATATCTGCTCTGCAATTTATTTCTACCTCATTATGGAAATTTATAGACAATAGATAAGTATAGCACATTCTGACTGTAGATGTAATACCATTAATTTTTCAATTAATTATTTTAACTTTTCTATTTAATAATTTCATGTGTTTTTTGCAGGAGTAAGTAGTTTACTAAGTAAAAATAAAAGCCAAGAGTCTATTTAAAAAGGCTGATTATTGATCCCTATTACTATGAAATAATCGTTACTATGAAATAATCATTTACACTAAAATAAAAAAGTTCTAATATATTATTTTCTATGTTAAGGTGAACAATCTTTCAGAAGTGCCCTACCAAATAGTCACAAATTTTTTTGCACAAATAACTGAGAAGGAAGACACCACCAACAGTTATCTTTTTTGCTCCCCAACTGGCTTCCTCACAAAGCTACTCAAGTATGAAGTATGCATAACCCGTAGATACGGAGAATGGGGGGGGGGGGGGGGGGGGCTTGTTGAGGGCCTGGCAGGGGATGGGAGCGAGCTGGAAAAGGTTAATGGGGAAAGAAAAGGGGATCTATGTAATACTTTCAACAGTAAAGATTAAAAAATAAATAAAATAAAAACTATGAAGGGCCCTAAGATTACCTAGCACAAGCACCGTTAGAAATATTCCAGGTAAAGAGCCTCTAAATCTTAGGTGGAAAGTAATAGAGGAACAGAAAAGCTGCAGGTCACCAAGCCAAACTATACAAAACTTACTTACTCAAAGTTCTGTAATGTAAATATTGTAAATAAATGTGAAAGCATCATATAGAATGAATACATTGGTCATTTCCTTTTAAATAAATTCAAATCAAATTTCTCTCTTTTTTTAAGGAATTAAAAAGATAAATAAATAATGCTCATTTCTACATATACAAAATAACTTATCTAGTCAGACTTCCACAAAAGATAATATTATAAAACAAGTAGATTCATTTTGGATTCTCCTCATGGAAATAAGCACCAAATGAATTTGTAAAAGGTAGTGTTACACTGAAAGGGGTCCATAGCAAAAACCCATACATTTACTTAAGTCACAGAATCATCTTTTCCTTTAGTATATGAATTTTCTTGTAAAATGTACGTGGATTCTTACCCCAACGTTCCCCTGCCTGACATGGGAGGACTTGGTGGTTTCTGAGTAGGAGGATTTGTTCTTGACAGTGTGCCAGTTCTTGCAGGCTGGTTATTTCCATGCTATAATACAGAAAAAAAGAGTTTTTATTTTTATATCAAATTCTTCTCTTGGTGTTTTGATACGAAATTATTATTATTTTTAATATCAGAATGTGAAGTAAGGATTCCCAGACAGTTTTAACAATAGACTTTGGTTCTATAGTTTAAAAAAATCAAGCAACCAATTGCACGTGGCTTTTTCTAGTATTCATACCAAACTATGACAAAATACAGGTGAAATTATTGGATTTTATGTATTATTTTATTGTTAAACATGCTCACTGAGATCAAACTTATCTGCATTTAAATATTAAGTTTCCTAAAATTTTTAAAAATGTGTGCCTGAATTTAAACTATAGATCTCAGTGTTAATTTGTTAAAATATTCATCTGAAAAAAATCATCTTTATCCTAAAAATTCAGGAACAAAGTCAAATATGATGTCTGGGAAACCTACTATTTATGTCAATAAAAGCAAAGCAACTATCAAAAAATAAGCAAAGCAATTCATGTTAGCAAAATTAATGTTCCTATATAAATGCAGATGTCAATATATCGATGATATATTAACACATCCAAGCTAAATGTAGCTACTTGTACTGAGTTTGAGTATATTTAATCTATATAAATCCTATGGGGAAAAAGCAGGCAGATGAAGGAAGAGTTTTCAAATTTTAGTGGCTCTGCAGCCTCTATCAATGTAGAGGAAAAACTGTGTATCGAAGGATAAGTAGTATCTCTTACCTTGGCTTTTAGCCACTTTACGTTGGCAAAAAAAAGGGGGGAGGAAAAGTAGAAATTAATTCTAAATGTTATACCTAATAGGACAGGTTTATATTTACAGTTATTCAATTCATGTTAATAAGTTTTTACCCAGCCATTACTTCAAATATTTTGTAAAGAAAAAGATATCATAAGCAGCTGGGAAATATTCATGTGTATCAAGTATTTTTCAAAAGAATATATTCATAAGGAAACTACCACTTATTTATGCCAAACTCATACAGACCCAATAATTTCTTAGTTCTGAAGTTTATCCAAATGAATCACAGATGATAAACTTCAATTTGAAAGCAAATACCATAACACATGGTATGTAAAGCTACCTTAATACATCAGTGTACAAGACCTAAAACTATACTGAGTAATATGTGCATAAATATAAGTTTTCATTATTTGAAAAGTAGTATAGAATTTTTTAAAGTAGTAAACTATAAATATTACAATTCAAAATAACAGGTTGCTTCAAATTCAGAAAAATGAACTAACACCTCCAAGTCTAAAAACAAAATCACTATGCAAAGTAATACCTTAGCCAGATTTTAACTACACAATAGTCTTGAAACCCTCTTGTTTGTAAATTGATGGATCCAAATTTGAGCAGGCCAACACATTCTGAACCAGTTAAGCCCAAATTCAAAACTGAAGAAAAGCTGCTTTGATCTATTTTTTAACTTTATTTTTTAAATATATTTTTATTTATTTCAGAGAGGGAGACATAGAAATATCAATAATGAGAGAATCATAGATCAGCTGCCTCCTCACAAAAGCCCACAAACCAGGCATGTGCCCTGACCAGGAATTAAACCAATCATTAATAGATCAATGCTCAACCACTAAGCTACACATGCTGTGCAAAGCTGTTTTGATCTTAAAGGCTACTTCTATGAAACAATGAGTAGTCTATACCAATAAAAGTGTAATATGCTGAACTGTGAAATGCGACAACAAAATAGATCACAAACGAAAGAAATGGAGGACAAAAAGCGGCTGGATATAGAGTTCAAATCTACACTTATAAGGTTTTTCAAGAATTTCCTAGAAAAGATGGATAAGACCTATGAGGACATGAAAAGAAATCAACTAGAATTAATAAAGAGTCATCAAGAAATGATAAGGGAACAACAAGAAATAAAGAATACGTTGTCTGAAATAAAAAATATTTTACAGAGTCCTAAAAACAGAATGGAAGATCGCAAGAATCAAGTCAAAGATTTGGAACATAAAGAGCCAGAAGACACTCCTCCACAGAAGCTAGAAGGCAAGAGAATCCAGAAAATTGAAGATAATATAAGAAACCTCTGGGACAACTTCAAGCGAACCAACATCAGAATTATGGGGGTCCCAGAAGATGAGAGAGAGCAAGATATCGAAAACATACTGAAAGAAATAGTGACAGAAAACTTCCCCCACCTGGTAAAAGAATTAGACTTACAAGTCCAGGAAGCGCATAGAACTCCAAACAAAAGGAATCCAAAGAGGACCACACCAAGACAAATCATAATTAAAATTCCAAGAGCAAAAGACAAAGAGAATATTAAAAGAAGCAAGAGCAAAGAAGGTAGTTACCTATAAAGGAGCACCTATACGATTGTCAGCTGACTTCTCAACAGAAACCATGCAGGCCAGACGGGAATGGCAAGAAATATTCAAGGTGATGAATAGTAAGAACCTACAGCCAAAGATAATCTATCCAGAAAAGCTATCACTCAGAATCGAAGGTCAGATAAAGAGCTTCACTAATAAAAAAAAGCTAAAGGAGTTCATCAACACCAAACCAGACTTATATAGTTGCTGAAGGGAGTTCTTTCAGAAGAGAAAGTAAACAAAGATAAAAATTATGAACAACAAATATGTAACTATCAACAAGTGAATCTAAAAACCAAGGAAATTAAAAAAAAAAATCTGATGAACAATAGTAACTGTTGAATATAATAGAATCAGAGGTATGGAAGGGGAGTGAACTGACGATTCTTGGGGAAAAGGGGAGAGGGGGATGTGGGAAGAGACTGAACATAAACTGTGCACCTATGGATGAGGACAATGGGGAGTGGGGAAAGGGCAGAGGGTGGGGTGGGAACCTGGTGGAGGAGAGCAATGGTGGGGGGGTGGGGGGAAGGAACATTTGTAATAATATGAACAATAAAAACTTATTTTTTTTTAAAAAAGTGTAATATGCTAATTAGATGGGACGTCCTTCTGGACAACCTTCCAGAGGAAGCTGGGGCTGTGAGGGAAGCCTGGTGCCTGCCGATGACCATAGGGAAGCCCGGGTCCTGGGTGCCAGAGGGAAGCTGGTGCCGGTAGCCAGGGGAAGGCTGGACTACTCTTGCATGAATTTTGTGCATTGGCCATCTAGCCTATATATCAAATAACATATAACTTGTATTAATATGAACAAATGTACATATATGAATAATCTATAATAATAAAAGTTGTGATATACTAACTAGAATAAAAGCGTGATATACTAATTAGACCAGACAGCTGAATGACCTTCCGGACAAAGCCAGGGAGATGAGGACACAAATTTTGTGCAATGGGCCTCTAGTATGAAATAATGTGTACAGTCCTAAAGCATCACTGAAAGTGCAATGTCACTTAAGAACATTGTCATGCTGTAGAATCTACCTTTTTATAGATTTTAGGGGTTTCAAGTTCTTTGCATAATATGTGCTGTTCTAAATATGTATCTAAGATTTTTTAGGTGATCAGAAAGACAACATTAAGGATATCATCCTGAAGAGGAATGTACCCTGTCGTTAGAATGATACTGCTCATTTTTATCTGGAAACAGTATCTGGAATTCTACCTAGCCACTACATTTCACACTGGATTTAGACATTAAACCTGAATAATATTATTATCCTTGGAGATAAGATATATTAGAAATATTTAGTTAAGTAACAATCTTTTTTTTTTCCTAATCCTCACCTGAAGATATTTTTCCCATTGATTTTTAGAGAGCAGAAGGGAAGGTTGGAGGGAGGGAAAGAGGGAAAGAGTAGGGGAAGAAGATAGTGAGAGACACACATTGATTGGTTGCCTCCTGCATGCACCCTGACTGGAAGCCAGGGATTGAACCTACAACCCAACTACGTGCCCTTGACTGGGAATCAAACCTGAGACCTTCAGTCCATGGGCCGATGCTCTAACCACTAAGCAAAACTGGCCAGAGCACAATCTTTTTAAAAAAAATCAGAAAAGTGGAGAAATAAAGAAGCAATGAGACTATTAGTGAAAAAAGTAAATATTTGTATTTGTATAACACAACCACAAAATATGAACAAATATGCCACATAAAAGCTTCTAAGATACACTATTCTGACAGACCACTCATCCTCCTACCCCAGTTAAAAATAGAATTTAAGGCTTCTAGTCAAGATGGCAGAGTAGATAAATGTGGTATTTGAATTCTCCCAATCCACATCAAAATTACATCTAAACTACAGAACAATCATCATTCAGACCCACCTGAAATCTAGCTGAAGGGAGGTCCTATAATTAAGGATATAAAGAAGAAACCACTTTCAAGACTAGTAGGAGGGTGAATACTCAGAATAGGCTGGTGTGGCTCAGTTGGTGGGCATTGGCCATGCACCAAAAAGTTGCTGGTTTAATTCCCAGTCAGGGCACATGACCTGGTGGGGGGCTTGATCCCTGGTGGGGGGCATATATAAGGCAGCTTATTAATGCTCTGCTCTCACATCAATGTGTCCTCCCCCCCTCTCTCCCTTCTTCTCACTTTAAAAACAAACAAACAAAAATCAGTGAGGACTGTGGCTGAAATAGAAGGCTACTGGAGACCCAGATGTTCCTCTTAAAAAGGAACACACAGACTTACTTGGACTCTTAGTTCCAGCATTGGGACAGCAGTCTGAAATGCACCAGGGACATACGGAGAACTAAACTGTATGGCGTCAGGGCGAGAGCTGGAGGGGCAGCTTTCTCCAACACAGGAGTGCCGGCAGAGGCCACTGATGAGCCAACAGACGACATATCGGAGTCTCCATCAAACTGTCTGAAAGAGGGTGCCCTGCCTTAAGACCCCGCCCCACCCAAATTGCAGGGCCACCCACGCTGTTTCCCTGGCTTTTACAAACGAATAGCTAATCTTGGCTCATGGGTCAGACTTTCCAATAATCCCTCCAACAAGCAGCATCTGGCCTCTGTATGCCCTATACCTCTCACTAAGTAGTATCAGGCCCAGCAATATTGGCAGCCAACCTTGATTCATAGCTTGATTGCTCCTGGGCACCTCACCTTCAAGCCTACCATATATACCAGCTACCTGCAGATTGCTTTGTAGCTCATTTTGGGTGGCCCCAAACAGAACACAAATGTTGACTAACCTTGGCCTATACCTCTGGGCAGTCCTTAGAACCAATACACCACTGGACAGCTTCAGAAGCACCACCCAATCACCTCCACAAGCCACACACTCAAGGGATGGACTCAGTAGACACCAAAGACCTGATGAAGTCCTGTTCTGTGGGGTGGGACCCTGCACAGCTGATACTCCACAATAGTCATAGCCCGTCCTTGCAACTGATCAACCTAGGAATAAATCCCTCCCCTTGATGTGTCAATAGCAATTAAGACTCAACTACAACAGGAGGGTATACCATAGTCCACACAAGGGGCACACCTAGAGTGTCCAGCTCAGGTAAACGGGGAGGGTGTGCCATTGGACCTTACAGAACACCTGCTACATTAGATCACTCTATCAAGACAGGGAGACATAGAAACGCTCCTAATACATAGAAAAAACACATAGTGAGGCTGCAAAAATTAAAAGACAAAGAAACATGTCCCATATGGAAGAACGAACAAAATTCCAGAAAAAGAACTAAACAAAAGGGAGACAAGTAATCTACTAGATACCTAGATGCAGAGTTCAAAACACTGCTCATAAGGATGTCAAAGAAGCTAGGGGAAGAGTGGATAAACTTAGAGAAAACTTCACCAGCACAAAAATGTACATGGAAACCATAAAAAAGAACCAGTCAGAAATGAAGGATACACTAATAAAAATGAAGAATAACTTACAGGAAATCAATAGTAGAGTAGATGAAGCCAAGAACAAAACAGCAATTTGGAATATAAGGAAGCAAAACAGCACCCAATCAAAAGAGAAAAAAAATCCAAAAATATGAGGATAGTGTAAGGAGCCTCTGGGATAACTTCAAGTATACCAACATTCACATCATGGGGGTGCTAAAAGGACAAGAGAAAGAACAAGGAATTGAAAACCAATTTGAAAAAATGACAGAAAATTTCCCTAACATGGTGAAGGAAATAGACATACAACTCCAGGAAGCATAGAGAATCCCAAACAAGATGAACCCAGAGACTTACACCAAGACTCATCATAATTAAAATGCAAAAGGTTAAAAACAGAGAATTTTAAAAGTATCAAGAGCCCTGGACAGTGTGAGTCAAATTAGAGCCTTGCCCCCCACACGGAAAGGTTGTGGTTTTGACTTCCAGTCAAGGACATGTACCTGGGTTGCAGGTTCAATCTCTGGCCCTGATTTGGGTGTTTGTGGGAGGCAACCAATCAATATGTTTCTCTCACATCAATGTTTCCCTCTCAAAAAAATGTTTCCCTCTTAAAAAAAAAAAAAAAAAAATCAGTGAAAACTAGCCTCTGATGAGAGTTAACAAAAATAAAAAAATAAAAAAATAAAAAGCAGCAAGAGAGCCCTAGTTGGTATACACAGTAGTTAGAGCCCCAGCCCATACAATGACCCATACCATCAATCCCCATTCAAAGGCCTGTACCGAGATGGCAGTAATTAGATTTCGGGTTTGATCCACAACCCAGGTCCGAACATGTGCAGGAAGCAACCAATCAATGTGACTCTCTCACATCAATGTTTTTCCTCTCACTCTTTTCCCCTCCCTCTCTTCCACTCTTTCTAAATAAAAACCAATGGAAAAAAATATCCTTTGGTGAGGATTAAAAACAACAAAAAGCAGCAAGAAAAAAGTAATTAGTTACCAAAAAGGCAGCTCCCAAAAGACTGTCAGCTAATTTCCTAACAGAAACTACAGGCGAGAAAGTACTGGCAAAATATATTCAAAGTAATGAAAAACAAGGACCTACAACCAAAATTGCTCTACCCAGCAAAGTTATCAATTAGAATGGAAGGACAGATAAAGAGCTGTCCAGACAAGAAAGACAAAGCTAAAGGGGTTCATCACCTCCAAACCAGAATTACATGAAAGAGGATCTTATTTAAGAAATGGGAAAAAAATATTTAAAACAGGAATAATAAAGATGACAATACATATCAATAATTTAATCTAAAAACTAAATTAAACAAACAAGCAGAACAGACTCAGAAAACATTTTGAGGATTACCAGATAGGAGGAGGGTTGGGGGATGGGTGAAAAAGGTGAAGGAATTAAGAAGTACAAATTAGTAGTAACAATTAGTCATGGGGATGTAAAGTAGAGCATAGGAAATAGTCAATAATTCTATACAATAAAGAGGTAATATGCAGATCACTCCAACACACAAGATGGCCACCCCCATGTGGATACAAGATGACCACCACAAGATGGCCAACAGGGGAAGGCAGTTGTGGGAGATCAGGCCAGCAGAGGAGGGCAGTTGGGAAGGACCAGGCCTGCAAGGAAGAGCAGTTGGGGGCAATCAGGCCACAGAGGGGGGCGAATGGCAGTTGGGAGAAACCAGGCCTGTAGGGGAGGGCAGTTAGGGGCGACCAGGCTGGCAAGGGAGGGCAGTTAGGGATGACCAGGCTGACAGGGCAGCAGTTAGGCGTCAATCAGGCTGGCAGGGAAGTGGTTAGGAAGTGATCAGGCTGACAGGCAGAAGCAGTTAGGGGCAATCAGGCAAGCAGGCAGGCAAGCAGTTGGGACTGCCACTAGGATCAGGCCTAAATGGGCGTCAGACATCCCTTGAGGGGTCTCAGATTGGAGAGGGTGAAGGCTGGGCTAAGGGACACATACACACACACACCTGTGCACGAATTTCGTGCACCAGACCTCTAGTAATCTAATAACTATACATGGTGTCAGGTGAGTATAACATTTATCTGGAAGATCACTTAGTAAGTTATATAATCATTGAGATCTATACCTAAAACTTTCAACTGTAATTTAAAAAGAAAAAACTACATTTACAAAAAGTCTGCATAACAATATGAATGTGCTTAATTCCAGAACTGTACAGTTCATGTGGTATTTTACCATAATTTTTTTTTTAAGTTTTAAAAATCCCAAGTCTAAAATACCTTTATTAAAAAAAAAAAAGACAGCCAAAACTCACATCAGTATATTTTCAGTATGGCTCATGCTGTATTTACACTACCCATTTATACATAGATGATGAAATAGTTGAATATTGTCATCCAGAACTTGTATTGTTTCATCTTATACTCTGCTAAGTACTGTGTATTAAACCATTATTATTAAAGGAACAATAGAAGGTATTAAATTCTAAGATAGTGTTAAAACTTTATTCATGAGTGTATATTGCATTGCTAGGAAGAAAAATCAAGATTGGGCAAAAGCAGAACAAGTGAGAGGGTGTGTGTGTGTGTGTGTGTGTGTGTGTGTGTGTGTGTGTATGTGTATGTGCACATATACATGTGTAAGAAATATATAATTTTTAATCCAAAGACAAGTGAAATAATAATACAAAAAAGTTCTTCCAGCCTCTCAAAATCCAAATCCTATACATCAATCTAGTCTAAAACATCTTTAAAATCTAGTCTAAAATGAATTTAAGCCAGGTGTGGGTCAATGGTTGAGCAATGACCCATGCACCAAAAGTTTACTGGTTAGATTCTAAGTCAGACACATGCCTGGGTGATGGGCTCAATCTCTGATGAAGGACATATAGGAGGTGACCAACTGAAGTTCTCTCTCATCAATGTTTCTATCTTTCTCTCCCTCTCCTTTATTCTCTGAAATCAGTAAAAATATATTTTTAAAAAAGAGAAATTAAGTACTAGCTGGTTTGGCTCAGTGGGTAGAGCATTGACCTGTGCACTAAAAAGACCCAGGTTCAATGTCAGTCAAGGACACATGAAAAGATTGCACGCTCGATCTCTAATAGAGGGGTAGAGAAGGCAGCCAATCAATGATTCTCTCTCATCACTAATGTTTCTATCACTCTCTCTCTCCTTCCCCCGTCTCTTCTTTCCTCTCTAAAACCAATAAAAATACTTTTTTAACAAAAGAGAAAGCAAGATATGACATTCAAAACACAAATCTATAATAATAAAAGGCTAATATGGAAATCGTTATCACACCCTCATGCCGTAACAACTGGTCAGCAGAAGGCTGCGTACCGGCTGAGGATGTGACTGACGCTGCATCCCCACCCGGAGATGTGATACGCTGGCAGGGCTTGATGGGGATATGGCCAGCTAGGTCTAGGTCTCATCCAATTGGGGGTTGGGGGGACACAGCTGGTTCTGGGTATCACATGATTTTGAGGCGCAGGTGGACAGACTTGACTCTGGGTCCCACTGTGTGCCCCAGACTCTGACAGAAGGGAGGAGGAAGTCAGATACCCACAACTAGGGCCCAAACAACAGGGCAGTGATGGTTAGAGGTGATCAGGCCAGTAGGGAAGAGCAGTTAGGGGCAATCAGGCTGGCAGTAGAGGGCAGTTAGGGGTGATCAGGCCAGCAGGGGAGGGCACTTAAGGCAATCAGGCCAGCAGGGGAGCAGTTAGAGGTGATCAGGCTAGCAGGCAGAGGTGGTTAGGGGCGATCAGGCAAGAAGACAGGCAAGTAGTTAGGAGCCAGCAGTCCTGGATTGCGAGAGGGGTGTCTAACTGCCATTTTTTTTTTACAACAAATTTGAATTTTTGTCAAACCTGCAATTAGACATCCACCAAGGGGTCCCAGATTGGAGAAGGTGCAGGCCGGGCTGAGGAACCAACCTCCCCCCAACACTGTGCACAAATGTCATGTACCAGACCTCTAGTTTATAATATTAGTCTAGGATTAAATAGCTCAATTAATGAATAACCACTTCAAGTTTTAACAGCTTCTTCAATAAAGCCTATCCCAAAATTCTGCCCCAATTTGGTATAATACATAGCTAATATTAAATAAGTGTTTGATGAAAATTGTAATGCTAATTACTAGCTAAGAAAATCTATTAATTCTCTAAGATAATCTTTATCAGCATTTTGCTATCCAAAATATTTACTGGATAAATAAGTTATTTTAAGTTAATGCAATAAAAATGCTTACCTTGACACCATGGCCCACATCATCCAGAACTGTATAGTCAATAGGTTTCCGAATATACCTTACAGGGCGCTCCATATTTGCAGGTGCTATTATTTTGTGAGTTCTTGATGTATTCTTATTTGTAGTCAAAATACCAATCTCTCTTCGAGCCACTTTCTCTTTATGAATGTCCACCGTCTGTATTTTAATATAAATAATGCAAGAGAATATTACTAGGCATAGTATAATAAATAATAAATATGATGGTCATATATCTTGGATCATAAACAGGTTGAACCATACAACTGTATCATATCTATTTTCCGGTGACTGCTATATCTTTCCCTTCAAAATTAAGCAAATTAATATCCTCAAGGCTCAAAACAGGGAATAGCTTTAAAGTAATTAAAAACATGATTTAATGGCTTTGATTCCAAAGCAATTTTCTTTCCTAAAGATTTGGTGTTTGTGTGAAAGGACTAGAGTCATACTCAAAGTAGCTATCACTTTATGTAGTGAGGATGCAGGAAAAAAAAAAGTAAATCAATTAAAACAATGAGATAAGTGCAGTAGTAACACATGCAGTTTATTAGAAATTAAAGGTGTTCAACCCTGGCTGGTGTGGGTCCATGGTTATAGAGTCTCAGCTAGCACAGCAAAGGGTAGCAGGATTGATTCCTAGTAAAGAGTATATACCCAAGTTGCAGGTTCACTCCCCACCCCCAGGTCCAGCACATGTGGGAGGCAACCAATAAATGTGTCTCTCTCACATCAATGTTTCTTTCTCCTTCTCCCCTTCCCTCCCTCTCTCTGAAAAGCAATGGAAAAAATAATATCCTCAGGTGAGAATTAATGAAGAAAAAAATTAAAGGTGTTCAGAGCAAGGTACTAAACTAGGTTAGGATGGATTCACTTAAAGGCTTTATAGAGGAGTTAGGTTTCTTAGGATGAACAGGCAAATATGGCAATTATTTAAGGCAGAAAGAACTGTATGCTTTAGACAACAGTAAAAAATAAACGTAAGAGCAGATGTCACAGGTATTGATAACAGACAAAACAAGACTACTGACTAGTGAGACCAGTTAGGCAATTATGGTAATCAAGGTGAGGAAAAGTAAGAACACGAACTTAACTGAAATAAAGGAGTGGGGGTATGGTTATGAAAAAAAACGCACAAGTTTAATATTAATGTTCAGTTAAGATTTCATTTCACCATAATTTTTAAGATATATTTCTTTTATTTATTTCCTTCTTTTTAAATTTATTCAGAGAAGGGAGAGGGAAAGATAGAAACATCAATAATAAGAATCATTGATCAGCCGAAACTGGTTTGGCTCAATGGATAAAGTGTCGGCCTCCGGACTGAAAGGTCCCGGGCTCGATTCCAGTCAAGGGCATATACCTTGGTTGCGGGCACATCGCCAGTGGGGGGTGTGCAAGAGGCAGCTGATCTTTGTTTCTCTCTCATCGATGTTTCTAACTATCTCTTCCTTTCTGTAAAAAAACAATAAAATATATTTTAAAAAGAAGAATCATTGATCAGCTACCTCCTGCACGCCGCCCCACTGGGGACCAAGCCTGCAACCAAGGCATTGAACCGGAATTGAACCTGGGACTCTTCAGTCCACAGGCTTACACTCTAACCACTGAGCCAAACCAGCTACCATGTTTCCCCGAAAATAAGACAGTGTCTTATATTAATTTTTGCTCCCAAAGATGCACTAGGTCTTATTTTCAGGGGATGTCTTATTTTTCCATGAAGAAAAATATGTACGGTACACATTATTGTAAAATGAAAATAAAGGAAATTTATTACCTGTATACGGTACGGTAGTACAGTAGTTGTCAACACAAACCAGACAAACTGTGAATCCTACAGTATCAAGAATTTACTCATTTATTCAATGCAATCATGTCATCATCTTCTGAAACATCATCATAACAATCCAATTCCTGAATTTCCTGGTGAATTTTTTATGACTCCATTTCTTTCAGAATCAGTGGACCAAATCTCTCATGTTTAGCAATAGCACTGTCTTTAAATGAATACTTCTTGTCGCAGTGCATTTGCAATGCAACTGTCAGTGATTTTCTCCCATGAATTCTTCACCCAAGTCACAACTTCTTGCAGTTTAGGTTTCACAAAGTTTCCACGCTGATTTCTCTCCATTCTATTTTCAATGTAGTCATTAATTTCCATGCGAAAATTGTCTTTGAATGGCTTGTTTATTGCAATATCAAGAGTCTGGAGATAGGCCGTCATTCCTGCGGGAATCCTTATCTGATCTATTTTTCTTTCGTGAAGAAATGTCTTCATGTCTTTACTGTGGTGAGTGCTGGCTGCATCCCAGACTAGCAGACCTCTTTGGCTCCCTCGCATAACAAGCGGCAGCATTAAATCGACCCACTTCCTTATAACTGCTTGTGTGGCCCAGGCTTTTTCAGTTTCAAAAATAAAAATGCCCAAAACACGTTCAATCTTTTCCTTCTTGCCCTTAGAAATTATTAAAGGTGGGATTTTAGTGCCATCCAGACCAATTGCCAAAATACAGGAAACAAGTGCAGTGGAGGGAATGTGCTGTTCAATTGTTGTTTGAGATGATTGGCCCATAAACACTGCAGTTTCATCCATAGCAATCATGTTGGAAAAATTGTATTTAGAGAAGTCAGCATCATCAGTAAAGGACTTGAATGCAAGTGCTCACTTAATAACTTGAGTATCTTCCAACCTAAACAATGTTGTAGATCTTCTTAAAGACAGTTCACTTCGCTGAAGGAAATTATCCAGCCAGTTATGATGCTTTGAAGTCTTCAGGGGCTATGTCACACTGTGGTGCCATTGCAAGGACAAATTCTTGAATCTGAGCCCTATTCACAAACAAAGCATTTGCTCTCCTGTCAACAACCCATTCACAGATCAGGTCCTATAGCTCGGAAAATAATGGTTGCAGACCTGATCCACACTTGCGCTTTTTAGCATTTCCCTTGTCAACTTGTTCAATGAGGTTACCATACTCTGCTCGCCATTTTCGGACAAACTGGATACTCAATATCTTCTCTTTGCAGAAAGGAGTAAGAATTTGGCTCCCAGAGTCTTCCATAATTTCTTTCTTGTACTCCACGGAGTAGCTTTTTCTTTTTGCGCTCATTTCTAGAGGTAAAAAAAAAGGAATTGGGGTATCAAGGTGGGGGGAAGGGGATCACTTAAAATGACACAGGGAGGATCAGAGGGGTGAATCAAAATGGCACAGGAGAATCAGAGGGGGGATTACCATTTTAGTAACCCCTTTTAATCCTCCTGTGTCATTTTGATTACCCCCTTTGATCCTCCTGTGTCATTTTAAGTGATCCCCCTCCCCCCATCCCTGTGCCACTGAACACCTTCACCAGACATTCCCTCTACCCCTTTATCAGACATTTACCCCTGGGGCCTGCCTGGGGACTGTCACTGGGCTTGCTGGGGCCTGGATCTGGGCTGGAGCAGGGTCTGCCACTGACTGAGAGCCTTCAGTCATCATGAGGGCGGCCGAGAGCATCAGGTAGTGTCACTAGAGACAGACCAGCACTCAGCACCTTCGCTGTGTCCCATCCGCTCTAATCCTCCTGTTCTACAGGCATCTGCGAAAGTCTCCTCCTCTCTCCAGCCCCATGCTCACCCGCTCACTCCGACCTCTGCTCCGCTTCCACATAGCAGTGACGTCAGGACTCCACTGTCCTGGTTGCTAGACGCCAGTCGTGGCAGCCCTAGCGACCAGTTTACAGTAAATTAATTTTCATTCTCAGACATTGGGGGGGGGGGGGCTTATTTTCAGGGGGATGCCTTATATTTCACTCAGAAGGAAACCTGTAAATACGTCTTATTTTCGGAGGATGTTTTATTTTCGGGGAAACACGGTAGTGTGCTCCTCCAGCACAGCTAAGGGTTCCGCAAGCCTGAGGGAGGGCTGGCGAAGGATGAAGTAAAGACAAAGAGAATAAGCTGGGTAGGTGGATCTTCTGTGCATAGCTGAGAACACAGAAAAGATCCAGACTACAAGCTGAGCCTTTATTTTAGTCAGAGGTAAACAAGGTAATTTACACTGTTCTTGTAAGTTTCACTTGTTTTGGCAGCACTTGCTGCACCTCCCACAGCCCATTCACTACCCAGGAAGGATCTAGGAAGCATCACAAGATGAAAATTACCATAGGAGGGCTGTGCCCTCTACGCTGGGACTTGTTTTTGGCTTTGCAACAGGTCAGTCCAAGGCTTTTCCCTATAACTGCTCCCTATGGGCTAGGGCTTCACCATAATTTTTAAAGCGAAATGGGAAAGAGCCTCTATCAAAAAACATTTTCATAACTCCAAAATAAGGTACACAGGGACAATTCTCCTTGGGTGTCCTGCACTTTTGCACATCTTACAATAAAAGTCACTTGGTCCCCTTTGTTCTGGATATCCTATATAATAAAGAGCTAATATGCAAATGTTCCTTTCACCGCAATGGCTCAGTAACTCAACACCATGGTCCCAGGTGTCAGCACTGGGCCTGCAGGCCGGGAGAGGTCCCCTGTAGCTGTGGTTGGCCTGGGCGAAGCCAGCCCAGATCCTGAGTATATTCCCTGAGCCAGAGGGAGGAAAGCCAGAGTCCTGGGTGCCTACAACCGGCCAGAGGAGGGAATCCTGGGTCCTGGGTGGGGGGCAAGGGAGAGGTGGTTGGGGTGATCAGACTAGCAGGGGAGCAGTTAAGGGCTATCAGGCCAGTAAGGGAGCAGTTAGGGGCAATCAGGCAGGCAGGCAGAGGGGTTAAGGGCCATCCGGCAGGCAGGCAGGCAGGCAGGCAAGCAAGCAGTTAAAAGCCAGCAGTCCCAGATTGCGAGAGACTGTTCTGGGCTGCAAACATTGCACAGCACCTCTGTTGCCTGGAGGCAGGATGCCTTAGGACAGAGGGAGGTGAAGTAGGTCACCGAACTATGGGTGGGTTAGAGTTTGGAGGGAGGTAGTGGGTCACGCTCCAGCCAAGTGTGCCCATGCGTTACACCTGTGCCCTGAGTTCCTTGGAAACGGCTAGAATAGCTTTTGTCACCTTGGGAATGTCATTGTAACTGTCCTAACTCCCTCTTGTGGATTCTGAGTATAAGTTTGCTGTAACACCTGTGGTCTGCACTGCAGTTCGGCCTTTACTGCAGTGAAGTGCTGCAACTACAGTCACTGGCCAGTT